AGCAATGTTGTTCAGAACTTAACACAGAGTCAACTGACCTTAGGTCAAGTTTTGTATTTTTCACTGAAGAACATTTTGTTATGATATTAAGAAGCAAAGTTGGTTGGAATTAAAGAATAAGTCAACTGATCAAAGATCAGGGTCACCGGGTTAATGGTCAAGGTCATTTGGGTTCAAAGGTCAAAGACAAAGTGGATCTCTGACTTTGACCCTAGCTGGCTCTTGATGGAGGAGGTATATAAGGTGAAATAAAACAAATCAAAGCTAACAAATGAGTATTGCACCAGTATTTACATTTCTGTTAGCCAAGCAAATACGGAGGTGGAAGGAAACAAGACTCACATCATAGTACATGTAAAATGTTTATTTTGCTTCCCAATGTCAAACGTCAAGCTCAGCTATATGGGCAGATTGCTTCTTGATGATTATGGGGGATATATTGCCACAAGACGGGGCCCTTACTAACCTGTCAGTGTTCTAGTTTCAATGGCAATTCTGGAAGAGAATATGTTTGTGTTATTGTTAGCTGAAAGGGCGACACAGCTAACGAGAAACAATATAATACTTATGTACATCATTATATATACATGTTTAATTACAGAAAGGAGGGACATGTTCATCAGGCGTCTCTCGATGTTTGAAGTATGCCTGGGTAGTCGTCCAAATTATCAGTGAGCTTATTTACCACCAATGCGACATAGTTAAGTCAAGTCCAATCCAGTACAAACTTTTTTTAACAGATTTCGTTCTATATATCGGGTAACTGTCCGCCCTGTCAAACATTTGCCTATGATATCACTGGTAAAATCCATATGCACCCGGCATTAATTTCGCTCTGTACATGCTATGACTACATGTAGTATGTCGTGTATAAATATTTTCTTTCAGAATAAGTGTATCCTCATCAAGAAGAGCGAAAAAGGCGAAAGTACGACAGCAACGAAAATTTCCCGGTTTGCAGTATTCAGCTTAACGCGGGGGAAACATGTCATTGATTGTAAGTTGGAGAACCATTTCGGTGATACGTTTAGCAGCAGATTATCTAATGATCAAGTCGAAGAAAAAACCGATCGAAGGATATGAATGATAGCGAGAGTATAGATGTTAGAAATGCAACGATGTATCGTATCGTATTGTATCGCGAGACTTTCTTGTGTATCGTATCAAATTGTTTTGTTTGCCTGCATCGCGATACAACTAACAGTACTGAAATTAACCATCAATTTTTATCCAACTTGAATAAAGTGTTCTTATTATTATTACTCCTGAAGCCTTTTACAATATTCGATGAAATCCTGCACTCAATCATTACTATCGTATCGTAAGTATCGTACCGCGACGCGTATCGTATCGTGAGGTATGCGTATCGTTGCAGCCCTAAATTAGATGTACCGGCCTCTAATTAACCAAAGTGTCAAAGTGTTCATTGATCAAACGGTCGGGATTTTCGACGATGACAATGGACATGTTTGATAAGTGAAGGAGTTGCAGCAGCTTAAGGAATTGGAGGAAATAGCACTTTACCTTGCTCCAATGAGAAGGTGTAAAACAACGAAAACTGACTTGATGCCATCTTGATTTTCTTTTAAGATCTGTGTATCACATACTCCTGTCTCCTACATCAAAGTCTAGCTATATATGGACCTATTTAAACCAAGGTGTTCAGAGTAATTTAAACGTGTAAAATTACAGTGAACACCTTAGTTTAGGTACAAATATACAAATATATCTGTAACGAATTCTCAGGTCCCTGTGTCTAGAGGGGCCACATGTAACCTTTGCTACCGGGTAGAGAGTGTGAAAAGAAAGATATACATGGAGACACCAAGTGTTGCCATGGGGACAGAGACTCAACTTTGACCTTTTCAATATCACCTAAGCAGAAGACGCACACGAAAACCCTCGTTTCTGCAGAGGTCCCACATAAGCGGCTTATTATTATAACATGCACAGTCGACCAGGCGGTTCAAGAGAGAGAGTAAACCAACTGTCAAAATGACAGAAAAAAACTTCGATTCCCCATTAGATATTACGTCACATCTACATCACTAAGACAAGGCTATGCGTTAAATGATAGGACAGTTGTCATTATTTAGAAAAATACTAGGGAAAGGAATAAAAGCTTCGAATTTCATGGTTCATTTAATATGGCAAAATAAGCTTCATTTGCAGACAACACATAAGAAACTGAAAAGGCCTATATATTTACAAAGTTATTTCGCTATCTCCAGAACTCTCGCTATCAACCTAAGACCTAATGTTGTATGATATGTACTGCCCTGCAAACCATCTCAGCAACGTCCTAAATATATTATGAAAGTTGTACCAACTTATGTGTAGCACATCACGTGATGCATTTTTTTGGAGAAGCCGCTATATGTGACGAATTTGAGGTCGCGTATATAATACATTATACCAACATAAATGAACATGTTTATTCACCTTAATTTACCATCGTATGGCATTGACACTTTTTATAATCCTACTACATTCAGATGGCATTTATATCAGCTATGAATGCTATGACCCGTTGGCATCATTATTATGACGTATCAATTGTAACGTATACGTAGTGTACCACTGATCGACTTTTCCTGAACATATGGTTGTTCTGTTCATTGAACAAGTAAACACGATACATACACAAATTTTAGCTACTGTAAAATCATACATTTTCGTGGGACATTAAATTTCGTTTATTTCATGGATAACAAAAATCCACGATATTAAATCCCCACAAATACATAAATGGTATGATATAAATAGGGGAAAATTAGAAATCAGCAAAATATGATTCCTTGAAACAGGCCAGTATATGAAAACCACGAAATTTTAAGCACGCGAAAATAAATGATTCTACAGTAATTGCTGAAGTTTGATATGATTTTTAATTTTCTACAAGATTAACATATTCCAATGGTGAAAATAATAGTAAACTGTACTCTTGCTTCCTGGATGCGGCGAAAGCCTTCGACTGTGTTTGGCACGAAGGTTTATTTTTTAAACTTGTTCTTTTGGGCTTTAAACGTGATACTGTCAATATGATAGTTTCTCTGTATAAAGAAATGTACAGTGCAGTTCTTTGTCAATGTTTAATTTCTAAATGGTTCCCAATATCCCAGGGAACCCGTCAAGGGCTTATTCTCTCGCCTTGGCTTTACTCTGTCAACATTAATGACTTGTTGAATGAACTTTGTATTTCAAAATTCGCACTTTCTGTCCATGACATTAACGTTACTTGTCCTACCCAGACATATGATATCGTCCTACTTTCACTTTGCAAAAGCGACTTGGATAATTTGATGTGTATCTGTTATCTATACAGCGGTAAATGGAGATTTAAGTACAATGCATCAAAATCTGTTGCTATTGTTTCTAATGAAAGAAAAATGCCTACACTAATTCAAAGCGGAAGTAGTATCTTGGGCCAACTGAAGTACAGGGGTCAACTAGTACTACACATGTCGGTATATTTGTAGATACATTCAGTCCAGGTCGTCCAGAGCTGGATGAAGTTGTGCATAAGTTACGTGGGGAATGCTTTGCTCTTATGTAGTGTAACTTACTTGGTTCAGGACTTAGTCCTTTAACAAGTTTGAAACTCTATAAATCAATCGTGCTTCCAAGAGCGTTATTTGGCTGTGAGCTCTGGTTCGCGCTTTCCTCTACTGAATGGCGTCGTTCAGAGACCACACACCATTTCTGTGCAAAACTTATGCAAAATTTCCCAGTTCGCACTAGGTCGGTTATTGTACTGGGAAAGTTAGGTTTACCATCACTTTCTCTGTATGTAGAACAATGCAAACTACGATTTTCGCTGCTTTGTGTAATGTAAAATCTCAATGTACTGCAAAACAGTTTTTTTTGTTACGTATATAGCATATGTATCTTAGTATTTATAAGTCCAAAAGAGGGTTTATACACGATGTATGGAATATTTTTCATAATTACGATTTGCAGTTTTACTTGTACGATTATTTACAGTCTTCCTGCATGCCTAACAAACTAATGTGGAAGCATATTGTGAAAAATGTATTGCTTTGCAAAGAAAGTGAACAGTGGACACAACGTCTGGGTCTGAATTGTGATTTATGCAGGTTTAGGAATATTCATACAGAACTTTCACCTTCCATTCTGTGGCATGTGTCAAAATTATCTCCAAACTTAGCTGAGATCTGTAAACGAGTTTCTAAACTATGGATTACCCCACTTGATTGCGAACTTCATTGTGCTAAATGTAATTTGTTTTTCTCTGACGCTGTCGCCCATTGTATCTCAGAATGCAACAGTGTTGAATTAGCTTCGCTTAGAGATGTCTTTTATACAAATATAGTTAATGTCTATCCCGTACATGTATATGCGTATTTAGATCAAGTTGAAAGGGAACAACAGATTTCCACTGTACTTGGCTCCAACGATATTGCTCTCGCCCTGGGAGAGGATCATGTAATGTTTTCCTTTATCCGAGACTGTCTGATATTTCGCTTAGAGAGCTTCAGCTCTAACATTTCAGTAGATCTAATATCCTTATATAGTCTATAAACCTTTTTTATGTAATTTAAATCGCTTTCTAACATGATTGTCAATTCACAGTAAGGTTCACGTATATATATATATATTGCGTTCCTTTGTTGACTCGTCTAATATAAATATTTCATTATCACCAACATTAATTAAAAACAATTGCCTCCAGGATAGTGACGTGAACAAGGATAATTTAGAGAGGTTGGAGGTACAGTGAAAATATGTACATGTACACAAGACAATGTTTTATGAGTGCATATGCACTATATATATATATTGTCACTGACAATAATTAAGTCATTGTTTTGTCTCGTATTTTTTGTGTTTTATAATTATACTGCTTGCAGTTCCTTTAGGACATATATAAATCAGTCAACGTTGATGAATATATTGCCAAATGTTCTACATATATTCAGTTACTTTTTTTTAAAAATTTCGCCGTTTGTCAACCTCTTCATAGGACCACCTGTTAACCCATTTGGGCCCCTCGAAGAGATTTAATCAATACCAGGTACGTATAAGTAATGCAAGATGGCGACGTGTTCCGCCTGTGATTGCTTTGGTTACCGAACTGCAATCTATGGAGAATGACTTGTTTATCTATTTATAGTGAATGAAGTAATCAAGTAGAGAGATTCGGATTCAAGTAAGTATGTGTAAATGATTAAATTACAATGTCAAATATGTATAATATACATTAATATGTTATACACGATAGCATACCCGTACACTGCTACTTGTGAAGCGGCTACAGATCGCTTGACCTAAATACTTGACGAGGGATATCAAGTATAGGTCATACAATGCATTGTGTTAATTGTTAAATACGGGTTTAATTTCATTTCAATATATATATAACTACGTTTAGACCAAATTATATCGACAACACACTAACTAGGCGTAAACCGAAAGTAGATGTAAGCGCTTTATTGACCCAGAATACATTCCTACCGGACCGCTATGCATGTTCGTAAAAACATGTTATGGGCAATCGTAGCAGGGACTCAGATGTAGAGACACACTAAAACACAGAATGAGACAATACGGAACAAAACTGTACTAAATACGGACAAAAAAGATTGTATCGATAACGTCTGTAAGACAGGTACAGACAGCATTTTCTGTTTACACATTTAGTTGATTACATGGGAACCTATTAACAAAAAATGAAATAAAAATCGGACTTAAGCAGGACTACGTGCTACGTACTGTACGTGTATTTTTTTCAACAAAGTGAGACACATATTGCTTTAGTCTAGTTACCTACGTTTAAGCATAAATTACATACAGAAATGTCCAAAGCTTCCTAGACTACGATAAACATTAATCTGTCTTTTTTTTCCTGTGAAATTTTCCTTTCGAACAGTAGAAATATGTAATACAAACATTGAGTACAAACAAATTATATATATATTTTTGATAAAAAAAACCAATAGATTATCGAATTGATATCAATCATTAATCTATGCAGTATTATAAGTTCCCATAACCAGTAAACATGGAGTGAATTCGGTCGGACCAGAAACTCGGATTGCATGCGGGATGTGATCGGGTAACCCCCCTCCACCTTTACCAATTTTAATTGTTACAGTCAATATGCATGCAAGTAAATTGTTTTTAAATTTGCAGCCTACCGTAGACCTTTTCATACATTTTTAGATATAACAAAAATGCGTTTGTAGTGAATAGTATCGTTACGAGTTTATAGTTTGGATGAAATATTAATCAACGGCTTATGCACTATAACTATTTATAAAAAGGGTGACTCATTCCAGTGTCCTGGGCCCGTATTCATGAAACCGTCTCTCTTACTCAAGATTGGGTTCTGTACTCAAACCATATTTCTTATTACTTGCTTCGATCACGTGACAGGGTCAGAAAGTCAAGGATACTTATTGTTAAACGTATTTTGATTAAAGTGTCTTCAAAATTATAAAAAAAAAAACATTGACAAAATGTGATTTTTCTTTAATTTTTCACTGGAATGTGACTTAAACAAATACTTACTCCAACAATGTTAGAGGTTTTACACGGCGAAAAACTTTTGACAGGCGCCGCGTAACCTCTAACTGTGCCCATAGCTGATTTTCCCCATGCTGACTATCACATTTTCAAAGTTCGGATTAAGAAAGAGTATATCGTGTTTACATACATTTAAATGGTCAAAAGGGTCCAATAAATATTCCTTTCCATAAATCCATGATTATATAAGAAAAATTTCATGTCAAAGACATAAATAATGAGTTTTTCCTCACTCGAAGCGAAGCAGACAGCATTTGCCATGATTTTTCCGGTTAATACAAAAATGGATTACATGTAATGTTTCACAAGCGGAATACAAACAAACTCCGTATCATTTCGTTCCGTTTGAAATCCCCCCTGATATTTTGTATTAATCCAGAAGCCATGTTTTAAATGTAGGTCAGAGATGTGCTACAACGACATGGACATGTATTTTGAGTGTTGTATTCCGTAATATACTATATATTTGTGTCTGTGACATATATATGAGATCTATATTATATCAACCGTGAGTAGACATCGTTGTCATGAACTGTTAACCACTGATGTGAGTTTTTCAAGCCGATTTTGTTCCGCCCGGATTTCGGGCGGAAACTGCATCAAAGAATTAGTGCTTCGGAAATGAGAGGTCGCAGTCGGCAAAATCATATCCGATTGAAAAAAGGCCGACCAGCGGCCTCTCATGTTATGGGAGTAAACAAATACTGTGAGTTTAAGTATGATTATAGTTTCATGGATACGGACCCTGGTGTAAAAAATAAGACAGTTTCATCATTTTAAGTCGTCAATAAAGGTTACTCGTCAGAAATTAGTATTTTATAAATATTTAACACGTTATCATCATAGTCGGTATAATCGGTTCCTCTTATTCAGCATTTCGAGATTTTTCCGTTCTGCAAAGTGCACCATGTTACATCCTTATTAACTCCGCTTACTGTACACGTACAGTTGATTGCGTGGTATCTAACGTTTACGGAATGTCGGAGATCTAATTCCATATGCAATCTATTAGCTAAGTCCTGCATAAACTTCCAATAAAAAGTATACCCGAACTTTTGCGACGAAAGACAAAAGGACATCGTCATTATCACTGTCAACACATATTATCTGTCAAATGTTTATGCTATTAGCAATGTCTGCATGGTTGGCCTCGTAAAATCACAGGTACTTGTGGACAGGAGTGTGATTTTCCCATTAAAATGTTACGTAACAAACGAATAAATTATTGTATAACAATCACATGCTAAATTTCAAAAGTGCATCCCACCTAATAGCCTTCTAAATACATGTTTATAAGGCCATTAGGTGGAATGCACTTTTGGAATTAAGCATGAGATTGTTATACAATAATTCATTCGTCTGTTACGTAACATTTTAATGGAAAAATCACACTCCTGCCCACAAGTACCTGTGCGTAAAATATGCCGTAATGATTTCTGTGTCTGAATCTAAAGTACCGAAGCGTTTATTTCAACACATGTGACTAACGTATCTGGCTGCCATTTTTTCCAAACTCTTTGTATTCATCTCATTGAAACCTCCATCATTAAATCATTGTATAGGTACACCATAATGTCAATTGTAATGATTTCAAACTTTCTCGATATTTTCTTTCGTTTCTGACTATAAATAGTTTGAAGAAGGACAGCTAGAACTCTAACATTTACCCATGTGTGCTGTAGGTTGAGGTAGGTGCATGTACGATTCTTGCAAATCATCAGCGCCACTGGCTGTCTTCTAATGTATGATATATATATAATTAATAATGTAATCCGGACCATGATTTAGCATATTGGCAATTTGCAATATGCATTCCACATGTTAAGAATTCAAGTCTAGTAGCTTACAAATAAAACCATACTTTTTTTTTATCGATGTGTGTTTTGCTTTTATGAAAATCTTGTGATTTGAACTCCTTTGATTTTTATTTCAGGATGAGTAGAAGTTCAAGGCCACTATATACGTAAGTTCTCTCTTTTTTTTGTTCCACTGTTTTGTTGTTTTCTATCAATCATGTATAGATCAGAGGAACAATAATCGTTATACCCAGTGTAGCAGTTCTGAAGGGTTTTTGTTCTTCACCCCCCCCCCCCCCCCCCCCCTTAAGCGGTGAAAAGTTCCATTTAAGTGCGAGGTAATGTTAATATCGTTCAAGTTAATCATTGTTATGCCAAGTTACATATCATTCTTGTTAATGATAGTCAGAGAAAACGTTCTTTCACATAAACCCATTTCATATCATCAGGATTATTATAAAAAGGATATTGTTCCATTTCATACGGAGATGGATATTAAAATGTACTGAAGCTAATTCCTATGATCTGTTTTCATATTTATGTATTTTGACAGTTTATTTCTGGCGTCCTAACCAAACCATACATTGTGTTATGATTATTAAGAATAAGGAAACCATACAACAATCATTTCGTTGAACTTATGCTTAGTTTCGTTGTAATAATATTCCAATAATAAGAACTCGTAACAGTTGTTATGTGCAAATCTTATAATTGTTGCACAATTATAACTATTATTATTATCCATATGTTGTAAAGCGCTTTAGAGTAATTTTACAAATTATATAGGGCGCTATATAAATGTTGTATATTATTATAGTCAGGAAGTTCTTACATCAGTTAACGTAATTATCACAGCTTGTATAATGCAAATATACAGTCTATTTTTTTTTTATTTAAAAAGTATAGCCTAGACACCACTTATGTCTTATCAAAGTTTTACTTGACATACAAACAATGTATGTATTAAACGTGTCGCGACGTTTCAAGACCGACTGGTCCCTTTGTCAAGCTATGACTGAGGGAACGATTTGTATTGTTTACCTGTACAACAATGTGATGAAATTGCATATTTCATATATCACTCGATTCCGGACGTTTCGAAAATATACATTATCGTCACATCGTTGTACATGTGAAAGAGAGGCCAGACGATGGTAGGGCTCAAATTCTTAATCAGGAACAAAGAAGATCACATAAAGTGTCCTTTTTTTCGATGGTTGAGAAGGCTGTAGCTGTTATAAAATGCATATACAAATATTGAACACTGCAGTATTTTGTCCAAGGTTATTGTACAATATTATAGATGTACATTCCATCAGATCAGAGACCTAGATAAATCATACACATTGTTTGGGTATCTGATCAGATTTAAATGATTTATTTTTGCAAATCATTTTGAACTGTTATTACAAAATGGACTAAGTGGACACCATTATTGAAAAAGCACATCTGTTAAATTCATCAATAACTGAAAATGTATTGTTAAAAGTATTTTAGCCATATCATTTATTTCTTATTCTTTGGAACTAAAACCAGGAAATTGACACTCAAAGAGATCGAGGGACATTAAAATATAGAGTAGACACTTATTTTAGACATGTTTGCATAAATTCTTGTGAAAAGATTTCTTCCCCGACGAAATGCCATTGCGAATTTAATTTGAGATTTTTTCCTGTTTTCACATGAACGGAATTTTGTAGGTTTTCAAAATGACAAAAGATCTTAATGATTCAATAACTATAATATCAGGGCACCTGGACGTCCAACCAAGCCTCCAGGCAAGGCATTGTCAGCAACTGGTGTTACTCATCCCACTTACGGTCGACCTGCTGTCCATTCGGTCTCGGGTGGTTATGCCATGCATGGTACAACAACAGGACAAAACAGTTATACAATAGAACATCGTGCAGCATCCAAGCCAACTTTGGAATATAAATGGGACTCTTCAATGATAACATTAGCAAAAGAGATTCCGGATTTCGACAGGTGGATGAAGACAAAAGGGGGCTTCAAAGATGCTGTGTTATCAGTAAATGATAAACTTTTTGAGGTGAGAAAAATAAGATCTCATAGATGCGGTGTATTATGTCTCCTCTTTGAATAAAAGTTCAAAACGGGACGACTGTAACTTTTAGTCTGTTTTCTAATAAGGGGACACGTATTTTCTCTTACCCTGGACATGGATATCTACACTCTTCCCAGTGTGAGATATTCTCGTGTCACCGTAGGGTTGAGACGGGGAAAACAATTGTATGACGTCATGTTAACAATACAATGACGTCGCGTTAACAATGCTTTATCGTTGCACCAACAATGCATTTAACATTGCATAATGTATATGACCAAGCCAAGAAGTGTAAGAGAAAAAGAATCATTCACCCCCTTGAGATGAGATGAAGAATCTCAACTCTCGGAGAAAGATATTTAAGTTGTCAAACACTCGGCAAGCCTCGTATTTGGTAACTTTAGAATCTTTAACCGAGGTTTAATATTCCACCATCTCAACCCTATGGAGGTGAAAGATTGTATAAGTCCAAAAACCAAATCTCCCGTCAAACATAAGTTTCACTGTTCATTTTATTTCAGTAGGACAAACCCTTTCATTCTAGTATTTTTATTTTTTTTTCATCTCATTGAGAAAAATATTCTTATTTATCGGTTGTTAATCTTTCATCTTTTAAGCTCAAACAAACTGCTCGTGGACAGCACACAGATTACGGTCAAAGTAGAGAGTAAGTATCTTGAGACCACTTACAGTTTATTTCTTGAATGTAACTAGTCAGCAAAATCGAAAAAAAAAGATCAAATCGAAATCTTTTTTTGTTGTTTCGAAATTTTTAAGTTTCTTTTTTATGCTCAAACTAATTCATTATTTTTTCTGTGATCAGATGGCAGACAAAGGAGGAGAAATATCATAAAGAGATTACGCAGCTGACTGAACAGGTACAAATGTTACAAAGTCAGTCTCGGGCCTCTTATAATGACAAGGGACATGTTGGCTCTAGTAAATATGAGAAAGAGTTGGACAGGTTGAGGCAAGAAAACGAGAAAATCAAGTCACAGCTACAATCAGCAAAAACAGAAAAGGACCAACTTCTATATAGGTAAATACTATTATTGTAACTCTTATATCAGGATTTTCTACAATGAATCAAAGAATACACCGCCCGGAATATAGATTCTTCATTAGAAGTTCATTGCTCATAGCGACAAGGGAACCATTCGCGTTTTCATGCGCATATTTGTGGAGTACTTTGGAGTGTTTTCTCGTTATATTGTTGTAAACCTGGAAGCGTTTAGTCATTTACTAGTGCATTCATTTTATTGAATGTCCCCGAAGCTGTGTTCATAAACTTGGCGCGTATTTTGAAAGACAGAGTTTTCAACATAAATCTATGTTTGATTAACTTTTTGATACCTAATATCTCTTCTGCCACAAACTACTTGAATATTTTCACCTGTGCTTTGAACTTGCAAAATATAAATATTCTGATGCACTTGTTAACGTCTATATGGTTGATTGGGATATCCTTTGAATATCCTAAATCTAAATGAACATCAGAGCTCAATGTAAAGGTGGGTTATCAATTTCAATGAATTACCTTGGCAATTTTTTAATATAACAACTGCTAAATGTGTTAATATACGGAATTAGGGAATAACTGATGTCCTTCTGTCTTTTAGTTATCCGATGCGATCGACACCAAGCCATATCTGATTATGATTAATGACTTTTGACGTGTACCTTTTACCATGTGTTATCAGGTTGAGTAAGCTGGCAGGGGCCAAGTTATCGGACAACAACCCTGAAATTACAGATCTCAGCGATCCCAACCGTCCACAGAAGCTGTCTCAGATATACAATGAACTGTACGACAACGCATGGATGGAAGCCATTGATTCGATGCCTAAGACGAATGACAAAGGAAACATTCACGTTCTCCTGAGCATATTTGTGGTATATCTTTACAGCGTTATTTTCGTAATACTGTTTTTAACGTGAAGGAGCTGAATCTTGAACTAGCGCGTTCTGTGTTATTTTATATGGACAATTTGTATATGACACTTGTTCGGTTTTATTTATGTATTTGTTTTGTTAGGTGATATGAAGGCAGTGTCGATATATGATTACCTCTTTTATTTTTGTGATGACACAACATTCCTAGGAAATGTGCAAACAAAACCGAACAAGTGTAGGAAAACAAATATTCTGTATAGTCAAATATTAATATAAGGAAATCGGTTTCTGTTTATCAGCTTCTGTCATTTAAATATATTTGTTAACTTTGTTTCATTTTCGTGTTTGTTAAGCAGCGTTATGCGCTATGATTTCGTACAATATTCACATTATAATTTCACACAACTAAAATATATTAATTCAGGAAATCTGGAAGTTTTGTGAGAATCTAGGAAAACATCAGCTGACAGCAATGGAGAATATAATGCTACAACCATGGCAGACCTCGCATACGGTATGGTAACTTTGGTAGTAGTCCGAATTATTCTGACGTTTTATCGACTTTTTGACCATATCGGTCTGTCGTCGATTAACGTCAGAACTCCGGTCCTCTATAATATGCGGGAAATATGCGACCCGTGCCCGGAGCGCACTTCAAACTGATATTTTGGAAACAAATCGTGGTACTTTGGTAGAAGCTTTACACTTAACGTATCTTAATAGTACAGTTAACGTGTGCTAAGTTTGTCCATTTTGTCCAATAGTTACTAGAAATACGAATTAAGGAAACGCCTGTTTGAAGAATTATAGTGTTGATGCATTTAACAATTTCCTTAAAATTAAAAATTCAAGATTTTTAAATATGTAAATTAGCTAAGACCAAAACAAAAATCATAAGTCATTACCCAACACAAGGTAAACCATTTTGAATAATTCCTTTTGATGCAGACCGTTAGTATTGGGAACGATTTGAATTATATATAATATTATTATATGTGTAATGCGACTTGCGGTTTGTGAACAAGTAAGTTCCAGCATTACTTCATGAGATGTGATTTAATAATGGCATTCTTGCATTTAGTTATTTAATGCCACTTAACTTTATCGTTCCAGCATCAAATATTTGTGAACTGTGAAGTGACACTTGATGGTTTGTGTATTAATAAGAACTGATGTCACTCTAGCGTTAATTCATTAATTTGGATTTGATAATGTCATTCTTTCACTTATTAATGTCGTTCGAGCATCGAATGTTTGTGTAATGAGACTTGGTGGTTTGTGTATAAATGTGACTCTATATGATGCCACTCTAGCTTTACTTCATTAATTGTGATTTGCTAATGTCATTCTTGCTTTTAGAGGTTTAATGAATCCTAATGATGTCGTTCCAGCATCAGTGAGACTTGTTGGTATGTATGGAAATGAGATGTGGTGATGTTTCCCTAGGATTACTTGACTAATTGTGATTTAATCTTATGTCATTCTTGTACTACTTTGTTTACTGACAACTTCTGATGTCGTTCTAGCATCCGTTAGGATCCAGTGAGAATCGGTACCACATAGAGTTAATGAAAAGCATTAAAGATGCTCGTAAGATAGCTGCCATAGAGACAAGGAAGAGGCTGTTTAAGGTAAACTGTGTTTATTTCTACAATTTTCTTATGTCTTTGTGTGGCTGTTAAAGACGTCAACTTTCTGCACAATATCTTTTCAATGTGATTGAGATTATTTAGCCTGTCTTAAAATGCACACAGGTAAACTTAACTCTTAAGGGGCTTTCCGTACCATATACATTTTTAGCTCACCGTGGCGTCCGTCAGTCAACAATTTCTATTAACGACTTCTACTTCTTAACCACTGATTGGAATTTAACTAAATTTGACTGGAAGCATTCCAAGTTGGTGGGAATTCAAAATTGTGCAAATGGTGGGGCTGACCCCCAGGGGGCTGAGGGGCGGGGCCAAAAGGGGGCAATTTGGCTATATTGCTTTAAGCGACTTCTCCTCTGGAACTAGGAGATGGATATAAACCATATTTGACTGGAAGCATCCCTATGTGGTGGATATTCAAAATTGTACAAATGGTTGAGCTCACCCCGCAGGGGGCTGAGGGGCTGGGCCAAAAGGGGACATTTTGGCTATATTGCTACAAACGACTTCTTCTGTAGAACTATGCACTGGATATCAATCATATGTAATCAAAGGCATTCATGGGAGGCAGGGATTCAAAATTTACAAATGGTGGGGCTGATCCCCGGGCTAAGGGATGGGGCGAAAACAAGTTTATTACTTGGAAGTGGTTGAGATCCCCACAATATAACCATATATACAATTGCTGAGTATAAAGAGAAGAATGCACATTTGCTTCCAGGATGGCCCTACCCTTGGAGACATAGTCCTTGGGCCATACCTTTAAAACGGTTGAGATTCCCACCCCAAACTATATATACAAACGCTGGGCATAAAGAGACGAATGCTGTCATGATATCAGAATAGACCCAGGGGTCTGACCGAACCCCTAGGGACCTAGTTTCTTAGTCACAGTTTGGAAACGGCTGAGAGCCCAACCCTATAACCATATATGCAATTGCTGAGTATAAAGAGATGAATGCACATATGCTTCCATAATGGCCTTGGGGACTGCCCCAACCTTGGAGACTTAACCCCTGGGTCATAACTTCGAAATGATGAAGATCCCAACCCCAAAACTATATATACAATTGTTGGGCATAACGAGACGAATGCAGTCATGATATTAGAATTGACCCTCGGGTCTGCCCCACCCTTGCAGACTTAACCCCTGGGTTATAACTTTAAAACTATATATACAATTGTTAGGCATAACGAGACGAATGCAGTCATGATATTAGAATTGACCCTCGGGTCTGCCCCACCCTTGCAGACTTAACCCCTGGGTCATAACTTTAAAACGGTTGAAATCCCCACCCCAAAACTATATATACAAATGCTGGGCAGAAAGACTCAAATGCAGTCATGATATTAGAATTGATCCTGGGGTCTGGCCACAACCCTATGGACCTAATTTCTGAGTCACAGCTTGGAAACAGTTGAGATCCCACCCCATAACCAAACATAAAACTGCTGGGCATGACAAATCTAATACAGATATGCTACAAGGATTGGCCTTGGGGTTTGGCATATTCCCTTAGATCTCATTTGGAGAATATTTGCCATGATTGCTTAGATATCCATGTGAGCTATAAGGCCCTCTGGGCTTTTTGTTAATATTTTAACTTTGTACATGAACATTCTGGAAACAATAAAGATTTATAATATAACAACGCGATACATACTGTTATGAATATATCACTTTTGATATGTGGTCCGATCAGAAAAGTAGTTTCTTTCCACTGCATAGACTTTCAGTTTCAAGTTAAAATGAAGCGACGGCAGAATGAAGGGCTGTTTTGCGACATATGGGTCCCAATAGGGGAAATATAGGTAAAACCTTTATAATCCTTCTTCTACCATAGGGATTAAGGGAATTTAGGGCATAGGGGTGGGGTTCTGTTTGAAGTTTGTTCTCGCTATATCTCAAGTACTGGATGGATCTTTCTGAAATTTCAGCACCTACCATGGAGTGTTATATCTTTACTTCATACCAATTATTTTAAACATATTTAGGTGAGCGATACAGGCCCTCTGGACCTCTTGTTAAAGTATGGCACTCTTATGGCAGAATATACCGATTTTGTCAGAAAATTTATTTTAACAATTTCCTTAAAATTTAAAATTCAGGATTTTTAAATATATAAATTAGCTAAGAGCAAAACAAAAATCACAATTCATTACCCAACACAAGGTAAACCATTTTGAATCATTCCTTTTGAAATATTATATTTTGATACACAGAAGGAATCGATACTTAGTGCGAATTACCCTGGTTGTGGCTTCCGGAAATATGATGCGCTTCAGGAAAAAAACCCTTGTATTTCTCTACTGCAATGTATCCGGGCAGGGCATTGTCAATCATACTGAAAACAATTATAGAAAGAAACATTATGTTGCCCATTGTTGGGCAATAATAGACATTTTCCCAAAGGGCGATAATATTGCCAACACCAAATTGGAAACTCCGAACTTTTTCACTTGGTGTTTTGTCAACTTTGAAACTCGTGTTGACGCGAGCTCGTGCTGACGCGAGGTATCAAGGTTTCCTGGTCGTACGATGTGTTAACATGAATAAGATGTATGGTCAAATGTATGAGGTATTACTATAATGCTGTCATGCGTTCTTATCTTTTCGTTTTGATTTTCAGCAATTCCTTCAAGAAAATCCCCAGTACGGAACTCATAATGAGAAAGTAAGGCAATATGCCGAGGCATGTATAAACCTGTGTTGGCTCTGTGCCATTCAAGACCCACCTATCGAATTTATATACAATGTCAAGGAGGGGGAGAAGATAGACTCTGGATACTTCAAGCCGTATGAACGATCAGGAAAAACTGTCGAATATCTAGTGTGGCCAGCAATGTTGCTGCATAAAAGCGGGCCAGTTCTAACTTACGGTGTAGTACAAGTGGTCAAGGGAAAAAAATGAGTATTTCCCCATAAACATGTGTACACGTCTTCACGGACCACATCAAATCCCTTTCACAGACTGTATTGATATGGCATCCAGGACATCTTCAGGGTTCATGTTTGTTGATTTTTATCCAAACAACATTTTAATACTTAATTCATTTAAACATTTAACGTTAATATTTGATGGGCTTGTCTTATGCAGACAGTACTAATCTTTGATACGCCTGTACGCTAAAACCACATTAATGCGTTCAAATGCATGTATGTATAGTTTATTATCATGCATAGACGATATTTGTCAACAAACTCGTTAACAAATAATTAACTCGAAGCATTCATAAAAGGAGCATGTTTTAAAATGTGCATTTCAAAGCCAAGTAACACAAAGTTTTACATTGTTCTCTAACAATGACATTTTAAACCAGCTGATAAAACGTTGTAACGTTGTTTTTTGTCTGATTTCGGATGCATTTGTACGATCAAATCGTGGTCGTATTTTATTATTTTATATTTTTATTTTAGATATATTTTATTATTGCTTTTAAGTATTTGTACGTTCAAATTGTTAAAATTCATAAAGGAAAGAAACGCTTGTCGACAGTATATATATGCATCATGCAACAATAGCAAAGTGGTTCTGATATTTTTATATATTTTTGGGGTATTACCTAACCGCGATATTTTTAGCTTTCCCTTCGAAAACAACCCTTTCCGTCGCTCATGTATAGATATTTGTCGAGTAGAATCGATACTAATCCAGTTTCTGCAGAAACATTGAGGTTTTCAAACGGCTCATTTTTCTATTTATATATATATGTGTGTATTGCAAGATAATGAGATAAAACCCAAACCAACTCGACAAAGACGATGCTGCTGATGATGATGACTAAACGAAGTCTTTATTTTATCGGCACGGATTGATTGTAGATTATAGGACCATGAGAGGCACGGTTTGGTTGTATTCTTAGGAAGCATACTGACGAGAGCCCCACATGTATTGGCATGGTTTCGTTGTATTCTTAGGAAGGATACTGAAGAGAGCCCAACTTTTATTGGGATGGTTTGGTTGTATTCTTAGGAAGGATACTGAAGAGAGCACCACATTTATTGGCATCGTTTCGTTGTATTTTTAGGAAGGATACTGAAGAGAGCCCAACTTTTATTGGGATGGTTTGGTTGTATTCTTAGGAAGGATACTGAAGAGAGCTCCACATTTATTGTCATGGTTTGGTTGTAGTCTAAGGAAGGATCCTGAAGAGAGCCCGACCTTTATTGGCATGGTTTGGTTGTATTCCTAGGAAGGATACCGAAGAGAGTCCCACTTTTATTGGCATGGTTTGTTTGTATTCCTAGGAAGGATACTGAAGAGAGTTCCACTTTTAATGGCATGGTTTGGTTGTATTCTTAGGAAGGATACTGAAGAAAGCTCCACTTTTAATGGCATGGTTTGGTTGTATTCTTAGGAAGGATACTAACGAGAGTCCCACTTTTATTGGCATGGTTTGGTTGTAGTCTAAGGAAGGATACTGAAGAGAGCCCCACCTTTATTGGCATGGTTTGGTTGTATTCCTAGGAAGGATACTGAAGAGAGTTCCACTTTTAATGGCATGGTTTGGTTGTATTCTTAGGAAGGATACTAACGAGAGTCCCACTTTTATTGGCATGGTTTCGTTGTTTTTTAAGGAAGGATACAGAAAAGAGACCAACATTTATTGACATGGTTTGGGGGTATTTTTAGGAAGGATACAGAAGAGAGCCCCACTTTTATTGGCATGGTTTAGTTGTATTATATGATATGCCGAGGGAACATTTCTTTTATTGCTGCTTACTTAAAAGCACGTCCACAGTTATTCGCACCCTCCCCCACCTCCACCCACACCCGCCGACCCCACCTCACAAACCATCGATTTATGTTTTTATTTTACATCTATTAGTCCCCTTACAATTACAAATTTAGGTTGATGGTCTGCATCACATAAACTCTGTGTTGTTACCTTTAGAATGCGATTCAATAGTGACTGCAGATTAAGTCCCTGCGGTGGACACGATGTTGAGTTACGCTGATGTTAAAATTTGAGTGGTATTATTTTAAGTTTTTTAAGCCTCTTTTTTAATGTCTATGGAATATTATCATCTTTTAAGTTTACATGATGATTGATGATCTACCATCGAATTCTACGAATAGTGTGTTTTTGTTGTTTTGTGCATAAAGACCATTTGCATCCGGAGATAACTAACAACCTTCTTGATTTCCAATAGGAGCATACCTCTCTTACACGGTTTGCATTTAGATCCATTGAGGTATTATCTTATCACTGTATGACGGCACTCGTGTAGCTAGTGAAGCGTTTCTCTTCTGATGTCCTATAACATTGCGGAAGGCCTGTTGGTCTTTTTCATTTACCTTCATGATATGGTTGTGACAGGTTTTACTTTTAAACACGAACACCAGAAAATATGTAATTATGTGTTTTTTTTAAAATTATTTTGAATAAAATTCGCTAGTTAAAAATGCGTTTGCTTTAATATCTCTTCCTTCATCATTCCCAAATTAGTTAACTGCAATTGGCTTAGATTCCACATTTCCGGGTCAGGATCTAATAAAATGTAAATAGATGGATTCTTTCAATTTCCTTTGTGAGTTTGACGGCTATAATGTGGATATGACAATCCTTTCAGAAAAAGGACAGCTTACTGAGGACCACGACGCGCCACCTTCTAAAGTGAGCGCATTCTCATTGAATTATCTTGATTGTTTATTTTGTCATTATGACAAAATTTATTTACCATCTGTCAGATTTGTGTCTAGCCTACCGAAGGTACCGATGACCATCTCATAGAAATGCAACTAAACCGTTGGAAAGAACCAGCAAGCTAAATGATAAACGAATACTCACATAAGAGGACAAACCTTGATTGTATCAAAAAGATTCGCTCATTTCATGTCATGACAAACTCGTCATTCAAATTTGATTTTGATTCCTTAAGTAGTCATTTAAAAAACAAATGGCGTTTTAAACCAATCGATAGCGAGTGTATTTCCAAAGAACTGCGTGGACTCTTTTTATGGTTGAATTACGAAAAAGCTGTTCTATATTCAACATGCAACAGCAACGCCAACATACCGATGCTTAACGGATGAATCGTCCTATATCTTATCCTTCTTTTTAACGTGTCACATAATTATTCTGTTGGAGAGAGGTCTAGGCTATTAGGGGGCATGCTTGCTAAACGAGGCCCCGCGCTGTCTGACTGGAACACAGTCCTCACTGCTGTACCAGAGGAACAACACACGGCGCTATAACCTAGTTTCTGTAGCTGATGGAGGTACCATTTATCACAATAATGACAGTGAGTCATGGTGCCAAGTATAAGCTTTCCCACCCTCAATATCAAGGGGTTACGCTTACTTTCGCTCTCCGCACCCCTGGAATATGTCATAATAAATTTAAAGACACGCGGCTAGCTATTTGATTGGTCTCGATTAAAAAGAACTGACCAATCACTAGGCTGATACCTGTCCTTTGAAGATTACAAAGGAGCGGCACTCGATCAAATTGGTCTTCTCGTCTCGTCCAAAAGGTACTGCGCATATTGATTTTGCTATGACATATTCCAGGAAGGAGAGATCGAAAGTAAGCGTGACCCCTGGATATCGAGGATGAAGATTTCTTAACACAATGATGAATGCCCTCCAAGCGGCTTTCTTTTAATGAACTCTCTTAAATGTTTTTTAATGTATATTAGCCAAATGTTAAATCGTCAATGGCTGAGTTTTGATGAGCTCCCTTATCTTATTTGATCTATTTATTTTTCTCTTGTTTATTATGCTATTGCTGTGTGTTGCATAAATGAGGTAAAGAAGACAGCATTGGGGAAGTTTTGATGGATTGTTTATTTTCATCGTTTTATTGTTTACACATCGCATTATTCAACTTGTACACACATATATAATATCGATGTATGTATACATCTTTTTATACATGCACATATATGTATCAGCGTTTTCTCCCACCTCGGCGTATACCAGATACACATATACCACGTGGAACACCCGTTTTATATAACTCTTTTTCACATAGATGTACAACGTGTTCCAGATTTGAAAACTTATTTCTAATTCTTGACTAAAGAGTGCATAAAAACAAACATTTGATTTCAAAGTGCTCAGTATCATACTGACTAATGTTCTAAAACGTAACGTCATTTTGATGCAATTAGTGACGTCATTAATTGACATTTTGGTCAACGGAAGAATAATCACCTGCAAAACACAATCAGTATCTGACTCGCCTAAAGGATTTTTTTTTTTAAACAAACTTGATGTGAAACGTTTCAAACCCTTTTGAATTATTCGGTATACCATATTATCACAGCTCTTTCTAAATATTTTCATTGTACGATTTCTAGATATTCTACTTTATTGTTGCATTCTCGCTGTCATAATCATTTTTTTAACAATTTCACGTGTAAGAGGTGAGAGAAAAAGTGTCAATCATTATTTAGGTATATGAAATAGGGTAATTCTACCCTCGGGTGGATAAGTTGGGCTCAGACCTAAATTCTGCACCCTCGGGTAGAAATTCCTTCTCCCACATACCCACATATGATTGAATCTATAAGTAGGAAATTGATATGAAAATCATTAATACAAAACATGCAGCATATTCAGTTTAGATCAGTCTAGACGTCTTGCAATATCAATGACAGCCTCCATTGCGTAGTTGTTTCCATTTGCACAGAGATTTTCTAAGGTGGACTTGACTCCTGCTGGTACCTTGATTGGCTCAAACGATCCTGTAATGAAGACAATATGCTATAGGGTATTGGAGAGACAATATCAGTATTGAGTCCGGGTATATTGCAGTTCATATTGCTATGGTATACTGAATCACCGACTCATACACTATTTTCGCTTTTTATCACATCCCTGGTTTAACATGGATTCTCGCAGATTTTTTCGTTATATTTAACGGTTGGGAAAACAAAATGATTATTCATGGTACCAGCATACTTCATACAAATACAACACACTTTGGAGCGTATCAAAAGCATTATTGTTAATCCGTGTATCATACTTCCACCAGGTTCTGTGTTGTGAAGAAGTCGTTTTTGTTTTGTTGGTTTTGCATTTTGCCTAATATATCTAATCATGTTTAACCATATTTTATTTTACAACAACAGGAAAATGGTAAACGAAAATCATTTTACAATAGTTATACGAAATCAGCGTAAACCTTTCATTATGTGTAAAGTTGAAATATAAGACTTACCGTTCTTGGTGACAACAGTATATTGAACCATGGAGTCTGCCATTGCGTGGAACCCCATACAGTTATAGCCAGACCTATCAGGTGTTCTGTCAATACGAATATATGAAATGCTAACATATGTGACGTATTTTCATTGTTTACAATGGTTAAAGTACAGTTTGATTTCTGCCAATATGTCAGAATATAGCGCCCTAAGTCAGAATATAGCCAATTTGTTGACTGCATGCGCAATAATCTGAAAAATTGTTAAAAATCGAACTTCTGTTGTGCAACAGATTTGCCTACTGGAAACAGGTGAATAAGTTTTTATAAGTAAACTGAAAAGCCACACTGAAACTACATCTCCACGGTATGAAAAGTTCATAAAAAATTATGCAACCAAAATATCTTTTACAAATTCTGAATAAATAATTTCAATCTTTTCTTGAAAAATTAGTTTCGATTTTTTTCTTTTTGATCATGGTTAATTGCATTACAGTTAGATATGGGTTTTTGTTTTGTCAAAACGCCAGTTAGTTATTGATTTTTATAATTAATTATTGGTGAATAAAGAGACAGGGTACATTAACCACCGATTATATAAAAAATATTACTTACAACAACAAGAAAAACATATAGTATTCATCAGATTCCTCACACTTGTACACGTTTGTGACGTCATTTAAAGTTCCAATGACTTCCGACCCCTCTATCTCTATACTGTCGTCCGTTCTGTGTGTATGGTCCTGCACACCGTCCCAATCCCCTCCGTATCTGTCACCAATATTGCAGGAACCTAAATGCACCAACAAAAAGTTAATAATAAAATGTCTGAAGATGTCTGAAGTAAGTCGTGATCTTGAAAACCACAGTAATTACTATGCGTACTTAACCCCTTAAGTAATTTGAAATAAACCAGTACTTCTTTCTTAAATTTAAAATTATTATAATTACAATTCTTATGCACTTCCCTTTCTGTTTCAAGAATAATTTTCAACCAATTTTGATTGCCAAGATTTTTTGCCCCTAACATCACCAATGAATCCTAAAGGGACCAAACAGCTGGATGATGCAATGTGATCAAATTTAGCATACTGTATCTGTTATCAATATCATTTAAATAAGCTGCACGTGTTTGTGTTATGTTCATCTTTAACTTTGGCATTTTTTATGAATTATTTCGGTCGGTATATGTTCTCCATCGATAATATGAATATGGATCATCCCGTCTAATTCTAATAAAATCAATAAATCAATGTTAAAGGGGCAAGCAAATAAATACAACATACGTCTACATGAATTACTATTCGAACAAGGGTATTAAGAACACATGAATCCTAAAATTATATTGGAAGAAATGACCGTCAGCTGGGACATGTATGTTATTTTATTTTGTTCACATTTTTGTCAATAAAATTCACCCCTTCATTTTATTTTGAGAATAGAGAAGAGATACATTATACCTTTCTTAGTATTATTTAATCAATGGGGATACCTTGTAAGAAGACGTTATGTATTTTGTGTATATTGAAACTCTCCCCAACAATAACAAAAGTGTAGTTCCTTTTACATTCTGCGTTCATTCCCGTCCAACCCCGATCCGCTCCTTTCAATTGCAGTGAAACATCTATTCTTGCCATTTAATCTAATGAATCACAAAGTTACCGAAATGACTATTCAACCTAGGTTTTCAAGAACATATGGATCCTCTGGCAAAATGACCTTGAGCGGGGACAACTCTGCCTTAATTTTCTGCTTAAAATGTATGCATATCTTCATATAAAAAATATATCCTTATTTTTTTGGGGAGAATGAGTCCATCAATCATGCCGTACTGTTATATCAACAGTTATTCCAGGCTAAGTAACAGTAACTTGAATTCCTTATTTTAGCTATATTATTATCGATATTATTTTGACATATGACGAAATAGAATCGTTACATATCCGAGTATTTTAGTAAAGAAGTATAACACTATGTCAAGCATTCCGACAACATAGTGAGTGCTTTTGATTAACCTCACTACCTGTAAGTTTGAACCCTTGTGCGTATATAACATCCTGTCAAGAAAACTTTAATAGCTTAGACTAAATGTTAGTTACTCACCATAGACCGTCGTCGATAACACCGCCATACTAAACAGCATAAACAATTGCGCTTGAAACTGAAAAAAAATGGGAAAAAATGATAGTTACTTACGAATAAATAAAGGCCCATTGTACTTTTGATATAATAGAAAATAACAGCCTCTCTAATTATTCGCATTTGTTTTGCTGGACGGAGTTATTCATCTGTTTGCAAAAGAAGTAAAATCAACAAAAACTTGCGAACTTGTAGATTTTATATAATAAAGCATATTTCATTATCAATAAAAACGCGATAAAAATGTATGGTGCCTGGACAAAGTCACAATTATATTTCACTCGTCAAATAAACTGACATACAAAGTAAAACAACATTGAAAAACAGAGACGAACTATAATTTCATAAAGATAACACTAGCTTTAAGTTTACAGTATTTGAATTATCAATTAGGTCAATGGTATAAGTAGTACTATTGGCACTCTTTACTTACCATGGTGACGTGTTGAAAAGTCGAGGAACAGTTACCAATAAGTATCTGCTTTGTATGTACAAAACATCCGCCTTTATATAGCGATCAGCTGCAGCAGCATCTGTTATCCATATGGTCACCACACATTGAACAGGTCAATCATAGGTCATGAAAAATAGCCACCAGCGATTTCAAGTATATTCTTATAATGAAATAAGTGCTACCTAGTAGAAACGCTTGAGGATCTTTGACATTAATATAACCTAGTACACATTCTAGATGATATTTGTTGACACCGTAGATGTGTGAGTTATGTATTATTAAAGACTATAGTATCCCAAGCAGTTACCAGACAGGGAGTACAAGAGCATTGTTCCTCAATATTTTGTTGGGTAGTTTTTTTATGTTTTAAAAGGAATCACATCTCATATAGTGGTACCTTAAATTTAGTTAGAAAAATACATGACGTTGATATAATATTGGGCGTTGCCGTTGATGGAATATATGATGATGCTATAGTCTTATACAGTACCTGTATCCGTGTATCATAATAACTTATATGGTCTACGGTATGTACGTCGATTTATATGTTATCCCATAATAGTTACCAGCAGATTTTACAACCAATTCGTTCTCTTTTAGTGTATTTTCCTTTAGATTTGTACACTTTTAACCTATTTTAGGTTAAAAACCTGCTGATGCGTCCTAAATGGATACAGGTCATGATGCGTCCTAAATGGATACAGGTCATGATGCGTCCTAAATGGATAAAGGTCATGATGCGTCCTAAATGTAAAAATATTGACTTTGTTTGGCTTGCTCAAAAGGGTGTTTCCTTTCTTTTGTATATCCAATGATTATTTTATATCAGATACAATCACTGAATAATTTAATACATGTACAAGTGTACTTGATACATCTAGTGACGTACCTTTAATCTAACAATTTACATAAATTTTGATTAACTAATACTGTCTGATCAATTAGTATAAAAACAGCATGAATGTATTGTTGCATACTTAGTAACGCATATTGTGCCTGCAACATTTTTCTCGCACAGAGCCGAAATAATACATATAAAAATAAATCACATTGTCATTCTAAAAAGTGAAAGTGGACAACAGGTCATTTCAACAGAGGCAACAATGCAGCAACTATTCAGATAGCTTTCCTTTGATGAGCAGGTTTATATGTACATTTATGTAAAACCTTCCGTTAAAATGCTTCTTTTCTCATAACAAAGTTAAGGTTATTATAGGAATGCAGCGGTTTGTGTGCTTGATCAGAGGATCGTGATCATGAATTTTAAACATAAATACATTTCTGTTGACATTGTTCTACACATATCACCGCTCTTTTCAGCTTATACAATTCAAGTGAACGTTCAATCAAGGAAACCCCGAGGGGTAAATGTGGTAGTTATATAAACCTTTGTCAATCTGTCGCCGCACAATATGTGTGTACCATATTGTCCCGATGTGCCGGTAAGTATTGAGAACCGCAGGCAAAGTAGGACATTTACGTCGTGTTATACATAAAATGTGTGACGTAAATAATTTGCTATTAGGGACATCAGATTGATTGGTAGGTAAAACTTTTCAAATCTCCATTCTAGAAAGATGATGGTAGCTAACGGAATGGCTTGTTACCATGTTGAGTATCTATAGTATGGTATATTCCTTAGTAGACTTGAACACCCCAGACGTAATAGAAGAGAATTCTTATAATCACGGCTCGAACTCACGACGGTTAGCGAGAAGGCTGATATACTCTCTACTGTTGTATTAAGTAACAAGTTCGCGGACATTGTTTTTGGTGTGTATTAATGTTGGTTTTTATGTCTCTATAGTATGTCGAAACAATGTGATGATTTTAACAGAAACTGGAGTTTTATCATTTGTGTTGATGTTGACGTAGGCTTGTATAGATATTCAATTAGCTGAAACGTTAACTGAAACAGGCAGGCACTGTAAGGAGATACACTTTATATTTAATTAGCTGAAACGTTAACTGAAACAGGCAGGCACTGTAAGGAGATACACTTTATATTTAATTAGCTGAAACGTTAACTGAAACAGGCAGGCACTGTAAGGAGATACACTTTATATTTAATTAGCTGAAACGTTAACTGAAACAGGCAGGCACTGTAAGGAGATACACTTTATATTTAATTAGCTGAAACGTTAACTGAAACAGGCAGGCACTGTAAGGAGATACACTTTATATTTAATTAGCTGAAACGTTAACTGAAACAGGCAGGCACTGTAAGGAGATACACTTTATATTTAATTAGCTGAAACGTTAACTGAAACAGGCAGGCACTGTAAGGAGATACACTTTATATTTAATTAGCTGAAACGTTAACTGAAACAGGCAGGCACTGTAAGGAGATACACTTTATATTTAATTAGCTGAAACGTTAACTGAAACAGGCAGGCACTGTAAGGAGATACACTTTATATTTAATTAGCTGAAACGTTAACTGAAACAGGCAGGCACTGTAAGGAGATACACTTTATATTTAATTAGCTGAAACGTTAACTGAAACAGGCAGGCACTGTAAGGAGATACACTTTATATTTAATTAGCTGAAACGTTAACTGAAACAGGCAGGCACTGTAAGGAGATACACTTTATATTTAATTAGCTGAAACGTTAACTGAAACAGGCAGGCACTGTAAGGAGATACACTTTATATTTAATTAGCTGAAACGTTAACTGAAACAGGCAGGCACTGTCAGGAGATACACTTTATATTTAATTATTGAAACATATTCACATTTAAAAAATGCTTTATATACTAATGATAATTATTCTGGCACTAGTTGGAAGTTACCTTTTAATTCTTCTCAACAAACCTAAGCCTCTATTTTTTTCCCCAACAAGTAGTTAACATGGTCTTCCCTACTTACACTTTTGTCAACCTTTACACCAAGCAACTTAGCAGACTGAACCTGGTCAAGATCTGTGTTGTTTAAAGAGTGATCTTTTGTTTTGTAGATATAAGCATACAATTTGATTTATCTGTATTTATTAACATTTTATTGTCTAAACCCCGGTTCTTACTTGATTGGGGTTGGTTTGTAATTTAAGAGAGGAATCAGTAAGCATTAAAACTTTCGTCGATTTCAGTTTTATCAAATGTTTTACTGTTTGCCATATGTTTCATGTTTGGTGTAGAGGTACACTTTTTTGGAGCAAGTTCCCTCACAAATTTACTTGGACTGTTAAGGACTGAAAGTATGTCGTTTTGGCCTCGTGAATTTACGGTAATAGTTAATGTAACGAGCCGATTTAAAATGGTCTCTAATGCGCATTCCCTGAATGATGTCGTCGGTCATCCAGTTTGACTGAGAAGCCTTTTTAACTCGACGTATGCAAAAGGGTGCTTGTTCGTCAACAATGTTGCTGAACAATTTTAAACTTGAGTTCAAGACAAAGGGTTTCCATTTTGGCAGATTCAATATCACGTCTTCTAGTGAATGGGATGCTGGATTTTACATAGTTTTACACACTCCTCGATGACATTGACCATCTTCTCTGTCTGAACGTTCCAGCATAAAACCCTTTATGGACATTAAGAATTTAACCAAGTCTCTGATATACATGGTGAGAAATTTAGGGTAATTTATTGTATATACTCCTGAAATTTCATTATAGGAAACAAAGACCACCTGGCATAGTGAAGTTAGATGAATTTTTTGAATTGCCGTATTAAACAGGTAAAGGTAAATCTATCTGGTGACTGCTCAGATGTGACGCCCGGTTTCCCCATACTGTACCTCTGCTTTATAGACCTGTACACAAAACTATTGTGGAATTCTGCATCTATAGTCACTTAAATTACACATTTCACATCGAGGTTTTGTAGTGACGACATACATGTATGTACGATAGTCTGCCAATTTTGATTGAGAAATGCGGATTTTGGAACCAGTAGTATCAAAAAGTTTGACAGAACATAAATACTAAACTGTGTAGTGTCGGTGAACACAGCACGCTTCATGAATGATGAAGAATTAGTATTAAACAAACAAACTCATTAATCTTTCTTGATGCCTTGCATTTTAATTTCGAAAACAGGCAATGATATCTTTATCTATTTCATTTTATCGGTGATTCTTATTTCCCCTCTTCAGTTTTAGCCCTCCGCTCACAAACTCATCTGAACACAAATTTAAATATTCGTGATCTGTCTTTTCGGGGATTTCTTCCGGGTTGAAATTGCCTGGAAAAATAATTATGGGTATCATAACACGGAGGAAGCCATTTTGTACAGGTAAAAATGCATTATTGATTTGTCTATTTAAAAGATTTGCCTCGATCTGTACCCAAAAACATATCTAACCAGTTTATCTCAAAAAGAGAACATGCGAAATACTTGAAGAAGCAACTTTGTTTATTAAGGAAATAAATATCCATATATTGTCAAGAAACTCTCATATTTGTTTGTTGAAGCTGGGGTATATTTGTGTCTTTATTTCATTTTTTCTTATTGGTTATGAAATCGTCATACATTTCATTTGCTATAGTATAAAATTGTTCATCTTATATATGAAGTTCAAAACTGACGTATTCTCTTTTAATGTGATTTATGTTGTTACTCTTCGGGAAATTCTTTTCGAATAAATTGATATGTTAAATGAAAGTTCTATGCAAATGTACACGAGAGCAGGAACTGTTTCTATCGAGATCAGAGATTGAAACTTACCAGTATGTGTTTTAATCATCCTTTGAAATATATTTCTGCCAACATCAGTCTTGAGCACACACAGAAAATTATCAGGAATGTCATTGCTTCTGAAAACAGCATTACAGTTATTGTGAGTTAATTATAACGTAAAGATATGACACGTTTAATATTTCACAAAGCATTGGCCAACACTCTGATGCAATACATTTTTTTCTCCATAAGATTAGTTATCATCACACCATTTTGACATCTTCACTCTTAGCTGAAATCTAACATAGGTCAGGAAGCGACACGGTACTTACGACACGAAAACTGACTTTATGTTGGTATATGTCGCTGTTGAATGACACTTTTATTAAAGTAAAATAACTGAATACTTTGTTTCATACCAAACATCACCAATACAGCATTGTTACATTGTCATACAAGATATTTAAGCCAATCAAACGAATGGTAAAAACTGCGAAACAGGTTTAAATAAACATTTTCTTACTATAGGAAAAACATGTGTATTACGAAGGGTGGGAAGTCCTTAATATAGGTCAGTGTTAGATGAATGACTCCTTAGTAGTCTTTCAGCATTTATCTTGGAAGGAAATCATTGTTATGGTAGATCATTTCGCAATATTTTACGAAGCGATAATTGAGCGTTTCATTTTTTGTTATTTTTTTAGTGTTAATGATGTATGACGTACCTTTCTTTTACACGATTTTTGCAGCTTGCAAATAAAGCAGAACTTGGCAAGCGTAAGAGCAGTAGGTAAAGCAGAAATTTAAACTGATACTGTAAAAGCTGTAATTTGAATATTGTGAGACTTATTCGTCGTTCCTTTACGTAAGTCAAAAGGTAAACAAACACAGACAAGCTTGAAAACAGCAAGTAATGCAGACATTTTAAATTGAATTAGTAGAAGCTCATCTTTTGAATATTTTGAGACTTATTCGTTCCTTTACTTACATCCAAAAGCAAAAGAGAAACAGACAAGAGTGAAAACAGCCAACTGCAATAAAGCAGACATTTGAAACTGAATTTGCAAAAGCTCTTCGTTTGAATATGTTGATACTAATTCGTGACTTTACTTACATACAAAGGTAAAAGCGAAAAGGACAAGCTTAGATACAACAAATAAAGCAGACATTTGAAATTTGTAGAAGCTCTTCGTTTGATTATTTTGAGATGTATTCGTTCCTTTACTTACATCCAAAGGTACTCGCCGTAGAAAAGTCCTTTATCGATACACTTGAATGCTCTTGTGACCCAGTCTGTGGTCACCTCAATGTTGTTTCCATCCACCACAACTGTGTCATTCGTATTTTGTAAATCATCCGACAGAACAGTCCATTTTCCCTGCATACTTCGACTGATATCACAATCATCTGTATCTATATCTGAATCTATGAATTGATGAAAGTTATTTTATGATGTGACAGTAAACGATTATTAAAAGGTAATGAACGGAATGTTTGCAGTGTCATTGGTGGTGTGGACAAACATAATTTGCATGCATGTAACTTGGTTCTTGACCAATAGGAAATATATGAATTGAACAGAATTTTGTCAATTTGATTGTTGGTGTCAAAATATATGCATGTGACTGTCAATGTGATATAAGAGTTTATGATACTGACTTTTCATATATTGCGATAAAATAATTTACTGTCAATATGTTATACAAGATAATACAATGGACATGTTACTGTCAATATGATATACAAAGGTAATACAATGGACATGTTACCGTCAATATGATATACAAAGGTAATACAATGGATATGTCACTGTCAATTTGATATACAAAAATAATACAATGGACATGGAACTGTCAATATGATATTCAAGATAATACAATGGACATGTAACTGTCAATATGATATACAAGATAAAACAATGGACATGTAGATGTCAATATGATATACAAGATAATACAATGGACATGTAACTGTCAATATATACACAAGATAATACCATGGACATGTAACTGTCAATATAATATACAAGATAATACAATGGACATGTAACTGTCAATATGATATACAAAGGTAATACAATGGATATGTCACTGTCAATTTGATATACAAAAATAATACAATGGACATGTAACTGTCAATATGATATACAAAGGTAATACAATGGACATGTAGATGTCAATATATACACAAGATAATACAATGGACATGTAGCTGTCAATATGATATACAAGATAATACAACGGACATGTAACTGTCATTATAGATACAAGATAATACAATGGACATGTAACTGTTAATATGATATACAAGATAATACAACGGACATGTAACTGTCATTATAGATACAAGATAATACAATGGACATGTAACTGACAATATGATATACAAGATAATACAATGGACATGTTACTGTCAATCTGATATACAAGATAATACAATGGACATGTAACTGTAAATATGATATACAAGATAATACAATGGACATGTTACTGTAAATATATACACAAGATAATACAATGGACATGTAACTGTGAATATGATATACAAGATAATACAACGGACATGTAACTGTCAATATAGATATAAGATAATACAATGGACATGTAACTGTCAATGTGATATACAAGATAATACAACGGACATGTAACTGTCATTATAGATACAAGATAATACAATGGACATGTAACTGTCAATAAGATATACAAGATAATACAATGGACATGTAACTGACAATATGATATACAAGATAATACAATGGACATGTAAATGTCAATATGATATACAAGATAAAACAATGGACATGTAACTGTCAATATGATATACAAGATAATACAACGGACATGTAACTGTCAATATAGATACAAGATAATACAATGGACATGTAACTGTCAATATGATATACAAGATAATACAATGGAGATGTTACTGTCAATATGATATACAAGATAATACAACGGACATGTAACTGTCAATATACATACAAGATAATACAATGGACATGTAACTGACAATATGATATACAAGATAATACAATGGACATGTAACTGACAATATGATATACAAGATAATACAATGGAGATGTTACTGTCAATATGATATACAAGATAGTACAATGGACATGCTACTGTCAATATGATATACAAGATAATACAATGGGCATGTAACTGTCAATAGGATATAAAAGATGATAATATAGATATGTTATTGTCAATATGATATACAAAGATAATACAATGGATATTTCACTATCAATATGATATACAAAGGTAATACAACGAACATGTTACTGTCAATATAATATACAAGGGTAATACGATGGGCATGTTACTGTCAATATAATATACATATAAAGCACTAGTTTCTGTCAATTTGTTGATAACACGTGCGTCTATTATCACTATGAATTACATATAAAACGATATCATACGTGTCATTGTTAGTTACCTTATCCCCTACACACATACCTGATTTCGTAGTCACACATAGAGCAGCAAACAGTAAAAGAGAGGCTGCCTAGAAAAGATAAGTAAATCGCTTATAAGGGCAATGGTCCCATTATTGCCATGTTTGCTGGGTCTTTTTTCATTATCCTCTCCACTTCGACGACATCACGCAGCTGGAGGATGATTTTTATTATGTATAATCCTCCCAATATTCACAGAATTATCTCGCGGTTTATCAGTTGAGGATTTTTCTGTCACCCCTTTGAATATGATTTCTCTGTCACCCCTTAAGACATGATTTTTCTTTCAGGCCATAAAGGTATGATATTTCTGTCACCACACCAAGGTATGATATTTCTGTCACCACACCAAGGTATGATATTTCTGTCACTACACCAAGGTATGATATTTCGGTCACCACACCAAGGTATGACTTTTCTGTCAGCATACAGGGTACGATTTCCCTGTCATTCCCTAGGGTATGACAGATAGCACGTGACAAAATATATACTATGGCGTCACGGGAAAAATTAGACATGACGCCAAAATCAGCTGAAACCTGTTGTTTTCAAACACAGGATTGAAAACCGGAAACATAGCCATCCCCTACCTTGAGAGTGTTAAAGAGAAATTTCCAACACTGGTGGTTATCATCTGGTTGTCTATCCCTTGGATTAAACAACCACAAATGCCAGCATGGTTGAAGATTTCTCTATCATACCCTCAAGATAGTGGATGATTCTATTAGTCAAACATAATTAATATGTGTGGATTAGTAAACACGTTATATCTATTCAACTAAAATATTTCATTATGCAGATTCTGATAAACAACAACTTAAGATCTCGCAAGATATTGTCAGCATACATGCTACGCCATAATTAACGTCATCATAAATGTCTAATTATAACAACACCTCTCTTCTAAAATTGCCTAAAATATTAATTAATTATATACCCCCTCATGTCTCTCAGACACTGAACCCTCGTACAAACTGACTATTCTTAAACATGACTCTCAAACCTATTGGTCTCTGCATTCTAGGCTCTTTGCACAGACGTCATGTATATGTACATACCACCCTTTATTTATTCATTTATATGCACATTGAGATGCTTATCTTCTTGCTTAACGGGTAATGGTGATTGTATGCCTTTTTAGTTGTATCAAATTGTATAGGGCGCTATACACATGTTGTATATCATTATTATTATTTTGATGAAAAATAAAATTAGTAAACAATAGTGTCAAAACATCACCACAAAGTAAACCATAACGTCACATAAACACATGGACTTACCAAATGGTTTACATATAAGGATAAAAAGTATAGCACAGTACCATAACCTCACAAAACATTTAACAGCGGCAAACCACACGGCCAAACTTAAGTGGATATCAACAATTAGGAACAGAAAAGCACAAGAAACAAACGTACCGAAACGTTCACACTCCAAGACAAGGTATCCAACAGCATCATCACACCACCACATAAAATACCACAGCGTTAATACACAAGCACAGAAACTTATCAAATGTTATACAGAATAGGATAAAAAAATATACCAAATGTTTGTATACCATTACACCAATACACACCATGACAAAATATTAAACAGCGTCAACACATACGGCCAAAATAAAGCGGATATCTGCACATAGGGACAAAAGATACCTCAAGATTGAAACGTACCGCAACGTTAAAGCACCAGGACAAGGTCTTCAACAGCATCATCACACAAACACAAAATATATATCACAATGTCAACTCACAAGGACAAAATATACTTCAAGATTGAAACGTACCGCAACGTTAAAGCACCAGGACAAGGTAATCATCAGCATATTCACACCAGGACAAAATATACCACAATGTCAACTCACAAGGACAAAATATACCACAATGTCAATTCTCAAAGACAAAATATATTTCAAGATTGAAACGTACCGCAACGTAAAAGCACAAGGCCCAAGACCAGGTCTTCAACAGCATCATAACACCAACACAAAATATATATAACAATGTCAACTCACAAGGACAAACTATCCTTCAAGATTGAAACGTACCGCAACGTTAAAACACCAGGACAAGGTCTTCAACAGCATCATCACACCAACACAAAATATATATAACAATGTCAACTCACAAGGACAAAATATACTTCAAGATTGAAACGTACCGCCACGTTAAAGCACCAGGACAAGGTAATCAACAGCATATTCACACCAGGACAAAATATACCGCAATATCAACTCAAAAAATATATCCCAGCGTTAATATCTCTGGACGAAATTTCATTTACGAAAGACATAAACAGCGACCGAGAGATAAAGCGCTTTCTGTACCAACACGTGACCGCTGTGGTTACGTCTCTTGAAAATATGAAAAAATGACAAACCTTTAAGATATCTCTCAAAAAATAATCTTTTGACGTCAATATAAAAATTCTAAGATATCACTCACCTTGTACTGCATGGCGACTTATGGATGAATACAACTGGTTATTGCGAATCATATAGTGTGAAATGCAAAATTGAATTGCGCAGTGGATGTAAACATCTAAATTTATAGGGGATGCTTTGTAACATGTTGTAGCAATTAATACCACTTGTACGTGCTGTTGGTCAATATCATTGACAACACGATTAGTTACCAATGAATAATTGGTAGTAATATATCAATCCTAAAATTGATTCTTATAAGAGTTGACAGATGATTCTTTAAAAAACACATAACATTTTGTCATTTTAAAAGCGTTTTGATTTTTTAATCCCGTTGCCTTCGGAAAATAATTATTTAGACATAAAACATGTTTCATATTTATACCCTATGGTGATTCTAGATGACCGAGGAACGCCCGGAATATGACCTATCGCTTACAGTAATGAAATAAACTGTTCAAATCTCCCTGAAGAAAATTGAGATGACGGAGTAAATAGATCATCAGTTCAAAATTAATAGTTAACCCGGTTATCACGTGCAGGCCTGCAGTGTTAAACAGCGAAGTAACTGATTTATTACATAACGTCACGCTACCACATTTGGCACAATTTTGATGGTTTTTCAAAGTTTTCAAAATCCATAGATTGTATCTGGAATGTTTATTGGGTCTTGACAAAGACTACCCATGGTGGTTAATTTTCAGGAAGGTTTTGATTATAAGGCATTTGTTTTTAAAAATGTAACGCTAAACTTGCAGTAAGAGTTTTCAGCCCTGATTAGTTAGTACCCTACTTGGTACATCATATCACAGACTCTGAACTTTAATTTTAATTCAAGTAGTTTTTTTTATACCACACTGAACTACAATTGCATATATGCATTTTTATATCCGGTTATAAGAACCAGGAATCAACACTTTAAAATGCCTATAATTGTCCCCTTCAAAATCCTCCAAAATTTCGTCGACATACGTCGTTCTTTCTGGTTTTCTGACGAGTTTTCTTTGCAGTTGTCGCATACTCCTAAAATGTTGCTGTTAACAAAACTATTTAGTGGAAACGCTGATAGTAATCTCTATTGTTTTACCAACAGTGGAAAATATACAAATTCAATTTTACAGTCCAATTCAAAACATATTCCAACTGTGTACCAATTGCGTACCAATTGTGGTGTAACGTGACGTTACCTGGTGGATCATTATGTAGTACCGCAGCCTGATTTCAGGTCTGTTAACACATACTCTGTATTTTACACTGTGATATAAGACAAGATGTTCTTTAACTCCAGTTTGAATTTATCAGTTGTTATCAATTGATCAAATCAACGAATTTAAACAGGAACGGGTTTAAAATACGGTTAGCTCGATTTTACGTTACGGTAATGTGGTGACCATATTCCGTCATCGACGTCATTTTGACCACCATAAATGTGCTGCTCATTTCTTTTCGGGAACAAATTGATTATTGATCTGGGGTTATTATGAGCAATAATTTTAAGTGCATATCAAATAAAATTTAATAAAAATATGTAAAGAATGTTCTATCTTCACATATTAAGACGTCCCTTTTTTAACACTGACTAATAAGCACGGTAATTTCTGTCCATAGTAATCAACGCCGTACAAACAAATGAGTGGTTGTGTTGTACATATTTGATACAGTAAGTATATCTGACCTGAGGTAATAGCAGAAAACAATAATATGGTTTCGAGAAATGGCAAATAGACTTGTTGTCAAGCGTGACATCATTAACTTCTGACGTCAAATACTGTACATATAATTTCGGCAATTTTCGAGGCAGCAATATCTTATTTGTTCTAATACAGAATAACATAAATAGAAAAACCAATGTTTCTTTTTCATTCGTGAAAAGTATTCGGTATTCCACCATACTCATGAATAATTGCACGGGAAACTATGTCAGGTAGTGAATAAAATGTCACGTGACGAGCGTTGCATGTAGTATATACGATAATTTGTCATATGATTAGCGTGTCAGGTAGTGAATACACAATTTGTCACGTCACAAGCGTTGCTTGTAGTGAACCAAACAATAGGTAACTTGACTTGTGTGCCATGAAGTGAACACAACAGTTTGTCATATGATCAGTTTGTCACGTAGTGAATACACCAATATGACACGTGGCTAGCTTTGCATGTAGTGAATCAACTAATTTGGCACATGACTATCGTGTCACGTAGTGATTACACCAATAACTAATCGTGACCAGCTGTGCATGTTGTGAATACAAAAAAATTGTACATGACTAGCGTGTCATGTAGTCGATACACTATTTTGTCAAATGATTACTATATTTTCTAGCGATAACATCAAATTGCCGCATGACTAGCGTGTCATTTTTTGAATACACACATTTGTCACGTGACTAGCTTTTTAGTGTTATTTTTGAAACATCACCAATTATGACGTCATTATTAAGAGTTGGGTCAATGGTATTATGATGTCACATTGACGAGAATTACCATGATGACAAGATGTCAACGTAAAATGTTTGAAGATCGTAAGAGAAAACATATTTGTCAAGGCAATTTACACAAAGGGATATTATATTCTCGCATAACCTCATCATAAGCTAGCATCATAAATTATTCATGAAACGGAGGCAGATTTAAAGTGATACATTGTCATTGCCATTTATATATGCATGTGGACAATATATCACGCTCACACAGAGAGTGTGAACATATAATTAATTAGTGTTTAGTGTAGTAACATATGCCAGCGTTTCATTTATAGACAACGAAAGTTTACAATTTTACAGTCACTGCTTAAGTAAACACATATCTTAGCATCTTGTGTTTTGTGTAATGGAATCTATTTTTTTTGATGACGTAGACATTGTGTTATTACCTACACAAATATGACGTCACAATATAAGGAATGATTTCAAACATATGATGGCATTACCACTACGCAAAAAATGCAAGAATATCGTTCGTACTATTACACATACGAAATGACGTAATTACATAGAGAATACATAAGCACTGCTATTATTATTACAATTGCAAAGACGATGTCAATATACGACAGACATACATGAGCATTATTAAAAGTGTAGCATACATAACGATAACTTCCGTTTTAAACGGTGTAATCACATGCTTAAGTTAATGTAACATAAAGAGAAGTTACGTTATGTATGTTACATCTTTAAAACAAAATGCTCATGTATGTCTGTCGTATATTGACATCGTCTTTGCAATTGTAATGATAATAGCAGTGCTTGTGTAAACGTCATTTTCTTATGTGTAATAATAGAGCATTTAATATATATATTGCGATGACACAGGGAATAAAAAAATAACTTCAAGAATTCAAATATTAAAATAGGGATAATATAAAGCGTAAACTTTATTTTTGTCTCCGACTTTTTTCTGACGATCTCTTATCAGCAGAAGCTCTAACATGTAAGTAATGACAATCTTGATTGAGCAATTGTTATACCATCTAACATACTTCATGTATGAGTGTTATGCATATGATACTGTTTTTATGAATTGTTGTGATTTTGCATACAATGTTTGTATAATTTTGTATTTACACTTATAACATACAAATCTCAATCATATTTAGCTGATATAAACCAATGAATTTTGTTAAAATAATTTTAATCACTCATTAACATAACCATGAAAATGAATCATTTTAGCTGATATAAACAGATGAATTTTGATATATTTAAAACAACACTTATTAGCATTTTCTCAATCAGTATTTCTTGTTAATAAAACACGCTTCCTAATTTGTGAATAAAAAAGCGTGTTTACCTGATATTTTAAAATATTACCTAGAAAATAATATCGTATTTGAAAATAAAATCGAAATAATAATAATAACAAAAACCTCGCCAATCGCGTAATTTACAAATCTGGAGTCTTAAAACTCTAGAAAAACAAGGAAAACTTAATATGTCCCATATAAGGTTAAAAGTAACCGAAACAACTTTCCATTTGATATGGACCGAATATATAGGCGTATTGCCTGTTTTCTGAAACCGTTCTCATGCTCAAGCAAGGATTGTATGCTCAAGTCTAGTTTCTTGTTCCGCTTATCAATAATTTAAAAAGTTTTATTTTGTCAATACAATTGCCTTTTTGATCGATTGACATGATTTATGTGAGTTACAAAAAAAATTGGTTTAAGCAAGGAATTCATACTTGAGCATGAGAACGGTTTCATGAATACGGGCCCAGGTCTTAGAAATAATTAAGCATTATTCGAAACAGACGTTCTAAGTATTTTATTGAAGAAAGTGTGACATCGTATAATGTACTTGTACATTACTGGAGATATACTGTTATCAATACCAGTACATTGCCACTAAAGCCGTTACGCGGTTTTGTTGATTTCGTTTTGATATACTCCATCAGACATGGTTATTGCGTGACAGTTGTATCGTCCAAGGCATGCTTAAGCATGTAACTGGTGTTCATAGGATCGTCTAATGTCCAATGCAGGTCGTCTTCTTGCGTTACCACATAAGTGTTCGATGGTGTGGCCACCTCTTCCTGGCAAATCTTTTGGAGCAAATTCACCTGTACCAATAGATCAAGATTGGTTATAAACAGAAGCAAACAAGACGTAAATAATCTTATTGTAATGTACCACACAGATAGATCTAGATTTGTTATAAACAGAAGCAAACAAGATGTAAAATAATCTTATTGTAATGTAACACAGATATATCTAGATTTGTTATAAACAGAAACAAACAAGACGTAAAATAATCGTAATGTAATGCAACACACAGTATTGAGGATATCTTACAATATCTCAAAGCAAAATGTTTATCAGTGTAGTTTATTTAACAATATTGGAAATACTTGTACTGTCAAGAAAAGACTAAACCCACTGCATTTTACAAAATAAATCAAAATACATGCACTGAATTGGAAGCCATCGTGTACACATTGAGCTCTATATTTGACAATTAATTGCCCCCCCCCCCCCCACCCCCACCCCTTAAATTTAACACAATTTTTTTCAGTCCGCTACAGTGAATTAATGTGTATACAATGACATCATTTTATAACATGCAGTCGTATCAATAAGAGAAATCATGTTATTATTTAAACACATAAATTGCAAGTAATTAATACAAAGCATTTCGGAATATTTAAATAATAAAAATGTTTTAGAGAATATTCAATTTAAAAGTTTTTATTTGCTAAGAATTCCAACATACCAGTGTTTGTTGACAACGAGTACTGAACCACGGAGTCCATCATGATAGCTCTGTATACACAAAGGTACTTACTACCATTCTCAGTCCTGTAACATTTTGACAGTTCAATCAGGTTTTAGATTCTTTCGCAAACGACTTTTCAATCTATCTAAATTTCTAATTGAGAGTTTTTTTTTTAATGTTTCCAATATTTCACATTGCAATCAAACACAAAAGTCACGCATGCACCTAGAAACAAACATACGTGAGCAGATGTATCGACAGTGCTTAAAACCATTTCAGTGTGGCATGAATCAGTACGGTGATTATCTTTACGACGGCTTGCTTTAAAGCTAATATTAGGCGGCACAAAGTAATGCTTCTGACCTCACATGACGAATCTCTTAACATTATTACTGTATGGCAACATTGATTAAAATGTTAATTCACCTAATCTCGTTTAAAATTTTTGATATCGTGAACTGAATATTCAACTGGTTTTTTTACAATCATTGTCACAATTTAGTTTCATCATTGCACATGTAAGTCTCCTTCGAAAATCTCATAGCTTCAAATATAAACATAAAAATGCACTTCATATAAGCAAGAGTAACTTAAATAGCAAGTGACATCAACAAGAGTTTTTTACATAAAAAATAATTTTGTAATCTCCGTCGAAAAGTGTAACGTAACATCAACAAGAGTTATTTACATAAATAAATGTAACCTACGTCGAAAGGTGTAACTTAACATCAACAAGAGTTATTTACATAAATAAATGTCATTTCCGTCGAAAAGTTTAACTTAACATCAACAAGAATTTATAACATAAATAAATGTAATCTCCGTCGAAAAGTGTAACTTAACATCAACAAGAGTTATTTACATAAATAAATGTAATTTCCGTCGGAAAGTGTCACTTAACACCAACAAGAGTTATTAACATAAATAAATGTAAGTTTCGTCGAAAAGTGTCACTTAACATCAACAAGAGTTATTAACATAAATAAATGTAATTTCCGTCGAAAAGTTTAACTTAACATCACCAAGAGTTATTTACATAAATAAATCCAATTTCCGTCGAAAAGTTTAACTTAACATCAACAAGAGTTATTAACATAAATAAATGTAATTTCCGTCGGAATGTGTCACTTAATATCAACAATTTTGACTTACATCCACAAGGAAGTACTGCCGTATTGATTCTCTCCTTTACACACGTATGTCGCTTCTGCATCCCGCACGTTGACATGAATTGTATTACTTTTCATAATAACGATCCAGTCGTGTGTGTCCATGTGGTCAAGAACTCCGATCCATACCCCGTTCATCTGCTTTCCAATATTACACAACCCTACACAATGTAGCCAAACATATTAAGGAGAGCAAGTATTAAATGAAAGACCAAAAATTCACTTATGGATGTACAATTGAACTGATGTCTAATAGTTCATGAAAAGTAGAATTTTGTGTGAATGTTTTTCATTTTGTTCTTGAAAATATTTATTAAACACCTTCTTGCAGGAAAAAAAGTCAAATAACAAAAGAAAAAGATAAACGTTTTGGTTATGGATGAAAAAATATTAACAAACATAAATGTAGAATTTCTTTAACAATAAAAAGAACATACTGTATTTACAAATAACATGAATAAGGAAACGATATCTATTAACATTAAGTTATAGTTTCTGAATTCTTCAGTCTGAAGAGCTATTCGGATTCGACTACCTGTATCCTGAAATAACTCTGACTTTCAAGTTACCAAACATCTTACTTTTTGACGCTGTGCCTGCAAACACGCTGCCTTCGACAGCAAATATTGCCCCACTTAGGAAGACACAAAGACCAATCAGGATCTGCAAGCAAACGGCATGAGATAAGCTATATATTATATTAACATATAAAATAAGAGACATCAGTTTAGAAATTTGCAAAATCAATATTTTATTTTATACACAAACATTGTACGTATTTAACGTGTCGCAAAGTTTCAAGACCGACTGGGCCCTTTGTCAAGCTATGACTGATTGAGCGATGTGTGTTGTTTACAGGTCTGCTGAACGTTGTGACGAAATTATATATTTCTTATGTCACTCGATCCCGGACGTTTCGCCTATCGATAGAGAACGATACACACACTGTATCGAATAGTATGTTAAATGTGTAATACGTACATTGTTTATTTATAAAGTCACACTTTAATTGTATGTACTAATATTTTGATTCTTGATCGAAAACAGAAGTTCATCTATTACAAGCAGGCATGAGGGTAATGGTAATGTGTAATGGTAATTAATTGCAATTAATTACATTTTGTTAAGTAATTGGATGTAATGTGTAATTGAGGATTTTTTCAATTACATGTAATGGTAATTTAATTAATTACATTGAAAAATGTATGTAATGCCCAATTACTTTTAATTACTTTTAATTACTTTAATGTTGTGTGTTGATGTTTCATGATCCTTTATACAATTTAATCAAATAGAAAGTTTCCAAAGTAAATATTTATTATGTAAGGACACAGGTAATAAGAGGTTATACCTGTATTGATCCTAATCCCCTATTCATAGCTTAGCTATTGTCTCCTTCACAGAGACCAGGTAACTTGTGATTTTGATATCAAAAGATTGCCACACAGTGAGTACATGTATCATAACAGGGTTGACCATTCAGAACATTCAGAACATTCTATCTTTGTAAGGTTGAAGTTATAGTGAACAGTACTAACACTGAATTAAACTTTCACTTGAAAACTTGAACAACCACATTTGAGCCATTTTTAAATTCCCAAACACACAACAGGGTATTTTATGGCAATATGCATGGATTTCTTCAGTTTTCTGCGAGCAACCCGAAGGAAAAGACACCAATCTGGGTTGGCACCAAAGGAAGTAGAGAAATATCTCGAAAACCTTTGTATTGACATGGAGGATGACCCAATGTCATTTTAGCAAACAAATCCTGTCCAAAAACCTGTTCTGTCAAAACTTGCTATCAACTATTTGACTATCACATCATCTTCAGCTTCAGTCGTGAGACTATTCAGTTTTGCCGGGAAGATGGATTCCGCCCAGACAGATGCCGTCTAAATGACGAAACTTTTGAACATCTGATGATGATCAAATGCAATATGCATGTTTACATATATGTAGTGTACGCTGTCTGAGCAGAACATCTTCCCAGAGCTGAGTACATGTACATACCATGCGAGTGTATACATACATTTTGTATATATGTAGTGATGTAAATTCCCTATATGAAACACAAACAACAGGTTCATAACAGATAAAGGTAAATATGTCATTTAAACTTGTATTTTTATTGGCTTGGATTAAAAATAATATACCGAGAATATTAAATAAAGTAATGTGTCATGGTAATTAATTACATTGTCATGGTAATTAATTACAATGTAATTAATTACCATTACAATTACATTAAGAAAACCATGTAATGGTAATAGTAATGGTAATGCTACTTTTCCAATGTAATGTGTAATTTAATTAATTACATTACCAATGTAATTGCCCCATACCTGATTACAAGCATGATTAACTTTTGTGGTCATATATGTTTTTATGATAATCTCACAAACAACAACTGGCTCATTGCCATCCTCATTTCTGATAATTTCTGATAATAACGATAAAAATGAATACGCACTATTGCGTTTATTAAAGTGAAACGCTCAAAAACTGTTTAAAGTCTCCATTAAATAATCGGTAGTACCCATATGATAACACATGTTGGTTGAAATGTGATTTAGATAATACAAAATGTATATATGATCACCAATATCTCCACGCTGAATCAGCATCTATCATTCAATATAGTTTACTCATGTATATACTTGTTAACAATTTAACTGTCAATGAGATACTTACTCGTTCCATGTTGCGAGATACAATGCCTTTCAGTCTTTTTGTCGCTTTATGTAACAACCCGTGTGTTAAATCAAATACATCGTCTTTTATAGAAACAGTTGATAGATGCAACATTTGGCTGATGCATATATTATGGTTGTCATCCACGCAGAACACCAATCACAAGTCCTTAGCATAATTGTGATGTCGTAAGCGCTACATGCTAGTCAATACTACATGTATGACCGAGTACTTTAGTAAAACAATGTTGATCTTATCTAAGGTAAGCCTATAATAAACTTTTTTTTTTTTTTTTTACAGTTTTGATACATGTAATATTACAGGGGTTATTCATTGAACAAAAATAACACCCATGGCCACCGTACGCTACTGTACACTGCTACCTATAATCCCGACTATGTTTGTCGTCCGTTTGTGATGATTTCTAACTACGTATCTTTGACTATTTTACGTACACTGTACTATCACTTACCAAAGTTAGTAGTAACTTTGTACTTGGAACTGGAACGTTTTGGGGAAAACAACCTTCCTCTTTTAGCTGTATGTTTTGTTTAGACGAATAAATGGTAAATCTTAAATAGACGAAATACTTATATGGAGCAGTGAAATGTTTCCTTTTTATATTTTGGCTCTCAGCATCAGCAATTTAATTTTTGACAAAGGTGATTTCTGCTTTGTGTTCATGGATATTTCCTGTCTGTACCTTTTGCTTTGTTCTATTTGTTTTCTCTCAGTTATGTAACCTCTGCTGTTTTTACTGCCATTTGCATTTATTCCGAGTGTCTAGTGTCTGTTTTGTCTGTTTGCTGTGATCCTGGCTGTGTGCCAGTCCGTGTGTATATAACAAATGTCTATTTTTAAAAGCAATTCGACCCTTTCTCAAGACACGTGTATGATACAACCATGTACAAAATACGTTTCGAAGCGACAAGTATTAAAAATGTAAAGATGTATAACTTCTTTTAAAAATTATGAGAATGACGTAAACAGATAAAACAAAAGGAAAACAAAAACGATCATGAGGTTTGGTAAATCTTTAATGTTAAGTCTAGACATTGTAACAATGACTCTATAATTATTAATCAACTATTTATATTTATCCTTCGCGTAGATTATCCGACAAAGTCTTGTAGCACTGCTGTGTCAGTATAGTCCCTCTGTAAGTCCAATGCTACCGACCCGTCAGTAAAGTTTCCACACGCGGCTTCAAATGTGAGAACTTCAGGTAAGGGACTTAATCCTTCAAATGTACCTGTTAATAGAAATAATAATTTCAAGATTAACTGAAGAAACAAGCGTAATAGAGAATAGATATTTGAGTACTAAACCTGACTTCGAAATCGATAAGGTAAGACAACAACAGGAACCGTGTAGAACCAAAACAAGTGGAAAGATGTCCCGCACTGAAAACGGAAGTAACACTTAAGATATGACATCCGTCATGGCGTCTCCCGTCAAAATCAACCCTCAACTAACATTAATCTTAACCAATAGCATGTTCGTGTCACTAAAGCAATAAAAAAATTTATCGTAAGAGGCTTTATTTTTATTTTTAATTTTGTTTGTTTAAATCAACATCGGGGGAAACATTATTCATGTCACATATTTTACATGGAATTATTTTGTTGATATCTAATATTAATATATGTAGTATGAGGCCTTCACAACTGTTTCGTTGTTGTGTATGTTATGTATTTTGTTTTATCTTCCAAATATATAGTATTCATACAATTCAATTTTCGATTCTACATACCACTATTTTTTACCGACAGACTTAATCAATACCCACCTAATAGCAATCGCTAACAATATATTACGGATTCGTAGTAAAGTATAATAATTAATCGTAAGAGATATGTTTTATTTTGTTTGTGTTCCCAAAACAAAGTTGCACTATTGCCCTACCATTGTTGGTAAACACGGAGTAGTCAATCCCGGAGGAGTCGTCTCGGAACTTGAAGGCAAGACAAAGGTAGGAGGAACCGTTAGAAGATCTGTTGGCATAACAATAAGTAAAATATGTTTAAGCAGAGTCGACTAATAACAACAACGAATGGCGTACTTCATTGATATGTGTTAATATTAATGATAAGTCGAGGTTCTTATATACTGCTTTATCACGACCTAGTTCGTAGGTCGTCTCAAAGCAGTTCAACAAATATCATCCGTGGTTACAAGGCCTTTGCAACCAGCCAATATATTTCTCAACTCCCTGGGGAGCATACAGCCGGTGCTGCCCTTTCGGCGCTCACAGCTAGCGTTCAACAATTCTAGCACTGCCCAACCACGTACTCATTTACAGTTGTTGAGTAGACTAGAACAAACGGAGTAAAGTATCTTGCTCAAAGATACAACACAGCGCCGTTTCGTGACTCGAACCCGCAACCCTTCGGTTACCACGAGCCCGGCGTCCTACCACTAGACTACCGTGCCTCCGTGTAGTAGGTTTTCGTCCTTCATACTTGATTTGTTGCGATCACACAAACAACTGACTAGATTGACGGATACATTGGATTACTGATTTTCACGATATAACCACTATCTGTTAAAATGTTTTTGAGATTGCATTTCAAATCAGTTTTTTGCGTGACTGTTAATTTTGATAGTTATGAGAGTTTTTAAGAGTTAACAGAAATTGAACATCTATCAACAACACTGTATGCACTAATTGCAATAGGGGCTTGAACGACTTCCAAAGTTCATTCATGCATGAACACAAGTGGCAGCATTGAATTTTTCAACTTAGACTTTGTAAAATACAACAGAAAGATGTACTACAACTATTATCACGCTTGTCGTAACGTGATGTTGGACACTTTCAGTATAATGTGATATTATAAATGTATACTGATGTAACATGACGTTGTACTACTTACAACATAAGGCTGTTGTATCCCTGTGCATCACCATCTATACAGTCAAATGTCTGTGTTATTCCATCTATAGTGACCTCCATCTCGTTATCATCGATGATCACGTGATCATCTGATACCTTGTCATTCAGGATCCTGTTCCATTTCCCCTCGTAATATTGTTCGAGCCAACATGATCCTTTAAGCAAAGTAAGAGAACTTAAAATAGATATAGCTAGAAGAATGACAATAATAACTGCATAAAAACCTGATCATGGTTTGTCGCAGTTGATTAGATATTAATGCTAATTTAAATTGGCTGTTTAATCTGCATGACATTAACCTTACAGTACTTGTACATTACAGCACGTGCTCCGTACAACACACAGTTATATGGCAGAAACTTACTTTGTCTGAGTAACTGCAACAGTTAAATTTAGCATTCTTTCTTCTAAATATGATACTCACTTTCCGAATCGTCTTCCTCTTGATCCGCTGGAAAGGAAAAAGACACCGTTACTGATGCTTACCAAAAAAAAAAAAAAAATGATGACGGCAAAAGCAATTTAAATAAATGTGTATTTATAATGAACCGTCAACATTCCCTCCACAACAGTAATTTTACAACACTAACGTCCAGGTAAGTGCTGTTTCATTCAAAGCGAAAAACAGTGTAATTTTCGTATTGCATTTACATGAATAGCTTGGCAATATAGTATAAACTGACCTGACTGATCTAGATCTAAAAAGTAGGGGAAAACATCACCAAGTTTGTCTTTAGCGTTGTATCATGACGCCAATTGTGTCTTTATCACGAAGTTAAAGCACCATATGTCTGATATAGCAATTCTGTGGTATACTCACACGTTACTGTAGATGACAGTAACAGCATCACAGCAAAGGTAGCAAATATCTTGAAACATAAAAAAGAAGGATGTAGAATTTAATTTCAGCATTTGAGTAGTGTAAAACCAAATAAAGACAAATTAACCCAATACTGACAAAGTTAGCCTTATACAGTTAGATAAATTACAAGGGAAACATAAACCAAATAAAATCGAGTATATCATCACTGACAACAAAACTGAAAAAAGTTAAGTATATAACAGCTTACAATGTTAACTTGATACAGGCAACTGTATTACAATATATATGACAATATAACGCATTATGTAGCCAACTGTTTTACAATGTATACTAAACGATTTAGGAAATGACAAAACAATTTACTGGTCATTCCGTGTGTCTGAATAAAGACTCCACTGGTTTGCAAACGCAAAGCTTATCGTTAAATGGGCGGAATTTGTTTAGACATATACCGCATAACAAGTAAAAATATTCCTTATGCATGCATTTGAAAGACAAACAAATCCTTTTGATATGTAGTTACATATCTCATAGAAATGTTTACAATGTTTGTAAAAGTTTAAATCGAATTAATGTTCGGAACACAATATCGTATGGTCGTTAATAACTATTTGTAACATATTAAGGCCTTTGTCGACTGTCGATCTGCATCTTCAGTCTATTCCGCCGTTCCTGGTTATTGTAATATATATTTTATCAAGGCTTTATTTAATTCCATGGTTTAATAAAACATCGTAACTAAAGAGAACTTTATAAAATATTATTTATGTTCTTATCAATATTATATTCATAATTAATTAGGTCTGAATCATGTAAATAGTTGCACAAATAAATAAACAGTAAATTGAAATATACAGTGTATTTTCATATTATGGACACACCAATTAGCTCGCCCATTCAACTTACCGTGTACATGGTGTCCGGTTCTTTGTTTTCACCTGATGTCCACATGTGGTCAGTGCGTACATTTTATAACCAGACACTGTGATGGTATTATGACAGCAGATGATGGTTAATTCATTATTGGGTTAACACGGAATATTCTGCGTAATGCCTGTTCATTCGATTCCGTCATACAATTTCGTCATATATAAAGATATAGCATATCAGGCAAACCGTATATTTTTATATGCAATGTATAGCAGTGTATATATTAAGACAATTAATATAAGCGACCCGTAAGTCTCACGAATGCTGTGGGGTTATTTCATTCGTTATGTACGTTTTTATTGTAATATGTATCATGATTTTATCACATATTTCCCCATGACAAGCACTGTTGTGCAACAAATTTAAAACATAAATTAAAAAATCACGACATCATTTAAAGCTCTTTTCATATTGGAGTTATATTTTCCTATAATTTCTCTCGATAAAAACAGATATTAGAAGTTTAATATTGATATACAAATGAAAAATTATCACTCGCTTATTGTTCAGCTTATTATGCATTATTTACAAACAGATTTTTTCCGTAATAAAATGTATTTTAAACGTATGTTTAGCATTAGAAGTTTGCACTTCCTCTTTTTCACTTATAACCTGTGTTATTAGCTCAAAGACAGAAGTCAGCTACGCATCTGGTTTGTCAAAACGTAGATATTATTCAATTCACAGCAAAATTATGATGTATGTAAATATGGAGAATCATGACACTATGCATTTTCTTTATTGCGACTCCGGTTTGTGTCATGTATGACAGCAGAGGTAACTTGTAATTAAATAATTACCACTTCTATGGACGAACTCCTTTATACCTAGACTTTTGAATACCTTATGATATTAACTATATTTATTTCATAACATATTTAAATTCTAGTGTTAAAAAAGTCTTGAACAAATACACAAAGGCATCAATCCATACATATCAGTTATCACTGACTTGAGTGATAATCCACCGGGGGCGGTAAATGTAACAGCTGGATTTGTATAGCCACTGTCCATCGGGTCACATATGGTCAAATCCTGGTCTGGTAATCTGTGTATACATTTATACGATTGTCCGTAAGAATAACCTATCTTTGCAATCTGACCCCTGATCACTTGATTTATAGAGAGTCGATTGGCTAATTTAAAATTAAGTACAATCATACATGAAAAAAGTTGATGACATTTGACAAATGTTTCTAAAATTCCTGTCTGATATCAACGTTTCCTATTCTTCAATAAATATACAACTGTTAAAACAATGGGTCCTAGTACAAGAACATATCAATGCTACTCTTAAATTAAAAGTCCCACCCGTCTTTCTGAAAAGGCGAGTGCGTGTGGATTGTGTGGTATGCAACATTGTATTTTGTTGATTCCCTGGACTATATATCATAATATCTTGTAGACTTTGTAGTATGTAATATTGTATCTTATGGATTTTGGGGTATGTATTATAAATCTATTGGATTGCTTGGTATGTATAACTATATAATGTAGATTGTGTTGTGTGTATTATGTATGTTGTTGATTGTGTTTTATGCATTATGGTAAATTGGTGATTGTGTGTTATATATCATTATATCTTGTGGATTGCATTGTATGTTTAACTGTATCTTGTGGATTGCGTTGTATGTTTAACTTGTGGATTGCGTGGAATATATCATTATATCTTGTAGACTGTGTGGTATGTAATATTGCGTTTTATGGAGTTTGTGGTATGTATTATGAATCTTTTGGTACTTTTGGTATGTATACCTATATCATGTGAATTGTGTTGTGTGTATTATGTATGTTGTTGATTGTGTTTTATGCATTATGGTAAATTGATGATTGTGTGTTATATATCATTATATATTGTGGATTGCATTGTATGTTTAACTGTATCTTGTGGATTGCGTTGTATGTTTAACTGTATCTTGTGGATTGCGTTGAATGTTTAACTTTTTCTTGTGGATTGCTTGGTATGTATTACTGTATCTTGTAGATTGCGTGGTAGGTATTGTATGGATTATTTTGGTTGTCTTGTCTCCTCAGTTGTTACCGAAAAACATGGCGGCTGAAACGAGCCATACGCCAATCTTCTTTGTGCGACCATGTTTTTGCACTGTCCCACACTGTCGCTCAATTCTAGGGCGTTGTGAAGTACCCTCGATTGATTCAATGTTTAAACGAATATGACAGTGTGAAATAAACAATTTGCCTGGACCAATCAGAAAACAGGATTTTCACTAGTGGTAATTTATGATATAAAATTCTAACGATATGCATTGTTGTGCTATTGATAAAACTGCTCTTGTCCTTTGTGATTGTAACGTTGTAAAGTTAACCTGTAACCTAACGTCGTCATCGGTACATGTTGTGTGTAAAAGATATTGTAAAGTTGTTGACACTTTGCGGGTAATACAACAATGCATTGCTTGTGGGGTGTATTATGTAACCGTACTGACATCGTTGTAATATTTTAAGGCAACAACAATACATCTAGGAAGTGTTTCAACACGTACAATACCGACTGTTTTTTTTTATATCAATAATCATTTATTTAGATATCTCGTATGGACCGATGCTCTAATCTAATTTTAATTCGAATGAGAAAAGAATTAAATTGCAAAATACATACCAGCCAGATGAGAATACATAATGGGCTTGACATAAAAATATCGTATATCCTGTAGTATCAAATGTAATAAAACTAGGAAAATATAAGTTGGTGAATTATTTTATTTCAAATTGTTTTGTTGATATATATTGCAATGGATTTGAACAATGATGGTGGATTATGACATGATTTCTGGTGGGGACGATGTGTTGGTATCTGTTATCATTGGGGCAGTGCCACGTGCCACGTGTCTGTTCCGAAAGAGTCCACGTAGTCACATGTCTGGTGAAGGTAGATAGGTGCGCCATGATCAATCAGCTTTATTGGCGTTCCAGCTGAAACAAGATGATATGTAACCCTCATTGTCCGTTGAATCGTTATGAAATAATGTATAGAATTACATATATTACTATGATGTTGAATATAATCATAGGCGTCCGGATTGCGGTGTGCTAATATTTATAAATTGCCAAAAGCGATTGAAATTCAGCGCAGTATTGTTGTTTCCATATTCAAAATGACTTTTAATGTATGTTTGATATAGTTATTGCATGTCAGATTCGCCTGTTCTGCTGGAGTTTTATTCAGTCAATGTGATCCTTAAAACAGACATTTTCTGTACAATTTTGAACAATATTCTCCAAGCACTTTTTAACTCAAACCTCATATTCCTCCAGTGCTTTCGGATTTCTAATCCATATTAATTTTTATAACTTACCACTAAATCGCTGTCCGGCTAGTACACGGATATCTCTGTCATCCTCCGGCATAGGTACAAAATGGAACCGGAAGCACAGACAGCCATCTTTGTTTTTCGTTACATGCTCCTTCCTATAAAACACAACCATACATTGTTAGTGCGAAGACTGATTTTTATTTCCTTACGTGATTCATATCAGATACCTCTCGTCTGGTCTAGTGTAGTATTGTATGAAGGGCACTTATTGATATGCTTGTTTATAATTATGAACATTCAGAAACATAATTTACTACAGTTATTTGCATAAACAAACATCTATATTCGAAGATATTTTTTCCAAATTTATTTTAATTTACATATTTCCATTTGTATCCAAAAAAAAACTTTTTAATGTAGCTATTCTTTATTCACATAGAAACATTTTTCAATATTCTTAATTTGTGTACTTTTATATTCATTTTGTATTTAAAATGTCATTATAATATCCAGTGATAGCGTTTTGTTCAATAACATTGTAGGCTATCAATGTGTGATCAGCGGCGGCTTTTTGTTACGGCTTTTGTGATTTGACAGTCAATTGATGCCAAAAGTGAATCTCAGAAACTGCCATGATGAACTGCGGAAAGCAAGACATGATGTCAGGTATGTAAATACCTTAAAGCGAACATATATGTGTGGTTGCCCTTCATTTGGAAACGTTCGCATGCTAACTCCATTGCATTGAAATCAAAGGCCTGTATGGCTAACGTGCTGTTTTCAATGGAGATTTCTTTGATAAAGGTTCCAGAGAAAGTCCATTTTCCTTGTATCGCAGACGGAAAGGTACATCCGGGATCTGAGAGGAAATTAAAAACAACGAAAATGCCTACATTAAAAGAATGCCTGGAACTTAACTGAAAGGAACAATCGTTGTTTTACTTAAACCCAACAACATCATACCTGCGGAATGAATTAGTATATTGTTAAATAGATAAGCTAGCATACATTGAAGAATAAATAACTAATTGTGTCACAGTTATTGTTTGCTTTGAAAATTTAATTCTTTTAATTTAGTGTATTACGAAACTCCTTCGAGTAGTGTAGTATGATAAAATTTACTTCAAAGATAAATGTTACACACACACACACACACAGGTAATTGCACATTCAAAAAATGTTTAAGAGAAGGCTAAAAATGCGGAAATGTATATCGAATTCCATGGCATATTTAAACAACGCGCATTTAACATCAATGTTGAAAATCTTTGAGTTAAAAGTAAACTAACCACAATAACAATGTGATAAATAAATTAACAACCTTGATGTAACATCAACATAAACAGTTATGAAACAATATAAGGAAGTAATGTTCCTGAAACAATGTAAATAAACAATCCATACATAACAGAGTAAACAAACAATGTGTACATAACAGAGTAAACAAACAATGTGTACATAACAGTGTCAATAAACAATGTATACATAACAGTGTCAATAAACAATGCATACATAACAGTGTCAATAAACAATGTGTACATAACAGTGTCAATAAACAATGTATACATAACAGTGTCAATAAACAATGTATACATAACAGTGTCAATAAACAATGTATACATAACAGTGTCAATAAACAATGTATACATAACAGTGTCAATAAACAATGTATACATAACAGTGTCAATAAACAATGTATACATAACAGTGTCAATAAACAATGTATACATAACAGTGTCAATAAACAATGTATACATAACAGTGTCAATAAACAATGTATACATAACAGTGTCAATAAACAATGTATACATAACAGTGTCAATAAACAATGTATACATAACAGTGTCAATAAACAATGTATACATAACAGTGTCAATAAACAATGTATACATAACAGTGTCAATAAACAATGTATACATAACAGTGTCAATAAACAATGTATACATAACAGTGTCAATAAACAATGTATACATAACAGTGTCAATAAACAATGTATACATAACAGTGTCAATAAACAATGTATACATAACAGTGTCAATAAACAATGTATACATAACAGTGTCAATAAACAATGTATACATAACAGTGTCAATAAACAATGTATACATAACAGTGTCAATAAACAATGTGTACATAACAGTGTCAATAAACAATGTATACATAACAGTGTCAATAAACAATGTATACATAACAGTGTCAATAAACAATGTATACATAACAGTGTCAATAAACAATGTATACATAACAGTGTCAATAAACAATGTATACATAACAGTGTCAATAAACAATGTATACATAACAGTGTCAATAAACAATGTATACATAACAGTGTCAATAAACAATGTATACATAACAGTGTCAATAAACAATGTATACATAACAGTGTCAATAAACAATGTATACATAACAGTGTCAATAAACAATGTATACATAACAGTGTCAATAAACAATGTATACATAACAGTGTCAATAAACAATGTATACATAACAGTGTCAATAAACAATGTATACATAACAGTGTCAATAAACAATGTATACATAACAGTGTCAATAAACAATGTATACATAACAGTGTCAATAAACAATGTATACATAACAGTGTCAATAAACAATGTATACATAACAGTGTCAATAAACAATGTATACATAACAGTGTCAATAAACAATGTATACATAACAGTGTCAATAAACAATGTATACATAACAGTGTCAATAAACAATGTATACATAACAGTGTCAATAAACAATGTATACATAACAGTGTCAATAAACAATGTATACATAACAGTGTCAATAAACAATGTATACATAACAGTGTCAATAAACAATGTGTACATAACAGTGTCAATAAATATGTAACAATACGAACTAATAGCGTGTCTGTAACAATGTCTAACAACCTATTTGTAATAGCAAAGTAATTCACGCAGCCAACGTAAATGTATCTAACACAGTTTCTTTGTTAGCCTAATATTTCATTTATAAATTCAACTTTTTAATCGATCTACACATAACATATGTTTATATATATATCTGACTTTGTTTTGAAAAGGGGGGAGTTGAAAAGCGGTGGTTGAACTTCAAACAACATTAATATAAATTTAGATGTTGTATATCGTGTCCACTACTATATCCATTCCTCCTGTTAAGATATTTACCTGCCCGTCTGACTTTCACGGTGCCCAGATCACCGGCCCTCGAGCACTGACTCAGTCCTGTCGGCTGTATGACGGGCATCCTCCCAGTCGTGTGATGGACTACAACAAGGTGTTTCTGTATTGTTTACTTACATTGTTCAGTGGAATACAATAATCATACTCAATCACATATCACAAACGGCTAAACAATTACAGCACTTTATATGCAGTAAAAGCATGTTTAATGACATGTTACCACTATTTTCAATTTATCATGAAGTTGTATCAACAATATCGAAATAAATTACTCTTGATAGTCTTTCCTGTCTGTAAACAAAGTACAGTCAAACGGCCCATCAATATAGTAAGGTCAGACAAGGTCATACTGGGACCGTACATGCCATCCATACAGTAAAGTCACCCATGGTCACACGGTAGCATTAACGGCACGCCGATACCGCAAGGTCACACAGGGCCCAATATTAAAGTATATATTTATATATACAATTTTTTTGGTTGATGAAATTATTCCGTCTGTTTTTTATAGATTTTGATTCAGTATTTTGTGACATCAGTTCTGAATATTTATGTAATTTGAAGATATGTCAAGGCCAGCTACCATTGGTTAAAATGGGTCAAGATGTATGCCCATTGGTCAGAGAGGTAGCAGCGAGAGCCCCGTGGGGTTGAAGCTGATAAACCCCTCACTCTCGCTGCTGTATCAAGACGCCATATTGGTTTGAGAAAAAATTGTGAAAACTTAAATTGATTCCTCCCTCCTCCCCTATGGGCTACCTTGCAATTTTAATCATCTAGATGTCCTGCAGCTATTTTTTCAAAAATGATTACAATGTAGTCTGCTTATTGTGTTATTTCATTTGTCAATGAACTTGTTTTGAAAGTTTTAATAGAACGTTTTATTTATAGGTGTTATGAATTGTAATATTGATTATATAAAGAACAAAGTTTTGTCAGTCATATTTGTTTGCCCGGTTTATCTTCAGATGTTAGGTTTGTTTATGTGCAGCGTCTGTATCCCAGGTGTTATCGGTGATAACTAAGTGAGTAAACACTTAATTACCAGCTGGTCTGAGCATGGTAAAATCCTACCTCCCCCTTACTGGTAAGGAGTTGGGGCAGCCCACTCGCAGCATTGCGTTGTTACTTACATATACATGTCTTAAGTTAATGAGGGTGGCGGTATTGCCGCACCTTCACTAAAATAATATTTTATGAAATAATAAATGTATTGAAATTTAGATCAAAGATAAAAAATTAAATTACGGCATCCTGATGAAGGTTAGCCAATTACGCCAATACCATTGTGTGTGTGTGATCTATTATTTAAGTGAAACACAGGGCCACGTTACAATCACACATATGCTATACTGATACGGGTCACGTGTATGTTTATGTGTGTTGTGACCCGTATCAGTATAGCATATGTGTGATTGTAACGTGGCCCTGTGAGTGAAATGAGCTTCATTGCATGTCATAAATTATGGCTTGCATGATGCTAGGTAGCTGATGCTGCGGTGTATTCTTGGAAGGATTTAGGAGGTACAAAAAGTGACCTTTCATGCCAGCAACACAATAAAGTCACCTAGGGTCACACGGTAGCGTTAAGGGGCCGGGTCAATACTATAGGATCACACAGGGTCATACTATTGCCGTACATGCCATCATCTAAGTAAAGTCACCCAGGGTCACACGGTCGTCTTAAATCCCCGTAAAGAACACGAAATCACACGGCGGCTAATGGTAAATATGCACAGTAAAGTCGTGAACTGGCATAAGGCTGTCTTACGGCCCTTGGATACAGTAAGGTGATAAGCGGTCACATGATAGTCTTACATGTAATAAACAATAAACACATCAAGGTCGCACAGGGCCTCGCGTTAGACTTAAAGACCTATCAACAGAATAGGTTCACACATGATCACACGATAGCCTTAACTGCTCACCAGCACAAAAAGTCAAACAGGGTCAAACAAACGTTTTCACTTTACATCATCACAATAAGGCAATAGAGAGCATTGGTGTAGTCTTAAAGGTCCGTCAACCCAGTTATGTAATGCAGTGTCACACAGAATTCTTAACAGTTCATGAACACAGCAGTTTTGTAAAGGTCAAAAGCTGACACAATAAGGTCAGACAGGGTCTCACCGACACGATAATTCAAGTTAACGAAAAACATCAAATCGAGCTAGCGTTCAACAGCACTTTCTACAAACGCACCAGGTCACAGGTCAAACGTGTCGCAGGTATCAAATGTTACGACGCAGGTCGTACGTGTATCGATCAAAACGTTAAATAAAAGGTTGTTGATAAAATGACTATACCTCGTCGTATAACAGAATACTCAGTGTGTGTACCGCTGTCTGAAGGTACGAATTCTAGGCAGATGTAGCCTTCACTGCCAATCGGTCTGTAAAAAGCAAAATAATTCATAAAAGCACTATCAGTAAACTCAAAATGTACAAAAAAAATAACGAACCAAAATTGCCAGCCCCCAAAATGGAAAGAAGTCATTTTATAATGGGAACTTTGTGCAAGTATTTAAATTATTATTATGTTTCAATACAAAATGAATTATTGCCCTATCTGTTGTACTCATCGTAACTGGACGAGATAAATATCGGTATAAAAAAGTCATCCCACTTTTCCTCAATAGTAATAGTACTAACTGTTCCTAAGTAACCTCTTGTAGGGGATTTCCGCCAACGCGGCAAGGCGACAAAAGTACTCCGCCAACGTAACAGAACTACACGACAACGCGACAGGTTTTTTTTTCTGTCGCATTGGCGCCTTAATTTTGTCGCGTTGTCGCGTTTATGCATTGTTATACATTGTCGCGTTGTCGCATGGTCGCGTTGTTGCATTCCGGTTGACATGCGCATTTGCAGATATCCAGTCCTCCATTTGAAATGATTTGCTGAATAACGTTATGTGGCTAAAATGAGACCCGAACTAACCTAGCTCCTTTTAGCAAGTCATTACAATTGGAGGACAGCATATATCCAAATGAGCGTTTCAACGCGACAAAAGTGCCCTGCCAACGCGACAAAATTAAGGCAAATATGCAACAATACGACAAAAACATTCTGTCTCTTTCTCGCGCAGTTCTGTCGGGTTGGAGGCCGGGGTCCTTTTGTCGCGTTGTCGCATTAATGCGTTAATTTTGTCGCCTTGTCGTATTTTCGATTTATGAGAACACGGAAACATTTGTTTTGTCACCTGACCTCCGTCATTAGTGTCTGTACTCACTGTAATTGGACGAGGTAGCCACTGGTATGAGAACACGAGTACTTTGTCACGTGACCTCCCCTTACTATGTCTACGTTATGACTCGAAACTGTGATAGCCTCATCCTTGATCCTATCTCCATTGTCATCGACAACCCACCACTGACCACGAATACGTTTGTCCAGCAGACATGATGCTACAAATGTAAAATATTTAACCTTGCATGTTAATAATATATTTGACTGGTTTAGAAATCTGATACGAACTCCTCAGGTTTCATTTGTATTCAATATATAACAGATTTAGAAACCTAAAGAACCATATACGGATTAGCACATTGCTTTGAATTGATTGCGCCACAGATAATATATAGAGTATGCATATGTTTCGGTCTTTACAGCGTAATGAGCAAAATTATCTTTAAATAGATTTGATCTCTTTATGTATATCAATAATTAAAAAAACAAAATAAATAAAAACAAAACAAAACGAAAACATGTTGTCTTCTGTTTATCATCCCTTTGACCCAAAATGGTGACTATTTTTATTCCGTCGCTATAATTACTGTATATCATGAACATTTCGTTGTGCATAAACATTCGTGGTTTTGGCGGTTGCTGTTGAACCACGAAAATAACTACAACGAGTTTGAATGATATACGTGTCTACTGTGTGTTAATATTGGATATCCACGAAAGTTTGTACCAGGAAACGGTCTAAAAGGCTTCAAACCACGGAGGAAAGTACCCACGAACATTTTGTGTTATGCAGTTAAGTGGCGACATTTCGTGGGATAACTATAAATGAGTTGGAACAAAATAAAAACAAATGGTATCGTGCAAAATATTGGGCATTACAAAAGGTGGCAAATGAAATTTATACATGGAATATATCAGTGTTTTATTGTATTTGTGAGGACTGTTTTGTAACGCTACCAGCGTTACATTATAGATCCACTTCCGCTCTGTGTATAAACGTTATTTCCTTTATTCTTGATCTATGATATAGGCAACAAAACAAGTCAGACAGTAATCAGACGACAAGAAAAGTAAGACATGGCCGCTGATGAAAATATTTGCAGTTGAAGAGTAACTTACAAACTTATACGATAATTGATAGTTTCAATTTATTTAACGAATATAAATAATTGGTTATAATAAGCAAATGGTTGGGTTAAAGATATTGTATTGTACAAAGATTCAAAGGGATCGAACAACAAGTTATTTCAATTTAATATAGTCCTCTGCTCAATACATGTTATAAAAAATATGGGTCAAAGAAGTAATATAGACGGTAAAATCCCATATAACACTGGATCCTAAACTTGTCAACACTGTTTGAATTACTTCTTTGCCCCATATTATAAAAAATATATATACATAAATATGAACATAAGCAAATGGTGCGTATACTAAAATACACTGAGCTGAATACTACAGTAAAGTTCCAATTCTTTTCTATTCATTCCAGGCACACGATCAAGTTTGATCTTTTTCAGACTTTGGTTACGCTTTAAGAGGAAATTTAATATTTCTTTTAGAATTATAGAAAATAAATTATTACTTACCAGCAGCAGAAGACGCTAGAACTGCCAGCATCAACACCGAAAATTCGTTCATTGCTTCTGAAATAAATCGTTTTGAATAAAGCAATCGTTTGTTTCAAACTTTCAGTAACTGTTATACAAAATCTTCTACCGAAGTACGATTTCAAAGAGAAAACTTTATCAATTTCATTAAAACATATATGATTGCAATTAAATTGATACATAAATGTAAATAGTGTGTGCTCAAATTCGTCTATAACATACCTTTTGAAAGAACAGATCTAGATGCTTCCTTCTCGATGTTATATCCTCTCTGACGTATAATCGTGTAACTAATGTCCGGTGGGACGGTCGTGCATTAGTGACAATATTATGCACGACCTATGTTGTTTACGTGATGATCATCCATCACGGCCTCTATGACTCGTAGATTGTTTATGTTTCAGCTGACCGGGCTAGGAAACATAAAGCTATACTAATGGGGAAAACAGTGATTGTATTTCACGTGTAATCAACACTATGATATATCACATCATGATTAAGCCTAGTCTAGACCAAAAGTCCTACATGTTCACGATCGTTCATAGTTTTTTTATGCAATTAAACTGCTTACGCATAGCAATTTATTCTGACAGATTTGCAGTGGATTATTTTAAAACATGAAATCAGACATCAATGACAAATTACCGTCAAACGGACACAACAATGGACAATAAGTATACTCTGATTAAACTGATGACTTGTTTTTAAATTCGTAGATTCATTTAATAGAAAAAAACATTAAATTTCATTTTTAAGGTAAACTCCGTGTTTTGTGGGATCTCATGACGTTGTTGATTATATATTGGAATATCCTCTGTTCCTCGTTCTGTCCTGTCGTATCGATTATATCTTCGTGGTCCATTTATCAGAGTCCCGTTAGCAATTTTTTTCAAAATAAAATTTAAAAAAAAAATCGTAGGCTTTATTTCTTTAATTTTAGTGGTATTTTTTATGAATAATTTGTATCATATGATCACTTGAACACATGTATTTAATGTTTTAATTTTTGATATTGTTGAAAATATACAAGACGAATTTTCGTTAATTTTCCACTAAGATATGGGGCTTTGAAAAGGTTTAGTCTTTTGTGTTGACGATGGTTTTTTTTCCATTTCCATTTTAAGGAAAGTGTACATTAATATATAGTAATATACGTTTATAACTATCTGCAAGGGGCTTAGATAAATTACTCCACAATAGGTATAATTCATTGGAGAATTTGACGATTAATGTATGACATAATTATAAGTATAAGCAGCAATAAATCACTTTTTTATGCATTCTGATTAAATCCTGAATAAACGTGTTCTCCACATACAACATTGGAATGTTTTCCTGGAAGAAAATTGAAAACGGACGTTCCTACCATAAATTATATGATAGGGGTTACTTCACCGAAGTTTGTAGAACACACTCCTATCTGAGCAGGTGTGATCCTCTTTGTGAAATTTTATTGAGAAAAACCTGCAATTCATGTTAAAACTAGAGAAAAAAAACATAACTATATGAAGTTGTCCCAGTAAAGTTATTGAAAAAAAATTCTTTAGCAGTACACAATATTGAAACGGTGGAAATAATGAATGAATATTAAATGAAACGATTTAAAAGAAATCATGTTGTAAATTCTCGAATTATGACAGATGAGTATACTTTAAAACAAAGTTTTAGTGCAGAATAAAAACAGATATAACAGTAGTCTCCATTGCTCGAAACACTTCAATGTAAGCTTGTTAACTGTCGACATCTATCAAGGTCATCATAACTCGAAGCAAGCTATTAAATACCCTATCAAATGCGACAAAGTATGTTGAAGAAACAGGGATGTTACCATCAAAAAAGGGAAAGAATACGAACAGGCTTATATAATCGAATTTGTGTCACATCATCAATGAATTATGAAAACACCAAACTAGCTACCGAATGTCATTAGGAAAAGTTTAAGTGGAAGTATCTTTAACGTTTGTTATACACAGAGAGAAAGCGAATACGGCGTGATTCAGATTTAAACGTCGTATACACGCAATAGTTCTACTAGCGTGTCTAAATGATCATCAAACAAAACATGTTTGTCCCTTGTATTGTCAGTGTCAGTTATTACGCTTACGTCATTTGTTCAAGGAGTAAACAAAGACATAACATTTGTATGACTTTATTCTGACCTTGACAAACTTCCGACAGAATCAACATAGTCATTACACAATATGGAGTCGCACGCATTATTTCGTTGCCTACGATACGGGATGTTAAGGATCGCCGTACCACGATATAAACTTTATTTATTTTACCACAATTATGAAACAAGTTTTCACAACTTATACTAAGCACTCTTGTTGGCCCGGACGTTAGTGCGCGGGGAGTCCTACTGTGGGAGGACCCGGAGAAAGCCCATGTGGCCGGGCAGGTGACCTCATACCTTTTCACGTCCGATCGGGGAAACCACTGCCAAAAATAACAGTGTTCTGGGTGTACAATGTTATGGGGACTAGTAGGAATTCGAACACTGGACTAAAGATTGTTATTCTTTCGCTCTATCAGATTGAGCTACCTCGTCAAAGGAAGTGTTCTGGCCAAACTGTGCTCAAGTAATATCTAAAGTGAGGGACTGATTTGTTGGATGATACATTTTCTCCGTGATACCTACACGCGTAAACAGAAGGACTTATCAACGAGGTTGAAATGTTGATATAAAAATTGAGTTTCTCTCCGATTCACAGCCGAACAAAGATTATCCATCCGTTGTCATTATTTTTTGTTTGTTTCAACTTATAAATATATATTAAACCACAGCGTGTACTGAGCCTATATAAAAGACACCATTGTAAACTTCAAATTCAGTTGTTCTAGTTGAACATTTCGTCATTTAGACATACACTGCAGGTCTGATAACGTTTTAAAATATTACACATTTTGAAATGAGAACAAAAACGTGCCTAGAACGTCATATTCAGAAAATCAATCTTGCGACGTTTTACGTGGGCAAACAAGTCAGTTTTTATATAAAAGATATCTGCTTTCAGAGCTTTAGAACACGTAGGTATTACCAATGTCATTGAGGACAATTCAATGGCTATTTAGCCTTTCTATAATATACCTCGTACCTGTAAGATCCACAAAGGAGGTCGACTCGGCCAGTTCTATTCAGGTTTTCTCAACCAATATATAAAGTTAATGCTACTTGGTAAACAGAATCAGGACACCAATTAAGAGAATACCAACTTCAAAATTGATAGAGTTAGGACCAAAAAAATGAACATACGAAAGATTAACATGAATATCCTTGAAAAAATACAAGAGGAAAGACCAGGAGTCCGTAAGGGATAGCGTCGTCTATTGCAGGGTCAAGCAAAAGAAATGCGAAGTTTCAAAGTGAGAACTGGGGTAATGATAGCGTAACAACACGACACACTAAACATTGACTTTCATATAATACAAGAACACAGAAAATTAGCAATGACTATGAAGTCGGCCATAAAACATGCCTACATTCTTCGTGAATCTGCGTCTCACTAAAGCAGAGGGAGGGACAGTTTGATTACAATAGAACTTTACTTGACGTCGTTTGTGAGTGTGTAACAAGGTCAGAGGATGGTGAACATGGATACGCCTAGCTGTAACAGTTACAGGAAGAGCAAGGCTACGCATAACACTGTCGGTGTATGCAGAAATATCACAGTGTTTCTCGGAATATGTGATACGTCAACGTCGCAATCTAAAAAACAGCTACGTACGTTACGTAGTCAGAGGTAAGCAAAACTACATACATATAGAAAAAATATATCTTAAGTTTATAAAATTGATTATTTTAACAACTTCATACGTAGAGCTAAATGTTCTTATTTTCATAAAATGTTGTCAAACTTTTTATGCAATAAATGTTGATGCCGATTAATGCCGGATGTATTCTTTAACACGAATTAAAATGGTTCGATTATATCTATCTAAGGTACGACCTCGTAATTGTTAGATTATTTGAAAAATATAACTCCGGGAATGGTCAGACTTAATAAAAGGTCATACCTTATGGAAAAACACACCAAAAGATCGAAAACACAAACTAAAGCATGTGAGATTTTGTGAATGGTACGCAATTTGACTTGAAAGCAGGACTTTATCAAACAACATATACAATGGAAGATCAGACTGTTTGAAGGTAATTACACATGAGGAAGGGCGGAATCCACGAAAGGATTTGACCAAGAAATGGTGGCCCAACTTTAATGAAATGACCAACTCCTTAAAATCGTTCAGCTTTGTGACATGATAGACTAAACAATATTGTAAGTCAATTTGTTATGGAAAGGTGTGTTCTATATGTCCATGTGGGGGAGTCCTACTTCAGGAAAAGGCGAGCCATTGATGTGAAAGGTTTTAATTTATGTAGGGGGTAAGATTTAAACGTGGCGGGGAAAATTCTTAGACGAATTTAACCTATCTTATGACCAGTTAACTTGTAGTTTAGTGGCACCATTAACAAATCAGTTTACTATTCTGTAATTTAATCATTAACTAGAACCACAGGAGTTCGAACCCCTGTGCTAGAACTGTAAGCCATGTGCAAAATAACTGATACCCCTCACTAAACCATTGGTTTTTTTTTTAAATTGCAGAAAGCGTAAACAAACCACAGAGCTCAAGTTATAGCCGTGACTGCGTCAACCAATCAGAGACCAAGGTAGTCACCTTGAATACTAAAGCTTAAAAGTTGTCCTTTTAAAACAAAGAATCCACAAATCTGGTACCATATACCTCGAACGATAATTGTTATTGTTGCAGCCAATATAAAGCCATGGGGCCATCTTGAATCCAACAACATAGGAGAGCAGCGGGGACTACTACAAAGACATCGTTCCGTGGACCACAGCCGCTGCGACAGCCTGTGCGCATCTGAGGAGCTGTCCAACCTCGTAGCGTGACCTGGATTGGCAGGACTTTGAATCTCCGAGGGTCTGATAAGTGACCACTTACCCCCTAACGTCGACCAAACACCGACTTGGTCAGTAAAGTGTAGACGTAAAACCCATCAACCAACCAACCAAACAACCATTGAATCCAAATAATAGAAAATATGCCATTTGATATATCTTCTATGTATCACTTTCGGAATGTCTCATAGTAATTGGTCACATACTTTTGAATATTCCTTTGATTGGCTTTATATACAGACGAAGGGAATAACTTTGGGGAAAAGTTGAAACTAAAATGTTCTTTTGGGTGCCTCGGTAGCCGTGATTGCTGACGCGTAATTATTTCTACTGTCGCAATCAAGCGTGAGCTCTCCAAAGAAATTTGGTTCGATCCCTAAACAATAAAACATATTATATAATCAAAAACACCACACAGAATATTATAATTGAAAGTACACATTTATTTTGACAAAGTCTGATCAAGAGTTATCACATAGTACCTTGAAATCGCTATGTCCCCAAAATCGGAGCACGGGACTGGGTCCCTAATACTTAGTAACCTAGGTAACTGTTACCATCACAAACAGTTCAGTATATCATTCAATGACAGACGCATTGCTTTAGAACCGTTTTTCTTACAGAGAAATGCTGCATCACAGTTTCAATAATAAATATAAGTTAATATATTTTACTAGACAACAAGGAGTTCCTACCACAGAAACTATATATCACAGATATTTGTACATTTCATTTTAAATATTTATACAATCAGCACAATGTGAAAGAGCATTTCTATCGATCAGTAAATAAATCAAACCAATAATAGCTTATAATAAACATGTTTGTTTTATTTCTATCAACTAAACATTACTTTCTGTTTACTTTAATTCGCTCATATTTAGTAAAACAAAATCATGTGAATCGCGGGGCGATATGTTCATAAGTTGCCACATATTGCCATTATTCAAACAGATTTAAATTAAACACGGAACAATTATCGGCCCTTTTATGAATACAATTCCTCTAAAACACATTCCTGGTAAAACAAAACGTAATTTGTAGTAAACAAAGAGCTGTATAAATCGTCGGCTGGATAACCGAACTACTCGGTACTGAAGTGGACGTAAAACCTATCAATCAATCAATCAATCAATCAATCAATCAATCAAAGTATCACTAGTATGTACCCTCTAATAAGTGTAGCAATGCCTTTAATTACTAACACTTTCGAGTCATCGATCTGTTATATTCTTTCTTCATTTTTTTACATAAATCCTGGCGGACCTGCTAAAGATTATGCATGCCTTACAAGGCCTTGTCAAGGCTCTGCTGAAAACAGCATCTGATCACTAGGTCCGACCTAATTTCATAAACGAACAACTCTGGTTCAACCGTTTGGATCGCGATAAACGAAGCACAGATCGTTTGTGTTATCGCCCTTGAATGTTTTAATTATCCTTTCATTCAAAGTCCATCTAAATGTGTTTTAGGCTGTGAGAGGGCCATACGATTTCTTTGTGTGAATAAATAAAAAGGATGAGTCTACTTAAAAAGAATGTCCAAAGATGCACATTTGTCACGCTGTGTACAGTCAATACATCAGAAAACAACTGTTGCTAATTATAATTACGAGCCCACTACAGGAATGTGAAAAATTGGTTTTCAATTCTTATTTTTTTCCCTTCTATTTCATTGATAGTAACTATAAGTAGTTCGGATCTTCCTTAAGATTCTAAAAGCAGAAAATTGAGTTTGGAGTTTTATTTTGTCAAATACATGTACCTGTACACATGTATTTGGAAAATCGACAAAATATAAACAATACCAAAAATATAACCTACACAGCTAGGTGATTATTCCTCTCAAATCTGTAAGTAATGCTGATCTGCCCAACGTCCATATCATTGTCCAAGTCATTGTCATATCAGATTTCAATGTTTGTAATACAAGTCAATTGGCAACATTCATGACAATATTTTAAACAAAATAATTATGACGTCTTAAAATGGCAGTATTTCCCCGGAATTAGATTATTAATCTAAGTCCGTGGTATTACTCATTTTTCCCATTATTTCAGAAAAATTTGATAAAAAACAATTTACAAACAGTTCATTGGGTTTAAAGTTTCATTTTTTAAATTTAAATCTGAGTGTTTTTCTGTGTATACTGTATCATAAATTAATCAGATTTCTGACTGCCTGAAAATAAATGTCTAACTAAAATAAGTGTCATACAAAATCAAGTTAGGACTAGGCAGTGAATCTTATCAAAGTTTGAGAATATGAAAATACAAAAATTAAAAAAAATATAATTTGTACAAATTAGTGTCACAAAAATAGCTTCACCTCTTAAAAGTAAAAATATATTCTAAAAAAACTGATAAATCATCCCCCCCATACAGTTAAATATAATATATATTGTAATGATATATAACTATGTGTTATTTCATGTAAATAATTTTTTTCCAAAATTTTTACTTACACTATTTTACCCCATAGCAGTACAACATTATTAGGTTGTTGTTTTTTTAGTTGATTTGAACAAGGCATTTAAAAAACAGATACCGATGAAATGCTAAAATAAGTTATTGTAATATGATACATAAAAAAACTTACAGACAAGGAAAACATGAAAATACTTATAGACAAGGAAATAATTACTACTATGTACAGTGTTTATACTTAATATACAGGTATGTCTCTCCCAACACGCTAAATACTAGTATTGCAAAAATCTTGGCACTCTTCAAACATTATACAAATAATTGTAATAAAACACATGACAAAAATTACTAAAGTTTGAGATATATATAAAATACAGAAAAAATATGTAATCGAATAATTTTGTTCATTTTGATATAAGATGTACGTTAAATACTGATCTCCATCCTTGTTGTTCTCAACTCGCAATGCCAATAATGTAATGCTTCATATCATATACACACAGTTTTCTTCATTTTAACTCATTCACCCCTGTAGACACATTTGAACTCTTCCAATTCAAAAGTTGGAATAGTTCATTATGAAATGTCAGGGGTGAAAGAGTTAATAGTGTGATGACAAAACTTACAAAAAAAAAAAAAATCTTTATAAACTTAAATACAGATAGATAAAGAATAATCTGTGTATTTTTTTTTTGAAACAAATTCACCAAAAACCCTGAAAACCTTTATATGATAATAACGAATATCAACATGGTTTGGCAAAATACATGTATATTTAAATTGGTCTTGAAAAAGAAAGACATTGCTATAAAAATATATAAATTGCAGATCAATGTTAAGTACCAGTGAATCACGAAAATTCCGATAAAATAATTCTGACCGTTTGGCAAACTTAATACCAACCTGAATTCAAAATCTCGTTTAATACAGGTATGTCGTATTTTGTGTTGTTGAATCCGACGTTAAATGTGGGTATATTTCACACAATTGCTCAAACTAATCTCAACTCTGTCTTATACTGTGATCTTGTGATGCACTCAGGACACATCAATTGTGTTAATTTTACTTTTAAACTTAATTCAATGTGTTTAAATTCTAATTGTTTTAATACGTATCAACACCAAGTAGACATAGGTGACAATGATGTAGTAGGGAATGTGTCGTATCAAGTAAAAATTTGATCACAGATGTAGCATTTTTATCATAACAGTCGTTATAAATATATCAACAAGCTGTGCTCTCGATTCTTTTTTAATATACACAGTGGCACACCTTTAAAAAAACCTTTTGCTCTTCGTATTTGTGTACTCAAATTCTGTAGCCATCCTTGTAACTGTTTAGATTCTACACAAATATCAATGTCAATTACACAAGCAGTTTTCTGAAATATATAAATTTATTATTTATCACTAAATTTCAACAGCGATTCACTCTCTGAAAATGTGGCCAGTGTTTTTATTTTTAGTCAGCTAAATTCTTGACATTGCAGTGTAAAAGCATGCTTGCTTTTTACAATTTTAAAAAATATTTTTTTTTTTGAATTATCAAATTTGTTCTTAGCTTTTGCGACCCGCACATTTCAAAACGTTGACTTAGTACATTTTATCAAACCTACAGTTGGCACTCAACGGTTGATGTTCCTGGGTCAGTGTATCACAGATTATTACAGACTATTGGGTCACACACGATAAGACTATAGTTAAGTAGGCTACTTCAGTCACGTGTGCTATGATGATATGGTAAAATCGAGAGGGTTTTCCTTATTGAAGCGATGCTTTGGGGGAGGGGGCATGGGTGTATCCTTGAGGGGTGACCACTTCAGCATGTGGTACTCATTCGGACCGCCACGGTCTGTTGGCTTGATCTTCGTCTTCTCGTGTCGAAGCCTGTGACAAAAACAAAATCAACCAAATCAATTTTTATAAGATTATGGTAACATCTAAAAGGCATCACTCTGACCTTTATTTTTATTCTCAAAAAGATTACTTTAGACATGGGGCCTGTTCATGCAGAACAACCAGTTCATCTGTTTTAAATGTAACACATTTTGGTATAAATCCTAGCGGACCTGCAAAAGGTTTTGCAGGCCTTGCAAGGCTTGCCTGAAAGCAGCATCAGATTATTAAGGCTCCCATTATTTCATAAACGAACAATTCTGGTCCAACTTGTTCGACCATTTGGATCGTGATAAACGAAAGCGACCATGGACAGGACAATACTTCACAAAGGACACAAAGGCTATTCCAACATTGTGAAGTATTGTTTCAAGGTCTGATACCTATATGTCAATGTGAGTTGAACCAAACCCTGCAACAACTAGCTTACAGACTTACAACCACTCTCATTCTAGACCTTAAGGCTGACAGAGGGATGATTGGATATGCAAATAACCAACAATGTTTTAGTTATAGGGGTTTCCACTGACCCTATATCAGAATATTGGGAGTCCGTATGACAGCGGTCAAGGCTAGATACGCAGTGTCTTGTAGTCCCAACTGACCCCTATATTACAACAGTTAGTACTGTGACATGATTTGAGTGGTCAAAGCAAGATGCAGAGCTCACAGATCCTAAATTACAATAGCTGGTCACAGTGATAAACTAGTACAAAGTATTACATTGATAGCTATTAAAAAGGCTTGATCCAATAACGTATTTTATAATATAAGCCCATGCCTGGTAATAAGCCCACCCACATTCATTTCAGTTCTGTGATAACGCCAACAAATGCTATTTCAGTGTCCAACCTTTATATAGACTTTGTGTAATCCTCATGTCTACATTTGCTTCAGAATAGAAGTGGAAATTGATTTCAGTGATGTCATTCAATTGTGACATCATAGTGAGGCCTCCATGAAATTCTTACAGACAGCTAAACTTGATATTGCTATGTGTTAACCACAGTGGAACTCTCTAGTGTTTTGTTTACAGTGGGACCGTGAACCTTAACTCATTCACCCCTGCAGACACATTTGAACTCTTCCAATTCAAAGGTTGGAATAGTTCATTATTAAATTTCAGGGGTGAATGAGTTAAACTTGCTAGACATGCCATAAAGAGATTTGTTAAGTGTTTTGCTTTTTAGATCAGTAACTCACCATTTTCCTCTGAACTTCTGAATCTCTTCCTCGTTTAATTTTTCATCCTTGAGAGTTCCCGAAAGATCCTTCAGCTGTCGGGCGATCGTGTCATCATCCACAAAGAATTGGTTTTTGCCTTGTAATACTTGTGGGGTTGGGGTTCTCACCGGCGCCTGGTGGAAGAGCAATTACACCATCAACACTATAACAAACTTCTAAAATGTGTGTTCAGTGTCTGCATTCTATCCAGAATACTAGTTTTAACTGCAGAATCAAATGTTGAAACAACATTCCTAATCTGTTGTTAAGTAACACTTTTATGATGTCACAGTTAAAACTTCTTTGGAATGAATCATCATTTTGATTTTTTTTTTCATAGTGGTTTGAAAAGAAAACTTTGACTTATGAAATTGAAGAATTGGATATAAGAAAATAATTAAATCAAATAATCATTGGAATGAGAAAATCATGCCCAGAGATGATGATACAAAATATCCGCACTAAGGTTGTGCCCACAGGTACATGTACTGAGAAATCTTCTGAAGGTAATCCTTACATCCTCTGTCTTAGTGGTATCCTTGAGCAGGTCCGGCGTCTCGCTGATCTGGTCAAAAATAGGATGAGGCGGTAGACTCATGGGGTCAATCAGTACATCATACGGCACCATGGGATGCTGGAAGGTGGAGGGGTCATAGAGGTCCCAAGGCTCCGGCTGACCGTAGGTACCTGGATCAAAGGTAAAGGTATATAACATGTTACATCTGAATCAACAGAAACTAATATAGAGTAAGTTTAAAAGTGATATATTGTCTAGAATAATGAGTTTACAGATTGCTCCATTTGTGATAGAGCCATAATTTACATTGTTGAATGAATAACAGGAGAAACGTAACATTACTAAATAAACTGTGAATGAAATCACCCAGTCACCATTGAATGTTTAAAATTTGAACCGTTTCATTGATGACGCTATTCTTGTTCGTTTATTTTATTTTGGGTTTAACTCATTCACCCCTGAAATTCACAATGAACTATTCCAACCTTTGAATTGGAAGAGTTCAAATGTGTCTTCGGGGGTGAATGAGTTAAGGTCCTCACAACAGCTAAGCACATAGGAAGACAGGTGCCTCGAAATGAAACTAAATGAAGGAGAGAAAAGATATGATAGTGATCCCAAGCATTACAATGGGGACAGAAGATCATTTTCTTTTCTGCAATGTCCTCTTATTGGCCAAAATTAGATATATCACCATACAGCTATAGTCCGATAATTGATAATCTGATAGTTCAGTCGTCTACAATACTGTACACGTAAAAGGTAGGAGTTATGGATTTGGTATCCTGGCAGAGTTACCTACTATGTTCAGCTATAGTCTGATAATTGATAATCTGACAGTTCAGCCGCCTACAACACTGTACATGTAAGAGATAGGAGTTATGGATTTGGTATCCTAGTAGGGTTACACAATATGTTGGTATCTTATATCTTTGTCTTACCTTTTTGGAAGATAACAAAGATATCAGTTGTCAGATACATAGTGACAAGTGGTTATGTAAGTTTTAACTACAAATGTTTAACAATCTTTGCCGAGATCATGTCAATTACATTAACTGTGAATATATCCATATCGTATAACGTAGACAGTCTATGGAGGACACAGTCAGTGTGCCCTTTTATAAAAAAAAAATCTCATCAAGCTCTGTACTCGGTACAGAACATTCCACTTAAAGTCATGTCTCTTAATGTCACTTTTCTGTTAATATCATGTTTTACTGAAACACTGTTTTTCCTTCTATTTTCTAATAGATGAAATGTAACTTTTGTAATTCTTACTTGTTTAGTTGTTATTTCGGCCTAATAATATCATGCCATTTTAACAGTCATCACAAAAATAAAATGTGGAAAATAACATGGACGTTGCATGGGCCTGGTGTCACATCTGTACCACAAGTAATTAAGACATACCAATGTAGTCGCTGTTGAACGTCCACATCCTAACCGTACAATCCATGGATGCTGTGAGAATGACCTTATTCTTCTCCACCATCTCCAGGTTCAGGACACTGTCGACATGACCTCGCCACGAGTGGATTACTGTAAACAGTAAATCAGAGTAAATTATCAACATGGTTTGGATCAGCACATGTAAATATATCAGATGTATCATTTCATAGTAGCACAACATATATCTTATCACTGATATGTAAATATATTAATCAGAATATGTAATTTTCACTTTAAAACTTTGCTTTCGAAAGTACAACAGGAAGCTAGTCAAGACTATATATGCACATGTATTTCAGAATGTCAACAAAATGCTACAAAACTACATAACTACATAACTACACTTACAGTTAAGGGGTGCCTTTGCCATTTTAACTTACAGGTAGGANCACTTACAGTTAAGGGGTGCCTTTGTCTTTTTAACTTACAGGTAGGAGGTGCCTTTGTCTTTTTAACTTACAGGTAGGGGGTGCCTTTGTCTTTTTAACTTACAGGTAGGGGGTGCCTTTGTCTTTTTAACTTACAGGTAGGGGGTGCCTTTGTCTTGCCGTTGAGACAATAACCGTCCACATCGTAGATGAGTATAAAGCCGAGGCTATCACCACAGAACAACATGGTGTTGGCGTCGTCAGTAGCCATGGTGGTTATCATCCCGCCACTCGACTTTGACTAGGTTAATTAACAAAAAAAATAAATCTTTAACTGGAACACAATACAGAACAATCTTATAATGGAGCAAAACGATACAAAGCAATCTTATTCTGGGGCAAAAAATACATTTTTGTTGTTTGTGTTTTACATCCTATTAACAGCTATGATCATTTAAGGACGTGCCAGGTTGTGTGGTGGAGGAAAGCCGGAGTTCCCGGGGAAAAACCACCGACCTACAGCCAGTACCTGGCAACTGTCCCACTTAGGCCTCGAACCCGCGACCAAGTGGTGGAGGGCTAGTGGCAGCAGAATATTAGACGCCATGTTTAGAAAAGAACCATTTGTCAGAGTGATATTTAAATGATGGTGAAAAATTAAATCATTCAGCCTAGAAATACATGTATCAGAAAAATAAAGTTGGCGTTCCTACAAAATCTCAAGGATAACTGGTGCACTAAAATAATGATAAATTCAATTCCTGGACTAATTGATATCTAGAGTACAAAGTTTACATCATTACACATTACATCTCCAGCACACACACATAGGGAGATATTAGCCAGGTGGCACAGGACTTGTATAGTTAGCGCCTGATAAAGCAGCTCCTGCAAATTCCTCAAAATTGTATTGATTTATGTATATGCTAATTGTATTAATTGTATATCAATGTACTGTAAAGCGTGTTAGAGTGGCTTATGTTAGCTAGATAGGGTGCTTTATCAAATGCTGTATATTATTATTATTATTATTATTATCAAAGTGGAACTCTCACCCCCTTGAACTGCGCCATCATGCTGCCACCTTGAAACACGTTCCAAAAGTGGATATGTCCATGAGGCCCGCTAGCGATGAGTGAAGCGGAAGCTTTGCGAGACTCCCGAGACTTGAGAAATACCAGCTTGTTTACACTCATGTCCCCGTCCACTGTAAACATAAACAACATTGATAGGATTCAGTATAGCGTTATGTCACAGTCATGTCAACTTGTCTAGGAATTCCATATATATTTATCACAGGAAGATGCTACGTTGTACAGATTACTGTAGTGTATCAACTAATGGCAAACACCGGAGCGTTAAAGAACATTAGAAGTTTTGAGACCGATTCAGATAAAAGGGAGATAATCAGAAGTATTGATATATATCATACATGTTCAAAATAACTTGGGCCTTATCAATTTATCACAATCGAAATTGTTGAACCAGTTGGACCGCGATGTTTGTTTACAAAATAAAGTCGGACCAATTTACCTGCTGATGTTGCTTTCAGGGGAGCCTTGACATAGCCTTGCAAGGCCTGCATAAACTTTTGCAGGTCTGCCAGGATTTATACCCAAGAATGTTACATTTAAAAACAGACAAACAGGTTGAACCAGATAGACGAAAGAGGCCCTTTACAGGTTCCAAGTGGTCTGTACATGCAATACCATATCAATCATAACTTAACACGTTTGTGGGTGAGATAGGGAAATCTCAACCTGAGGGGGAAGATTCTTAAGTAAAAGCCTCGTGTTTGACAACTTAAGAATCCTTCCCCGAGGGTTAAGATTCCCCTATCTCACTCTCAAGGGGTAAATGATTCTTTTTCTCTTACCCTGTTCACCCATTGCGTATCATATACAAAATGTAATGTTAACGTTACAGGCTAAATTCAGGGTTGACGTGACGTCATTTAACCTGTAAAAGTGTGGATACACCTATCCAGGGTAAGATAATTGCATTTCTCGCACCTCAGACAGAGATATCCCACGTCATACCACATGCTAGATTTTTCAATCTTGTCCGATCTGTCTGGTACCTTTATGTGACATTTCGCGGAATTTTTACACTGCAATGTATTCATCTGCGCATTAACGGCTCGAAATTAACAACCTGCATTGTTTTGTCATTATATGTGTATAGTTTTGATGTTAGATTACTGATGTTGTAGATAAATATTATCTAGGATGTGAAATAAGTTATCCTCTTTGTAGGAATGGAATACATTTTCACATAGATTCACATACACGTAGTGTAGAGGCCATATTTATTTGAAGCCTCAGATGGGATGCTTGTAGCTATATATATAGTCCTTAGCGAAACTGAATACATTTTTTAACTAAAAGGTGCAAGAAACAAGATCTAGCTATTACCCGTAACTAAGCGAGATTAGGTTACTTCAGTCTTGGGCTAAGATTTTGTAACATCTCAGCCTCTGGCTAAGATTTTGTAACATCTCAGCCTCGGTTTATGACTCGGTTGGAAATTTGCTACAGAATCTTAGCCCTCGACCGAGATAATTGATTTTGCTTAGTTACAAGTAACAGATTTTATTATTCTCTTACCCTGGAAAGGTGTATATCCACCCTTTTACCGGTGTGAGATTTCCTTGTCTCACCCTATAGGGTTGAGAAGGGGGGATTTCCCTTATTCATAACAATGGTATGACGTCACTTCAATAATACAATGACGTCACTTCAACAATCCATTAATGTCACGTCAACCCTGAATTTAGCATGTAACATTATCATTACATTGTGTATAGGATACACGATCGAAGAACAGGTTAAGAGAAAAAGAATCAAAGGAATCTCAACCCTTGGGGAAAGATTCTTAAGTGGCTAAACACTCAGCAAAGCCTCGTGTTTGGCAACTTAAGAATCTTTCCCCTCAAGTTGAGATTCCCCTAATGAGAGATTCTACCAATCACTCATCCTATAAGTAACAAACTTACTTGATTCGTCCTCGTAGTTTTGTGGTATAGGTGACATACTTACATGATTCATCCTCATAGTTTGGTGGTACAGCGGCGCGCAGGTGACAGAAGATGTGACCCGACACCATGTTCCACACGATGACCTCGCCGTCGTAGCTTCCTGTGGCAATCAAGTTGGGTGGACTCTGAGCGATAGCCAGTATATCTTCCTTGTGGCCGTTTTTCTGTTTGGAATTAATAAAAGTCAACTACATTGTAGCAGGCATCAAAGTAGTATGGAAAGATATTAACATCTATATAACCGACACTTTTTTGTTAATATTGATTCATGCAAAACATACATGTATGTAACCACAAAATAAGCAATAAAGTATGATAACGACATAGTAATAAGCAAGTAACTTTAACTCCTTATCAATCTTAAATCACGAATTTAGGAGAAAATTTTATCTGACAAAAAGATCAGTAATTATTAGTACATGTTTATAAAAGACAGTCTAATACAATATCATTAAACCTGGAAAACTAAAAAATTAGGAACACATTTACATGTCTTGCTCAGCTCAACACGTTTTCTTATCTCAGCTTATTGAACATATGTACAGGTATCAACGTGCAGTTGTCTATGTCTATATAATCATGATCACACGGCTGTAACATGTTACATGAAGTAATTTTTGGTCGTACCTTATCGTCAGCCCAGAACAGATTTGGGTTCTGTACGAGGTGGATATTGCTATCAGCATTGGCGTCGTCCGAATAAATGTTGATAGTTCTGTCCCAGCCAACGGATATCACGTATCTACGACAAAAAAACGGGCTCATCAGAATTAACGTTTATTAATTGTTCTGTTTCAACTCTAAAGAAATATCACAGACAAGTTACTACACAACAACAGGTTTGTCTCTAGTGTAGCTATGCATAGTTCTAGATCAGGTTGTAGCAAGCTTCATACATTAAAGTAATGTTATAACATTAAAGTTTAAGATTGAATCAGTGATATTTTCGTGATTTTTAAATCTGAAAACAAAAAACACATCTCTTACGACTTAAAATGATAATCTCTGTAGATAATTTACACTGTGAATGTGCACAATAACACCAATATTTCTGTTCATATTTGTCAAAATTTGAATATGCAAAATTGATCTGAAGAACCTTGATGCAATATATATATAGCATTCTGTTATTTGATGTATTTGTATATTTTACTTACGTTTCCCTGACTAAAACCTTCACTACTAATTAATAAATAATCTATACTTACAACTGAGCTCTTTATACACATAATATCCAATAACAAATTGTATACACAGCAGTGGTGTGTATATATACACATGAGTGAATGGCGGGATAAGGGTTAAAAGGGTACAATTAAAGTTAAATTCATTTCAAGATGGTTTCTACCTCATTTTCTGTATTTGTAAACAAAAATGTCATGCTTTACTTGTGAATTAATAATTCCTATTAATGTACAAGTCATTCTGATATGTCTCGCCTGTGCCCCACTTTGACCATCGATGCACATGTCAAGTTTGGTTAGTCTAGCACTTATAGTTTCAGTGAAACTAATACTTAAACGCAAAAACTTAGTGTTGATGGAGATGCTGACAAAGTCAATGGACCATGAAAAGTAGGTCGCATCCAGCATTTGATGCATGGGTTGAGATGTACTACCAAAGATGCATCTGTGGTCAAAGTTTGATAGGTCTAACACTTATACTTTCAGTGAAACTTACTTAAATGCAAAAACTTAATGACACGCAAAGTCAATGGATCATGAAAGGAAGGCTGCATCCAGCATTTGACGCATGGGTTGAGATGTACTACTACCTAAGATGTATCTATGGTCCAAGTTTGGTTGGTCTAGCACTTATACTTTCAATGAAACTAACTTAAACGCAAAAACTTAATGTTGACGCCGCCGTCACAGGAACAGCAACACCTTAGTCTCGCTTTCGCTACTTCGTGGCGTCGAGACAATAAAAAACAAGGAGTATTATGTGGTAGTCTTGTCCTTGTGTTTTCATTCTATCCTGATTTAATTGTGAGCGAGATATAATTTTTTGTATATTAAAGAATTTCCAAACACAATAATGACGACATTGTTAGTCTAACATACCTGTTTCTGTTCATTTCTACATATGTTAAATCACAAACTTCGTCTGTTTCTGCATCTGTCAAATAAAAATCACAAAACATTATATATCAACACACATTTTCTATGATCAGATATAAGTACAACAGACTTAAATACATTCTCCTTTACACCTAACCCCTTTGAAACCTTTCTGATATATTTGTATGTTCCGTAAGTACAATTAAACCTGTTGTACTGCCATCATTCGCCAAGTGAGATTTTCACTTTAGTAAGAGGCTTGGCAATATATTGTGGAAAAAATATAAACATATTGTTGTGATTAAAATAGAAATGAACCTTGAGATACATTGCAGTATAAGGTTGTACATGTAAGTGAAACGAGAGGCATTATAGTGTATAAAGGTATTTTGTTTTAGTATTAAACTTTTCAAGTGTATGCGCTCACTTTCGCTCTCTGCACCCCTGGAATATGTCATAGCAAAATTCAAGGCTCGATGTGTGCAACCTTGTTGATGAGACAAGAAGACTAGTTCGATCCTTTGATGTACATCAAAAGAATCTGTCGGTTGCGTAACGGTAAAATTGTCTGGCTTTTGAGATTAGGTGTCGTTCCTCTGTAATCTTCAAAGGACAGGTATCAGCGTATCAGCCATGATAACCGATCAGGTATTTTTAGCTGAGACCAGTCAAATAGCCAGCCACGTGCCTTCAATTATGCTTTGACATATAACAGAGTATCGAGGATGGGGTATGATAAAAACTTCATGAAACAAAAAGCACATATGCTATCTTCTTTTTGTGCTCATCTGTTGTTTTTTTTTATCTGATGTCATAAAATTTCTGTTTACACAAGACTACAGTGTTGTCGCCGATTTCTCATTGCAACATAGAATCAAAATAACACTTGGTGTGGGCAATGACGGGAATATTTGTACCTTATTTGGTTGATAATGATTTAGTGGGACAAAAACAATTCATTTGTCTTAGATATTTGAGGCAAAATGAATACAAGGTTACCATTTTGTATTTTGATTACTCAGATCAAGTTTGGTTACCACTGTGCTGGTGGAAGCCGAGAAGAAATTGAAAATGTCTCAGCCAATCAGAGCACTGGAAGCCATCTTTGATTGTAAATTGGTTTAAAAAAAACACCATTTGGTCAAGGCCATGAGATCAGCATTTGATGCACTTTGACATGAGCCCACATACATAGGTCTTTGGGCCAGGTGAGAGGACCAAACAGGTGAGATAATATAATATAATGAGTTCTTTTTAAAATCTTTTTCCCAAACTAAGTGAAACAAAATCATTAAAACATAGCTTACCTTTCTTTAGCATCCTTAAACAATGGCCGTTGTTATAATTCCAGATCTTAATAGTTCCATCTCTCCCACCTGTCAGTAATCTACAAAACCAAAAAGTACACATTAATAATTTATAGAACCTCCGTAAGGAATTATCAATCACAATTTCTGTTATTCAATATCATGTATTTTTGAGATATATATTAGTTAGATGAGATGAATTTGAATACTGTACTGATAAATCAAAATAGAAATCCAAATAACATTTTAAAATTTAATATCAATCCACAGACTTAACAACATTGTATGTTTTAATTGGTTAAATCATAAAAAATAACCTAGTTTAAGAAAATGTGAAAAGAAAATCATGGAATATTAGATTTCAAAGAAGTTTGCAGTCAAGTCTTACTAGGTTGTAGTGATGCATTTTTCAATCATCATACAGCTTTTTAATTAGCTCATCCAAAATAAATGTTTATCACAAAGGTTTTGTCGAAAGTTTTATCAAGACATTGTTAGTATAACAAGTTCAATTATGGTGTCCCAATAAATGTTATGGTGAAGACTTCAAGTTGGCGTCATTGAAAACTTGATGATAGTCAGAGAAAAGTGTTATTATCATAATTTTATTATTGTAGTCTTGAACTGGTTTCCATTTCAGACAAATGAAACTTGTCCCAAGGTTTTTATTTCAGCAAACGATTACCATCTATAATTGTGATTTATTTCCAGGAACTGCTTACCTTCTCCCTGTGGAGTCAAAGGTCATACACGTTATCGCTGCCTCTCCGTGAGCATCTCCAAATTCAAATATTCCTGCCCCTGACTCAAAATCCCATAGTTTGATCACCTGAAAAAAGGGATTGCACAGATGGTCTAGGCAATCTGATAATCTAGATTGATGTCAGTGTAACAGTAATAAACCATGGAGAAACACACCTAAACAATTCTGTCTTGTTGGAAACAACATATAAACTTTCCGATTTTATCAAAGATAAGAATAAAAGGTATCAAAAATATCATGTCTTAAATCTGATACATTTGTTTGTGACTATTCCATGATTATATATATTTAGATTTACATTTATTTTTAAATTATTCAATCTGTGTGCACTATGAATATAACAAACATGTTTGTGATTGACAATTTTGTAGACTTACGGAGCCCTCTGAGCAGGTGATGACTTGGTTAAAGCTTGGGTTGTATTTACAGCAGGTTACTGGTTCCTTGTGTGTGATTGTGATGTCCGCATGTAGCACCGGTCTGTACAATTGGAAAGAATAATTATTAATAGTGTGTATCAATGACTGGACTCTATAATATCAAATACTGGATATCAACTGTTGATAGAGACCACAATTGTTTTATACTATTCCCCTGAAGGGGTTGCTATAAACAGGTTTGAATGTATGGTATATTAACATTTTACACCTTGAAATCAATTGCTTTTGCAATTTTGTTACGAAAAATCCTATAGTTTTCTCAAGAAAATTGATGGAGTTTTCACAGAAAAGTCCATATGTACTTTGATGATTTTAACAACATTTTCATGGCAATTTTAAAGAGTATGGTGCTTTGCCTCCAAACAAATAAGAGTTTGAGGAAGTGTGTTAGCTGTTCATCACATGCAATGACAGCAGTGTACATAAATATCTCAAAATTTTAAATATTAGAATGTTACTCGGATTATTTATACGACTGGAAAAACTGTTGACAATTTTTTGTAAAATTATCACAATTTCTTTTTCAGAAATTCTGTCGATTTATGGTACGATATTGTAATACATGTATTTTGTACATTTTTATTTTCAACAAATGTCGAAACTCCAAATATATAATATATGTATAATGATTGCGTGATACGAACGTGGCACAGTACTGTGTTACAGGTATTCCGTCTTTGCGTATTGCAGAGTTATCTTCTCTTGGGAACAGGTATTGATTGTTACGTCATTGGTTTGTGTGAGAAAATTACGTCGTTTTCTCAAAAATTAATGACGTTACTCTCATAAACAAGTGACGTAACAATCAATACCTGCTCCCAAGAGAAGATAACTCTGCAATACGCAAAGACGAAATAGCCATGTTAAATGCTGGGGAGGGAGAGAAGGATAGCTATAAATATAAGGGCCAGCGTCATAGTTATATGGTATCCAAATATTTTGTAGTAAAAACAGGTTAATGAAAGTGATATATCAAAATGTCATAGAAATAGTGCATAGCATTAGGATGCTTAAAATATAAACCATAATATAAAACATATCAAAGGTGAGAAAAATCTGAAGCAATATTGATGTATTGTCTAATTAGGGAAATCTTCGATTTGAGGAAATCTCAAGAATTGAGATGTTTTATACCAGTGGGATAACATATTAAATTCAAATCAACAATATTTTATGAATTACCTAACCAAGAATGCTATTAAAATGCAAATATATTAATTAACTGTTCTACATCTGTATAGCAAATAAAATAAACAAAAAGCTTTCTCAGACCAAGTTGAAGTGATGACCTGCTATTGGAAACCATAAATTCTACATGTAAAATTGCAATTTGAAAGATTATAGGAAAATTGTGCACCCTCTTGTTAAAGGAATAGATGTGGTCCATGTATGTAAAGGGAGATAATCCCACATTACACAACAGCATCACAGGAGAATTCAAGAAATCGTCCGAAAATGCCAGAAAGCAGACACATTAGAGAGATAGTTTGGAAAGGTCATTGTGCTCAGCTCCTGTAAATGTCATCTCTGGTTCACTAAGTAAAGAATAGTTAAAACAGTGTGAAATTGAGAAGAAAAAACAAATGACCACTCTGGAATAATATAAACCTCCATACTCAAGGGGTTCCGCTCACTTTTGCTCTCTGCACACCTGGAATATGTCTAAGCAAAATAAAAGGCACATGGCTAGCTATTTGACTGGTCTCAGGTAAAAAAAACACCTGACCAATCGCTATGCTGATACCTGTCCTTTGAAGATTACAAAAAAGCTACACCCAACTTCAAATCCCATCAATTTTGCATTTATGCGACATATTCGAGGGATGCAAAGAGCCAATGTGAGCGTAACTCCTGGACTATTGAGGAAGCTCTGGAATGTTTACGCCATAGAGATTCTCTGGTGAAGAGTATAGATCCAAAATAAATAAAACAAAACAAAAAATATTAATAAACAAGTGTAGATGTATGTAAATTGGAAAGTGCTGCTGAAATCACACGAGATTGAAGGGTTATCTAGGGTTGGGTGGAACGTTAGTTTATCCTAGGAAAGGTGTCGGCCAGGGATTCAATCACACTACCAGCCGCGCGAGAGGGCTGGGAAGAACTTCTGACTCTCTGTTTCAACCTCTTACCTGCTGTTTATATTCTGATCCATTCTTAAAACAAACACAGGTTTCAATTGTAGTAAATATTTACCTGTAGCTTTATGTACCTGACAAAGCTCTGAAAGCCAGGATAGGGCTTAAATAAACTGACACAGCAAATAATCGAGAGGTCTAGAATGTATTCAATTCTTATACCATCACAGCTAATTTCAGTTTAGAATCCTATGATATATCTAAAGATATTTTGGATGGTATCTCTTCTCTGTTGCCATATGTTAAAATTTCAAAATGCTTTGCTACAATAATTTAAAAAAAACATTTTTATTTCAAATTATGAATGCTGTATTATAAAAAAGACAATTTGTATGATATCTTTTCTTGATAATATTAATAAAACAAAGTATAATTTATACATCCATGTCCACACCTTTTTTCCCCTAAATTCAAGGAAGAATCACAAAAAAAATAAACAACAAAGATATGAGATTCACATTTAAAAAACGAATTCAATTTTGAAAAAAAATATATTAAACATATAATTTATGGTAAAAATAGAATTTTGGTTTCAAAATCCAGTTAAATATCCCCTTTCATGTTACTCTACCTAAAAACGACTGACAGGAATACAAATTTCAACTCAATTGATAAACAAAACAAAGCTTTGTGGACAATACCAGGCATGCATTGTGAAACAATGTCAGATTATTTTACAAACTAATTGAAATTTGTTGTAACTTTTTAAAATTAACAAAACAGATTGATTGGAAGCATTTATTTGTATAAATACTAAATATTCTGTATTTTTCATGAGATTTTATTTCTAGCTTAATTCATGGTTTAATAAAATTGCAAAAAAACAGAATGTGACTTTTTATCACACAACAAAAATACCCTCCCTTATGGGATAGCATAAATTCATGTTAAGTTATCAGCAGGATCAAATTAATTCTAAAAATATATATTTAGATCCTTATTGTTCTGGACAGAATTCAAAGACTTTTACGAATTCTGTTTAGTACAATAAAACAATGTATATGCTACAGAAAGAATAAACAAGATTTACTTTTGCCTGAGGTTGAGGGCCGCCAGCTTCTGGTCGGTTGCCACGGCGAGGGATTTGGCGATGTTGGAGTAATGGCAGGCCTGAAGGTCGCCGTGAATTTTGTGAGCTTTGGGTCGGATTGTCAGCAAACAGTTGTGGTCCTGGATATCCCATATCTACAGCGAACAAATCAATCATCAAAATGCTGCTGGGGGAAAAAAATTGAAATTTTCACTCTACTTAAATTATGAAATAGAAATTATTGATATCCTATGCTGGATTTGCAGAATTTGAACCTCTGTATTATATGGATAAAACAAATTCCAAAGGATCAGTAAAATTGTTCATGGTTGTCTTGACTTTTATGGTTTTCTATATCTAAATATGAACTTTATTTATTTTACAACAATTATGAAACAAGTTATTTCCACTTGTATCAATCAATCTTGTTGGCCCAGACGTTAGCGCTTGGGGGGTGGTCTTACTGTGGGAGGAAACCAGCTGAGTACCCGGAGAAAACCAACATGGTTTGGCAGGTGCATGACCCAATACCTTTTCATGTCCGATCGAGGAATCGAACCCGACTGCCTTGGTGAAAGACCAGTGCATTATCCACTGCACAATGCACACATATCTATAAAGACTGCCTGTCTATAAAGACCACCTATCTCCTGCCTTAGAAACAACCTATCTATAAAGACGGCCTGCCTATGAAGATAACCTGTCTATAAAGACTGCCTGTCTATGAAGACCACCTATCTATAAAGACCACCTATCTCCTGCCTTAGAAACAACCTATCTATAAAGATAACCTGTCTCTGAAGATAACCTGTCTATGAAGACCACCTATCTCCTGTCTTAGAGACAACATATCTATAAAGACAACCAGTCCTGTCTATGAAGATAACCTGTCTATGAAAATCATCTGTCTATAAAGACCACCTATCTCCTACCTTAGAAACAACCTAACTATAAAGATAAACTGTCTATGAAAATAACATGTCTATGAAGATAACCTGTCTATAAAGACCACCTATCTCCTGCCTTAGAAACAACCAATCTATAAAGACAACCTATATATAAAGATAACCTAGTCTATGAAGATAACCTGTCTATGAAGACCATCTATCTCCTGCCTTGGAGACAACCTTTCTATAAAGTCTACTTATCTATGAAGACCACCTGTCTATAAAGACCACATATATCCCACCTTAGAGACAACCTATCTATAAAGATAACCCGTCTATGAAGACCAACTATATCCCGCCTTAGAGACAACCTATCTTTAAAGATAACCTGTCTATAAAGATAACCTGTCTATGAAGACCACCTATTTCCTGCCCTAGAGACAACATATCTATAAAGACAACCTATCTATAAAAATAACCTGTCTATGAAGACCACATTTATTCCACCTTAGAGAAAACCTATCTATAAAGATAACTTGTCTATAAAGATAGCCTGTCTACAAAGACATCCTGTCTATAGAGACCACCTATCTCCTGCCTCAGAGACAACCTATATATTAAGATAACCTGTCTATAAAGACGACATATATCCCGCCTTAGAGACTATCTATAAAGATAACTTTTCTATAAAGACATCTTGTCTATAAAGACCACCTATATCCTGCCTAAGAGACAACCTATCTATAAAGATAACCTGTCTATAAAGACATCCTGTATAGAAAGACCACATATCTCCCACCTTAGAGACAACCTATCTATAAAGATAACCTGTCTATAAAGACATCTTGTCTATAAAGACCACTTATATGCTGCCTTAGAGACAACCTATCTATAAAGACTGCCTGTCTATGAAGACCACATATCTCCTGCCTTAGATACAACCTATACATAAGAGAACCTGTCTATAATGACCACCTATCTCCTGCCTTAGAGACAACCTATATATAAAGAGAACCTGTCTATAACAACCACCTATCTCCTGCCTTAGAGACAACATATCTATAAAGATAACCTGTCTATAAAGACCACCTATATCCTGCCTTAGAGACAACCTATCTATAAAGATAACCTTTCTATAAAGACATCTTGTCTATAAAGACCACCTTTATCCTGCCTTAGAGACAACCTATCTATAAAGATAACCTGTCTATAAAGACATCCTGTATAGAAAGACCACATATCTCCTGCCTTAGAGACAACCAATCTATAAAGACAACCTATCTATAAAGATAACCTGTCTATAAAGACTGCCTGTCTATGAAGACCACCTATCTCCTGCCTTAGAGACAACCTATCTATAAAGACTACTTATCTATGAAGACCACTTGTCTATAAAGACCACCTATATCCCGCCTTAGAGACAACCTATCTATAAAGATAACCTGTCTATAAAGACAAGAGGCCCAGGGGCCTTAATAGCTCACCTGGTATTTTATTTTTCAATTTAAAACCTGCTGAGTACCATTCAGGTTTATCAAAGGAGTACAAGTAACAAAGTTGCATCTTCCATTTATAAATATTCAATTCCCTTTGCCCAAAGATTCTCTAAAACAAGTTTGGTTAGGTTAAAATCCCTTCAACGGTACAGAAGGAGAAGGATCTTTAATGTTTTCCTCTATTTCCCCTAATGGGCCCCACTAATCTGCCCCAAAGAAGGGGAATCCACACACCTCAGTTTAAACAAAATTGATTCTTTTCTCCCTAAGCATGCTTCAGACTGCATTTGGTTTAAATCCCTTCACTTGTATAGTAGGAGAAAAAAAATCCTCTATTTCCCCTATTGGGCCCCGCTCCTATGCCGCCAGAAGGCCCACACCCTCCGTTTATACAAACTTGAGTCTCCTTTGTCCAAAGATGCTCTAGGACAAATTTGGTCAAAATCCTTCAATTGGTTGAGGAGAAGATTTTTAAAGATTTACCTATTTTCCCCTATTTGGCCCCGTCCCTCTGCCCCCAGGGGGACCATACCCTCCGTTCATACAAAACTGAGAACCCTTTGGCCAATGATGCTCCAGACCAAATTTGGTCAAAATCCCTTCATCGGTACAAAAGGAGAAGGATATTTGATGTTTTCCTCTATTTCCCCTAATGGGCCCCACCCATCTGCCCTTAGAAGGAGGCCCACACACCTCAGTTTATACAAAATTGATTCTTTTGTCCCTAATCATGCTTCAGACTGCATTTGGTTAAAATCCCTTCACTTGTATAGCAGGAGAAAAAAAATCCTCTATTTCCCCTATTGGGCCCCGCCCCTCCGCCCCCAGAGGGGCCACACCCTCCGTTTATACAAACTTGAGTCTTCTTTGTCCAAAGATGCTCTAGGACAAATTTGGTCAAAATCCTTCAATTGGTTGAGAAGAAGAACATTTTTAAAGATTTACCTTTTTTCCCCTTATTTAGCCCCGCCCCTCTGCCCCGAGGGGGGGCTATACCGTCCGTTTATACAAAACTGAGAACCCTTTGGCCAATGATGCTCCTGACCAAGCTTCAGACTGCATTTGGTTTAAATCCCTTCACTTGTATAGTAGGAGAGAAAAAATCCTCTACTTCCCCTATTTGGCCCCGCCCCTCTGCCCCCAAAGAGGCCACACCCTCCGTTTATACAAACTTGAGTCTCCTTTGTCCAAAGATGCTCTAGGACAAATTTGGTCAAAATCCTTCTATTGGTTGAGAAGAAGAAGATTTTTAAAGATTTACCTATTTTCCCCCTATTTGGCCCCGCCCCTCTGCCCCCAGGGGGGTTATACCCTCCGTTTATACAAAACTGAGAACCCTTTGGCCAATGATGCTCCTGACCAAATTTGGTCAAAATCCTCTGAGCCATTCAGGACAAGAAGCATTTTAAAGGAAAAAGTTGACGGACGCCGGACGCTGCATCATGGGATAAGCTCACTTGGCCCTTCGGGCCAGGTGAGCTAAAAACCTGTCTATAACAACCCTCCGCAGAAAACTCTGTATTGTGTTTTCTGTATAATGCTGGACTTTTTGTAGAGACCACCACCTATCAGCATATAAAAACAGTGTTTGCTCTCCCACCTGGTTTTTACAGACATGGTGATAAGGTATTATCCCTAAAGTTGGGTAAAGGGTTATATCAAAGTTTGTTTTAAGAAGACGTTGCTTTACTGACCTTGACACACTTGTCTGTAGATATACTGAAGATTCTGCTTTCCTCCTCAGCGATAAACAGGTAAAATATCGGGGCATTGTGTCCTCGCAGTAGTGCTGTGGGTTTCCTGTGAAAGAGGAACACATTTGTATAATGTTTTATAACTTTTAAACTCTCTCTTTATAAACCCTAATTATCAGTGCTATAAAATGATACTTACAACACAAGGACTAACTGTCAATGAAAATATAATCAATTTATCCAAAGCGAGTTTCATTGCTAGTAACAAAGACTATGATTGGCCCATGAACAACATGCGAACTGTAAAAGCCATTATTTTCCGTGAATCTGGAAAATAAGCAGAGCCACTTCGGAATTTTCTATTGCTATGTACATTTACACAAACTGATTAAATTTGGAATTACATGGATTGAAGGGTAAGCTTCACTTCCACTTTTACATGTAATCTGAATGACCTTCACTACTGCTATAAACAATTTAATGGCAGCGCATGTTGTCTGTAAATATCGCAAACATGAAAAGACCATACATATGAGTCTATATGTATAAATGTACCTACCCTGGCACATAGGGATTCCATAATCTCACAATTCTATCCATACCTGAAAAACGATGTGCAAGAAATTATATAGCAATTCATTTTATCAAAATCATGTCATTAAGATATGATCATTTGTCTTAAAGATTTAGGAAAACTATCTTTACTTGTTAATAAATTAATCAATTAATATTTAGACACAACTTAAATTAAATTCTTCAAAGTATACATAAAAATCAACAATGTTTGTGCTCATCTTTTTGTTATTTTTTTTTTGAAATTCTGTTCATAATATGTCCTTTAACATTTTTCAACACCAACAATAACTGAACTTCATACATAAAACTTACCTCCAGTTACAATAACATTTTTGTTTTTACAGAAATCAAAACACTTGACTCCTTTATAGACATAGAACACTGATTGGTCGGCCTCCAGCCTCGGTTTGGCCACATTTGTCCTTCTAGCTCGGTCTTCGGGGTCCTTGGTCTCCTTGAGTTGAGCTTCTACATGTGTAGAACCCGTTGTGCACCCTGGGATAACAAATATAGAAGAGATTATACACACAGTAGAGCCGAGATTATACACACAGTAGAGCAGATATTATACACACAGTAGAGCAGAGATTATACACACAGTAGAGCAGAGATTGTACACACAGTAGAGCAGAGATTGTACACACATTAGAGCAAAGATTATACACACATTAGAGCAGAGATTATACACACAGTAGAGCAGAGATTATACACACAGTAGAGCAGAGATTGTACACACAGTAAAGCAGAGATTGTACACACAGTAGAGCAGAGATTATACACACAGTAGAGCAGAGATTATACACACAGTAGAGCAGATATTATACACACATTAGAGCAGATATTATACACACAGTAGAGCAGAGATTATACACACAGTAGAGCAGAGATTGGACACACAGTAGAGCAGAGATTATACACACAGTAGAGCAGATATTATACATACCGTAGAGCAGATATTATACACACAGTAGAGCAGATATTATACACACAGTAGAGCAGAGATTATACACACACTAGAGCAGAGATCATTGTCTGCTGATAAAGTGGCATCCTCGATATCCAGGGGTTACGCTCATTTTAGCTCTCTACACCCCTGGAATATGTCATAGCGAAATTAAAGGCACGAAGATAGCTGTTTGATTGGTCTCAGGTAAAAAATACTGACCAATTGCTAGGCTGATACCTGTCCTTTGCAGATTACAAAGGAGAGACGCCCGACTTCAAAGCCTGTCAATGTTTACCGTTACCTGACCACAAGATTCTTTTGATGTATATCAAAGGATCAAACTAGTCTTCTTGTCTCATCAACAAGGTGGCGCACACTAAGCCTTCAATTTTGCTATGACATATTCCAGGGGTGAAGAGAGAGAAAGTGAGCGTAACCCCTGGATATCGAGGATGGTAAAGTGGAGATTATTGTACATATGTATATCAATAATTAATCCTGTTACATATTTCTAAAGAAAACTATGAATGCTGCTAAACTATCTGTATTACCTGGTAATGTATGTACAATGTAATGCCAGATCATGACTAGTTTATCTCAGTCACCCCTGAAGACACATTTGAACCCTTCCAGTTCGAAGGTTGGAATAGTTCATTAACAAATTTCAGGGGTGAATGAGCAAAATTTGGCTAAGTACTATAAAGCAGCTTGAAAATACAGAGATGGACACACAAGTGAAGGAATTGTTAAGAAATGAAAAACGAAATGATCGGGATCTACCATTGATATGCCGTCCCCCCCTGGGGAGGAAATTAAAAGTGATGAAGCGAGTCCTTTTACTTATTTACTCTGACCAATGACCACCAAAATCTGATGGAATAAAAACTTATTTTCTGCATATCAAAGTGAACAACATATATCTAAATATTTACATTTGCATGGAATTGCCTCTAGATAACCGCATTGAAAGCTGTGTCATTGATGGGACTTTAAATGACATGCACCACGAGACACCATTCTAAGCCAATCAGCCCGCAACAATACAATGTTCCAGTTATTGAACAAATTTGTTCAGAATGTTGATAAGGATGGAATTTTAAATTTTAGATTAATTTGTAGGTTAAAAACAATGTGAAAGGCGGAGAAAACAAAAACATAGGCATTAAACTGTTTTTGTATGGCATTTATGATCTATTTGAATGACACACCTTGCAAGCAATCAAATCATAATGCGCCGACACATGTTATGTTTGCTTGCAAAGCTGTGCAAGTCAAACAGATCATATGCCATACAAAAACAGTTCAATGCTTAAACCTTTTCTTGGGGGGTGGGTATTCATAAGATATCTTGTACAGAAACTTTAATTTTAACACATGGATGCATAGACGAAAACACTTACCAAATGATTACTATTGCACTTCTCAACAAAATGGCAGTTTTAAAAAGTAGAAGGGAGCCCTGATTCATGTTGGCAGTGGGCCAGGTGGCATTTAATGAAAGAAGGGGAATCATATTTCGGCTTTATTGTATATATATATAATTCAGGCAGTTTGAACATACTACTGGAATTAACTTACCAATGACGAGTGCTGTGTTGGCGTTGTTGGAACAGGATATTATCTGACCTATGTTGTGATAGTATTTGAGCTGGAATAAACAACACACATTGATATAAGTAAAGTACAGTGTACATAATTGTAAGTAGATGACAGTGTTGTTTAGTTTGACAGTGGTAAATTAAAAGCAATATCATTTAAAGGGGGATAACTCAGTGTTTATTCTACCTGTTTTAGACAGGAACCTGTGTAATGGGACTCTTTATCAAAAGGAAATAACTGATATTATTAAATGCCTATTACAATATTTTGATGATGATTCTATTTCTTTTATTCTTCCTTTGAGGTTCGATAAGATTTTATAGGTAATTTGTTGATCTTTCAAATAAAATACAATTAAAGGTTATTAAAAACATTGCAATGAAAACCCTTGATAAGTTTACATACAAATTACATGTATAATAACAAATGAACAGCTAAAAATAATCTTTAAATCTATGTTTAATTTTCTCTAGAAATAGTTTGAAGAGTGGTAAATGTAAATCCAGAACTTCTGAAAGGATTGGGCCATAATTTGGAAGATCTCAAAACCATCATAAAGGGAGATAACTAACCTGCTGCACCCAGTCTCCATGGACCTGCCAGCGGAGATACTGCACCTTCTGGACTTTTATAACGCTGTCTAGACTTACACTGGCTATACCATCATGCTTGGGTGCCTTCTTCCATGTTCTACATGCAAATAAATCAAACAAATAGTAACTTTAAAAATCGCTAAATAAAATAAAAAAATAAAATTATAATATTGCAGTTTTACTAATTGTGAAGGAATTAAAAAGATCTTGAAAAAAACCCACCTTTAACACACTCATTATTGACATATCATGTAATAATTTTATGGAATCATTTATGTTAGGACAATTCATAGTGTCTAAAATGTCTCACAAAATTTAGAGATATATAATAAAACCTGTGAACACTTTGTCAGGCACTTGTACAATATTGGATACATGTCACACCTGTACAGTTACAAAATTTTATAAGAAATCATTAACTCATTCACCCTTGAAGACACATTTTGAACTCTTCCAATTCAAAGGTTGGAATAGTTCATTATGAAATTTCAGGGGTGAATGAGTTAAAGCACATAGTATTACCTGCATTACGTGAGACATCGAAGCACAATTTGCTGTCTTACCCGTACCACATAACAGCAGTATTGGTGCCGCCTTCAGAAACCAAAGTCAAGTTCATCTCAGCAAGTTACACCCAAGACTTGTACAATTTGAGTACCTTACCTGAAACTCATAACAATCTGAGTAGCTTATCTGAGACTCCTGAAAATCTGACAGCTCACCTGAGACATTCGCCAGCCGAGTTGACCAGCAGGATGTTGATACAGCCCAGACTGTCCCCATATAGGATCAGACATTCATCAGTCCCCGTAGAGCTGTAACATATACATAGACATATTAACCCATCCCTGACTTATACCAGTTACAACAAATATTACCTCACATATACATGTATATAACAAACAGTTACTCCCCCACAGTTCCTATTTCACCCGACAGTTTTTTCGATGTTTGAGATTATGACCAAAGCATCAAATCAAACTCATATCTTTGATACTAACCTGAGATCCTTTACATTAACTCTTTCCACTACTGTAGACCATAATATCCAGATCAAAGCATTGAAGAGTTTACTAAGTTACATAGGGGTGAAAGGGTTAGAACACTTATCCTGAATAACAACAGGGTAGTTGTCTCCCCTGGCCTGCTCCACAGCTTATAGCTATGGAATCAGAGATTGGAGTACAATGTATCAGGTTTTACTTCATTATCAGAAGTAAAAACTAGTTGAGTATTTGTCCCTCCCCTTTCTCCTTATCTTAAATTCCCACAATGATTATTGATTACCAACCACACTCTCCTCCCTAAAAGCCCTCAATGTTCTGGAGCAAGTGACGCACTAACAGACATACTGACTGACAGACGGACCAAAAACTTGGCCCATTTTCGTTTATCGCGATCCAAATGGTTGAACCGGTTGGACCAGAGTTGTTTGTTTATAAAAGAAGGTCGGACCCAGTAATCTGACGCTTCTTTCAGGCGAGCTTGACAAAAACCTTGCAAGGCCTGCATCAACTTTTGAAGGTTCGCCAGGATTTATACCTGAAAATGTTAAAATCAGATGTACCCGGTTGTTCCTTTTAAAAACAAACAGGCCCCAGGTTTTACTTACCAATAGTCCAGTTTTAACGGCACAGTGTCCAGTCCACTGACCTGGCAGTAAGGGTCAAGCGAGGACAGTTCATAAAACTGGATTTCTCTGTCCCTAAAAATAGCATAAAACACAGTGCAACATCAACACATTTGACATGAATCTACAGATCTCTATCTAATAATTATGTTCTGTTTTACCTGTTAAAGACTTTTCTGTTCAATGGTAGGGCATGATAGCACAGTGATGTGATATCGATGTCATAACACAATACAAAGGAACTGAATAAGGTGACATCGCAGGAATAATAGAACATTATAAATCTCAAAATCAACTTTCAACAGGAGAGAACAGAAGAAAATCAAGAAAGAAAATATGTTATACAAATTGTTATAAAATGCTGATTGTTTTGAAAAATCAAGTGAGAATCATGCATCCCCAAAGCTGAGGGTATGGCAGAGTTATAGCAAACTTTTGGGCGAGGTTCTTGAATGCAAACCTCTAGTTATAGACATTAGACAATCGACAATGTCACCTCTCTGGTTGAAATTTCATTGTCATACCTTCAAGGCAGGGGAAGATACTGTTAATCATTGTAATGAGTTGTCCTTTTTAGGTAAATTATTGAATTTTCACGAATATTTATTTTCATTACTGTTTTTGAAACAACTATTAAATCTCTCACGACACAGCATGCAGACATTTACATTAATCAAGATTTAGCATGACACATTTTACTTAATTACCACTGAAATTAACTACAATTTTGACACTGTATTTCTAAATATTGAAAGAAATAATTTTAATTTTTTATATGTGTATCTGTAGAGGATGGCGTTGATGGTAAGGAACAATTACTTACCCAGTTCCAACAAGAAATTTGTTAAATTCATTCATTATCACAAAGTCTGTTATCCACTTCTGCTTCTGCTTAAGTCCAGGTTCATTGTTCTGTGAAAAAATGAGATAAAAATGTGTCAAGTATTCCATAGTGAAATATCAACATCATAATATTACATAGACATGATTCATTCTCTTAAATACTTGTTGATGTTACTTCCCTTGAGTGACTGAGAGACATTAGGGCTGCATTCGTTTATCGCAGTCCAAACGGCTGATTCGGTTGGACAAGAGTTGCTCGTTTATGAAATTAGGTCGGACCTTAAGTAATCTATTATGCTGCTTTCAGGTGAGCCTCGACAAAGCCTTACAGGGCCTGCATTATACGTTAACGTTTGCAGGTCCGCCAGGATTTTTACCCGAAAATGTTACATTTAAAAACAGACAAACCGTTTGAACCAGATACAAGAAAGAGGCCAAGCTACATATCAGCAATGATGTCTCCCATGTTGTCAAACAAAATAAAGCTTAATCAAGGTGCTCATTATTGACAAGATCCCGAAAAATTATTTGCAATACATGTACGATATTTTCAAAGAGACAATTTTCTTTCGATAATTGGTCAGAAAAAAAATAAAAATGTAAGGGATTGTTTAGGTACAGTAAAGGACTTAGGGAGATAATCCACAACTGTTATTTTGTCGACATAAATGGAGAAAAAAAATATTGAAAATATGATATTACACTTTTTGACATTTGTTTATAAAAATTTGGACGGATTGCACTGTGGATATGGGTAGTCATTTCAATCAAAAGAAAAACTTACAATGAGACATTTGTGTTTTTTAATGTCCATATTTGTCCCCATGAATGACACATTGCCGTCCTGAAAGCAAACAAAGAAAAGAGTTGTAAAAAAGGTGCACAAGTAAATCTGAAACAATGGCTATTTTATAAAGACAAAATACCCAGGTAGTCAAAATTCACACAACAATGATGATGATGAGGTTTGAACAGATGAGTGATTTCAATTTAGTTCCATTGTGACAGATTTTACTATCTGGGTTATTTGAAATTCTCCAATACTAAACTGCAATAGATTTCATCACATCCTGCAGCTTATGGCTACCAAATTATCTGGAAATTTCTCATTGTGAAAAAACACCTCATGGGGCTTAGCGTATTTATACAATTTAGTGTTATACGGGAAAACAAATAATAAATATCATCATATGTTATAATCTATATTAATTCTCATAAATATTTACTGAAATATCAAAGTTTGACTGGAGAATTTGAAACTCACTGGAATAGATATGAATAACAATCAATTATCATCAGTTTGATATCCTCTATACATAATCCATTATTCATTCTCATTATAATACCAGATCAATGAAATCAGGTTGGTATCCCTGCACTCACCAAACTGCAGGCTACAAAAGTGCCGTCGGACGTGTCTGTGATTCTCAAGATAGATTCGCGGCAGTTTATGATTTTGGCGGGAAGATGGAACGCGACATCTTTTGAGCGGAGGTAGGAATCTTCCTTCTCGGCATACTCAAGCTGCATGTAGGTACAGAACTCGTCCCAAGTGATGGCTCCATCGGATGACCAGTCAATTTTCATAAACAGGGAGTCTATCTGTGCATCCTGTGTCACAATATCAGAAAGCAACTTAAATCAGATCACCGTCACATCCAAAGATAATATCACACACAGTTTACTAGTGTATACCTGCCCAATTTTCAATACAAGTACATTGTACCACAGGGACATGAGAATTTGTTACAGCTATATTTTGACCCAAGCTTAATTAAGGTGTTTAGAGTAATTTTACACATTTTAGGGAGTTAAGATCATTTTTCGGTAAAAATGCCACCCCCAATGATGATGATATACGAGAAGGTAATCATCAATGGGCGAGACATTTTTATTAAAATTTATCTTAACCCATAAAATGTTTGAAATTACTCTGAACACATTAAGTAAGGTACAAACATAGCTGCTATCAATTATCAGGTCCCTGTGCATTGTACATGTTTATTCATGTAGTGACGTTGACAAAAAAAAATCCTAAATGTCTTACAAGATGATAGGTAGAATGTATTAAGGCATAAACTTTATATTCCAATGTCGAACAGCTAGGTCTGCACGCTCTGAAGTGTAATTATAATATCATGTCTTTGAATGCTATTAAAATCAATTTAGGAATTTTTCGGACAGAATTGCTACTTATAAGTGTGAAGTTGTTCAATCATTATTCAATGACAACAAATTGTGTTTTAATATTGATGGTACAACTACACATCTGGTCAACCCAGGGACAGTTAGGAAAGAGTAGATGATGATCGTGAATACAGATTCATGGAAACTAGAAAGACAAATGATGACCACACACTGTCTGGTAAAGCACGACAGGTCGGCCATCTTATCGTGTGTAGTTCAGGCCAAATATCAATTCTTACTTCCATATCATAAACTGGAAGGGGTGAAAATATGATGGGAGGGGAACCCAACCCCTCAAACCCAACCCCACCCCATTTCAGCCATTTTCTTTGTTTTCCCAATTGCCATTGTATGGAGGCTCACTGTCTTGTTTATAACAAGGAGAGAGGAATTGATATTTAAGGCCCTAACTTCACGAAATTCTCAAAAAAGATTCAGAAGAACATTCTCAAGAGTTTTGTGAGAGAGAAAGAGGGAGGATGTGAAATGTACGAAAAAGGGCAGGTTTTCTAGAAGAGACTACCCGGGTAGGCTTGTTCAAAGGACAATGACAGACAAAGAAGATGAAAAATCCAATAGTTGAGGACAGGGAGTGAAGCATAGAGAAAATACTTACCCAAGTCACATAGGATTGCATTGAGGAGCAGCGTATTACTCACCCGTTTCGTGAAACGATCAAGGTGAGGAAACAATACCGGAACTTTGTAGCGAGAATCACTAGAAAACTGTGGAAACACAAGACAGCACCAGAGTGTAACTGTGGAGGATATGGTGCTATAACTGAACCAGAGCAATGTCCTACAGCACAGAGTAAAGCAGTGTGATCAAGTCAAGCGAGACATGGATAGCAAAACATATGGGTTGTGATTGACGAGAATTTTTTTACAGGAAATATAGAAAAGAAAAGATAAAAGTGAAAAAAAGTCATTAAGGAGTACTGTATAACAGGAAATGTTTGCTGCAGTTTAAAAATTTCGCCATTTTTGCCCTCTGCAAAATAAGTCCGAATTTATTATGACAGTGAATATTAGTACAAAGTTTACCCTATATTGTAATCACAAGTGAAGGACAAAATTTGCACTGGCAAAAATAGATTTTACCCATGAAGGATGCATATTTTACTGGGCGAACGTTTTCCTGGTTGCAGTATATTTTGATTTTGATGAATCTGGTAAAGCAAGACAGTACAGAAGACATAGAATTAGAATTCAAAGAGGATCACTTGATAATGAAGTTAACATGCCTATGTCATTCACCCCTGAAGACACATTTGATCTCTTCCAATTCAAAGGTTGGATTAGTTCATTATGAAATTTCAGGGGTGAATGAATTAAAGACAAGATGTTTAAAGACATACATTGGTTCCCTTGAGGTGCAGACGCTCCTTGAGGAGGGCCTTAAACTCGTCAAGTTCAAGTTCCCCGGAACCATCCTCGTCAGCCTCTACAAACGCCTGCTTCAGGATCTCAAGTGTGTCAAGATTGATCTGCTCCTCAATCTGTGGATAATAATAAATATGGGAGTCAGATACCACAGCAAACACAAGAATTACCGGGGTAGTGTATTCATAATGACTAGTAACCTATGTGACTACTGTCTAAATCAGAATTGCATATGTTGATCAGTAAGGGTTGAGGCAAGGGTGAGGAGAATCTGCTCAGAATTAAGTATAAAAAAGGATTGGGAGGGCCAATTTTATGAATCGGACTTAAGTCAGTATAAGGGTAGGGTGGGCTAAGTCTCACAAATTCGACTAAATCAGCAGGGCGGGTCTGGATTCGGGGGTGGTGGATAAGGCAGAGCAGTGGTATAGGGGAAGGTTTGGCTATTAAGCTATTAGGTAGGGTGGGGTAATATTTCTTATCAGACTCGACACTGTTCAAGTCTTAAAATTGCATGCATGATGAACTGAAGCCGTCTTTAAGTCAGATACATGTATTAGATCTTGGGTTGGGAGGTATAGGTAACTGAATGGGGAAGGGAGGAGAATGGAGAGTTAGAGAAACAACAACTAATATATGGTGGTGAAAACTAACTTGGTGGTGACTTGTGATGGGGTTTATACAGGATCACTATCTAATTTATGTCAATGTTACAATACCCGATTCCTGTATGCTACATGGTACATGCATGTACTGCTAAATGGTTATCTTTTAAATACATTTTCAAATGATTGAAGTTCTCAAAATGTCATGTGAAAAATCATTGAATACACACAGTTATGTTAAAACCATAATCATAGATTATATTGATAGCTGAAAAAATTACGAATATAATTTCATAAAGTTATAACAAGAACTGTTTTAAAGACTCTAAAAATCATCTTTACAAAGCATTATGAAAAAAATATCATACATATTGTTATAAACTATCATTGGTAACATGAAAAGTATTTGTTTATAAATTCTTAAACACGCACACACAATAGTTGTTACAACTACGAACACTGTAATTAATTAAGTCTCATCATAGGCACTTGACGCTTTGTTATGTCATATTTTTTTTTCTTTATATATAAGTATACATTTTTTTTTTCAAAATTATTATCTGATTATTACCTGAATAAAAAAAAGAAATGCCTTTTTTTTGTATTTTTTTTTTAATGTACGTACATTCGAACCAATGAATGCATTTGAATGCATTGGTTCGAATGCATGTAAATTAAAAAAAAAAATAAAAAAATTGTCATTTCTTTTTTTTATTCAGATAATTCTCAGATAACAATTTAAAAAAAAAAAATGTATACTTATATATAAAAAAAAAAAAATCTGACATAAAGCGTCAAGTGGCTATGGTCTCATGCAGCTCTCAGAACTCCGACGCCCTCAGGTACTCTCCTGTGTTACTGACGCACCACAGAAAATGGTATACAAAATTTGAATCAATGAGAATCAAATGTCAAATTCAAACTTATGGTTGATGCCATACATTGTACTTGTGTATCCATGGGTCAATTTATTTAAATTATGAAGAAAAAGAGAAGCATTTTTTCCCCCCCGTTTTCTCTTTTAATGTAAAACACACATTTTATAGCTCATATCTGACTCATGCATTCAACCCTGAAGACACATTTGCACTCCTCCAATTCAAAGGGTGGAATTGTTCATTATGAAATTTCAGGGGTGAATTAGTTAAAGCACATAATATTACCTACATTACGTGAGACATCGAAGCACAATTTGCTGTATTTTTTTCCAGATATTGACACAAAAATGTTTTAATTGCTAAAATGATGACATCAGCTTTTAACATTCCAGATGATTATATCTCTTGAGGACCATTACCTTTGAGCTGTCCAAAGTAATTAACTGATTGTTTTCTTCTACAAATGATGGAAATTTACTGACATTTACCATATTATAATAAATTTGCCAGTACGTAAGGAACCCGGGGCATTATAGATACACATGTATAACGACTGACCATTGAGTGACCATTCAGTATTTGACCAGTATAAATATACAAAAATAGGATCTCTAATTGATACATGTCGTTTTGTGTCCTGTACCCATTGATTGACTTCACCCACCTGTGGGATATCTAGATCTTCTCATACACCTGGATAACCCCCCAACCAATCAATCACCATAGTGTGCCAAGGACACAGGGTCAACAGGGTCAACTCACAGGTATTGTTTGGCAGAAAAATTGTTCTATTGTAAAAAAAACTCTGGATTCATCAGGAAAATGTCCACTGGGTATAATTATCAATCAATAGCCAGGTACAACATCAAGGTAACGTCATGTTACAGGTAAGAACAGGTAACACAGGTAACAAGAGATGGTTATAGGAATTCGAACAAGAAGCTGGATCTCGCAGTCAATACCCAATTACATGTCATTCTGCGCGCTGTTCTACCATTTTGGATTATTCAAATAACAAATCATTCTGCTGTTTTACTATTTTGTATTCTAGGAATATTCCAAATACATTTGCATGCTTTTGCATTGCTTACTAATTCTTCATCAGTAATCAGTTTTTCATTATAGTTACCTTTTACTTTATAATTAGAAGCTTTCTTCAAATCAAACACGGTAATACATTGTATCCATGTAACAATTTTGCAATGCTGGATATTTTTTAATTTTTTTCGCTTAATTAATTTTGTTTAGTTTTTTGTCAGTGTATGGTATTAAGTCTTCTATTATTATGTTTGCATGGTAATTTTATATAAGTAATGATGAGTTGATGTCATGCCATGTTATCATAGCACTATATATATTTAGGTATATACTCACCCTTTTATCTTCCTCATCAGAATCATCTTCCAGAAATGTCTATATCGACAATAATTATTTCATTATTTCGTTTTTCATTATGAATATAATATAAATAGAGTGAATTTCATATATCTTAAGATGTGATTCGAATTAAATCAAAATAACTTAATAAAGATTTTGTATTTTTGTGTTAGCATGCAGGTTTTGGTACATTGAGGCAAAAAGTGTTTTACACAAAAATTGTAAATTTTAGTGTGAAAAAAAAGCATTTTTCCAGCATTGTAATATTTAGAACTTCCAAACTGTGGGCAGCTGTAATTTATGATATTGGGTATGAAACACAGATCCACCTTCACGATTCAGATAGAAAAACATGCATCAGGTTAACAGAACTGTTATCGACCAATCAAACTATACATGTTATTGAGGCCAACTTTTTAACACAAATTCATGCAAGAACAATCTGAAAACACAAATTACACAACTTCATTCATTATTGAGTGGCTATACCATTTTTTATGTCAATTTTCTTATTCAAACACTAGACATCAGAAAAGTGGTGGCTAATTGCATTTGAGAGTCACTCAGATATTTATAGACCAATTACAGAGTTATCCTTTCTGTTGCTTGACAACAGAACTGTCAACTCAATTAACTCATTCACCCCTGAAATTTCATATCAAACTATTCCAACCTTTGAATTTGAAGAGTTCAAATGTATCTTCAGGGGTGAATGTGTTAATATAAAGGAAAAGAAATAAACAGATAAGGAAACATTTTGTTGTCTGTCATATGTGTATGGTTGTAACCCCTATCCTATATACAAATCTAGATTTTCGTAAAAACAAAATCTGTGATTGACGCACGGGAGCGTTGCCATGGAAACACTTTCTTTTTAAATTTTGAGTTCAAACTGTTCCAAGAATAAAGTGATATAAGAAAGGTTTTATATAAAAATACAATGTACTTCCTGCAAGAAAAATGAAGTGACAGATTCAGGTTCCCTTAGTATTTTAAACTTTCATAAAAACAAACAAATTCTCAAACACCCTATTCTTCATTTTGAACAAACTTCAAAACATATAACAAAGCATTAATAATGAATCTACTTCAATCTAATAAATCTTTCAAACAAGACATCGCATCTGAAAAATAAATATGTTTGTCATTAAAGATTCAAATTTGGTAAATCACAACACTTTCGATATTAAATTCATTTGAAAAAAATGTTAGATTCAATATCAAAACAAAACAAAATCTTGTCAACAAATTCGTCACCCACTAACAACTCAAACCAGAAGACCTCAAGGAGTTTGTGTGACCCCTGAACTCACCGCACGCTGAAAGGCTCCGTAATCCTGACTCTGTAACAGCAAATATACTTTAAGCATCCCAGTTTGACCAATGGCCATTCTAACCACGTAGATGTTCTTAAATCTGCTTATACACAGTACTGTACTGTTAAGCAGATGGTGTATTTGGGAAATGCAACAATGGCTAAATGGAACTAATGTATACCAAGAAGCTTAAAATTGAAAATCAAGAACAATGCAAAAATAAGTGCAGCAGAAATTGACTGTGCCAATCTTCGATATTTGCCATTTCTTTGCACATCTGTTATATATTGTTCATTTTTGTGTCAAAGTGTTACATTCTGAGTTTACAGAATTTCATTTAGCATGTAGCAAACGTCATTGGTCTATTTTGAAGTTTGTTCAAATTGAGATTGTAATTTCTTTTAAAAACATATACCTGTACAAGAATACTGTCTCTGAAGACCATATAAGGAAGTGAGAACAGTCTTAATAGACAGGTGGTCTTTGTAGACAGTTTTCACCAATCCATGCTTTGGAGACTCACATAAAAATTCTAGATTATTTCAAATTCTGTTTACAAATCAAACCTAATAAGATTTTAAAAAAACATCTCATTTTTAAGTTTTCTCTTTATTGTTTTTGGATCAGACAGCTGGTTTAATTAAAATCAGGTTATATACTGTACATACCGTAAAAACCCATGTAATTTGCGCAGGCACTTTTTGAGGCCGAAAATCCCCAAAAAAGCTTCCACTCAAATATTTTGCACACCAAAAAGTTTTGGAAAAAAAATCAAGTTCCGAAAATGTTTAGCACTTTGATTGTTACTCAATTCATGTAAATAAGTATTTGCAGCTGAAAAAAATACACAAAATTCTATCACCTACCATTCATTGATGCTGTGTGAAATTAAAACCCTAATGAGAAAGAAATTGATCCTTTAAAATTAAGCACAGGCTTTCATAGATTTCTTTCTTAAGAATTCTGCTTTGATAGGCTACAGTGTAATAATATTAAATTGTTATACATGTACGTCACAATTTCAGAATGACACGAACATTTAACATTTCATGTCCTGAATAAATAAGTAGTTTTTCACTTAATATTTGACCTGAAAAAATATTACAAAAAGACCAAAATGTACACATACATTTATGTATATATATTTATGGTCATCAGAACTTTTAAATTGTTAGTTTATACATAGATATTCGTATAAGACACACACATTGTGTTTGATACAAGATTTGTTCATGCAATATAGATATATATTTACATGTTTTGTATACCATATTTGCCGTAATTAGCGCCCCTTCCACTATAAGTGCCACATCGGAATGTTTATAATGTCCTTCTGTTACACAGTAGCAACCATTGAGGTTACACAACTTGTTCTATCCTAAATCGTATTTATCATCCTAATAAGCCCCCCAATTTAAGCCAATTTTTAAGCACCCTGGGCACTGATTACGACAAATACTGTACACATGAACAAGATTGAATAGTTGACATTACAAGAAAAGTTCAATGGTCAACAATGTTTTAAGTTTTCATATACAAAGCTTTGTAATGAACAAGGACTTTAATTCAAAAGTGTATAATATTCTACATTTATGTACTAACCATTCATTATATTAAATCAAATTTTCAGTAAAAAAAAAATGAAAGATTGTGATCTGATTGAATTATCATACAGAATGCAAATCTGGTATAAAATATATACTAAAGAAATAACTCCTGTACCTTAAGGCACCAAATTCTTAAATATGTTCAAAGTACTGTATGTAAAAACTTGACCACAAGTTGACCATTTACAGTAGAATCATAATATTCAGTTGTAGTGTATGTAATACATTTTTACACTGAAAGGAATCGGATATCACACACAGAGTATAAACAAATATGAGACAGAACACTGCCAAAACCAGGTACATGTGTACTTACTGCCTTCTTCAAACGCTACAACCAATCAGAGCGTGGCTATCAGTACCTCATATCAAGATTAAATACAACCACATTGTAAATATGTCAGCTCACCCCCCTCAAACACCCCACCCCCTTTCCCCTCTCAAAAAATAAAATTAAAAAATTCACACATTCTTCCTCCTGAAATAAATTGATAATCAATCAAAAACAATATCTTTATTAATTAATTAATGTACATGTAATAGTAAAAAGCAGCAAAGTCATCTAATAAAAGTCTGCTTCAAATGATAAAATCACATTCTATAGAAAACAATGGACGGTATTACATTTGTTCAGTTACCTCGGCTGTTTCACTGTCGGGTTTTTTATCCTTAATATCATCATCGTAAGTTTCAATAACATATTTTTGCCTGCGTGAAGAAACTACAGCCTCTGTACGTTCAGTGAGGGCTCCGTCCCCCGTTAGGAACGTTCCGAAACTGACAACACTATGCTGATCCGATTGTACATCATGGGGAGCAGATAAATACGTTTTAGATTTCGCTCCAGAAAAACTACGCAGAGCTTCCTGAACATCCACCATCTTGTACAATTCCCAAAGTGACAGTCATCTGCTCAACATTTCAATTTAAAGTTTCCTGTTTGATACTGGTAACAGAGGTGTTAAGTCAGCCTCGGACCATATATATACCTCTATATAGCCACATGTTACCTTCACACAATCTCTGGAATTATAACTCCCACTGTTTAATAAAGAACAAATTGTACGTAAGTACCATACACATACAAGTACCATATGTTGTAAATCCTTGGTATTTAAACTTTAAATCCTGTCGAGGGAAATGAGTTCAACTGAAATCCTTTTGTCGTGTTCATTAAATAGAACCTGTTGACATATTAAAAATATGTAAGATATAAATTGACCGATTAAAGTCCGAATTATATGGTGACGGCTTCAATGTCACGTTAATTAGCTGTGGTGTATTAATTATAATATAAGTATCCGTGGTTGGAGGAGGTCTTTGACAGGTACGCTGATTCTTTTGAAATGTTTCCAGTGTTTCTCCCTGGGCTGTGGTCTGTGACAACATACTTGAATAATTAAAGGAGGTCTAGAATATATAGCTAACTCCCTGTTCGACACTACAAATCGGTGTGACTTCAACACAATATGTGATACTATAGCCTTACACATATTGTAGTCAGATATAGAATGTAGTAACTTATACACCAAATGTCGTAACAGACATGTGACACAATCTTTTATCAGTATAGATGTTCGGCAGAGTTATAACCCTGAAGACTGGTAACATTATCACAAAGCATTTTCATGGTTCAGAAACCCCTAACAGTCAACAACGTACATGTTTTCTGTTAAAAAAAAGATACTGTATACAATAGTATCCTCCTCCAAAACAAACAACCAAAACCTACTCAATGCCGTTATTGAATGCTCAGAAAGAAAAAAAACAATAACACATTTATAAAAGACAGACACAAGAATCAAACAAGAATACATTTTAAACACATCGTAAATGTTTTGTAAACCAAATTAGGCTTGCCCTGAACATTTTTATCCTTTGGCCTTTCATGAATTTGCTAGTACAAGTACAAAGACCCTTCACATTGTCAGTGGTTGTCCTTAGTTAGACTAGTATGTAGACCCTTCACATTGTCAGTGGTTGTCCTACCTTAGACTAGTATAAAGACCCTTCACATTGTCAGTGGTTGTCTTACCTTAGACTAGTATATAGACCCTTGACATTGTCAGTGGTTGTCCTACCTTAGACTAGTATATAGACCCTTCACATTGTCAGTGGTTGTCCTACATTAGACTAGTATAAAGACCCTTGACATTGTCATTGGTTGTCCTACCTTAGACTAGTATAAAGAGCCTTCACATTGTCAGTGGTTGTCCTACCTTAGACTAGTATAAAGACCCTTGACATTGTCATTGGTTGTCCTACCTTAGACTAGTATAAAGACCCTTCACATTGTCAGTGGTTGTCTTACCTTAGACTAGTATATAGACCCTTGACATTGTCAGTGGTTGTCCTACCTTAGACTAGTATATAGACCCTTCACATTGTCAGTGATTGTCCTTCCTTAGACTAGTATATAGACCCTTCACATTGTCAGTGGTTGTCCTACCTTAGACTATTATAAAGACCCTTCACATTGGCAGTGGTTGTCCTACATAAGACTAGTATATAGACCCCTCACATTGTCAGTGGATGTCCTACCTTAGACTGGTATAAAGACCTTCTCATTGTCAGTGGTTGCCCTACCTTAGGCTGGTGTATGTCAGCCTGTAGGACCAGAGTGCTGAGAGTATATAGACCCTTCAAATTGTCAGTGATTGTCCTTCCTTAGACTAGTATACAGACCCTCCACATTGTCAGTGGTTGGCCCTCCTTAGACTAGTATAAAGACCTTCACATTGTCAGTGGTTGTCCTAAATTAGACTGGTATAAAGACCTTCACATTGTCAGTGGTTGTCCTACCTTAGACTAGTATAAAGACCCTTCCCATTGTCAGTGGTTGTCCTACCTTAGCCTAGTATAAAGTCCCTTCCCATTGTCAGTGGTTGTCCTACTTTAGACTAGTATATAGACCCTTGACATTGTCAGTGGTTGTCCTACCTTCGACTAGTATAAAGACCCTTCACATTGTCAGTGGTTGTCCTACCTTAGATTAGTATAAAGACCCTTCACATTGTCAGTGGTTGCCCTACCGTCATCCTCGTTACTCCAGGGGTTACGCTCACTTATGCTCTCTACACCCCTGAATATGTCAAAGCAAAATTGAAGGCTGGTGTGCGCTACCTAGTTGATGAGACAAGAAGACTAGTTTGAAGTCTGGCATCTCTCCTTTGTAGTCCTCAAAGGACAGCTGTATCAGCCTAGCAATTGGTCAGGTTTTTTTACCCGAGACCACTCAAACAGCTTTCTTCATGCCTTCAGTTTTGCTATGACATATTTCTGGGGTGTCACAAGAAAGCGAAAGTGAGGGAAACCCCTGGATATCGAGGATGCCCTACCTTAGACTAGTACAAAGACCCTTCACAATGTCAGTGGTTGTCCAACCTTAGACTGGTATATGTCAGTCTGTAGGACCAGAGT